TTTTTTGCTTTACCAATTACCCTAATATTGGGTTTCGGCACGGCTGGACGCCTTCCCTGCTCCATTACGTTTCTCTTTCTCTCTTGGTCCCCGTGGCCTTATATAGCCCCATTTTGAGGTATATAGCAGATCAAACTTCAGGTCATTCGGTTACAGTAACAGTTCTATTTCCATTCTATAATCCAGGGCATATTATCAATGCATCTGGAGGAAGGGTACCCGGAATAGGTACTTGACAAAATAACACTTCTGATTGCACGGCTATTTCCGTTCCATACTGCTCCCTAACTTCTATTAATCTCTTTACGTCAACCCATACATAATTACAATCGACCAGTTTCACGATGGCGACTGCTAACAGCGACAGGATTGGGTTTATTCCTTTTAGTAAGCTTTTCTGGTATGGAATTAAGCGCCGAGCCTTCGATTGCGCGTAGATAAATCCAACAATGCCCGAAGGAATGTTGATTGCCTCAATGCTGGCCAACTCGCCTTCACAATCGTAAACTCGGCATGCTGTGACTCCCACAAAGCGAAGCCGCTCAGTCGGTTCTCCCCACTTGTTCTTAAGATTGCATCAATCCGTGGCAGGCCAAGACATGATGAGTAAATCCGGTCGGAAATGTCTCCTTCAGTAATACCTTCAAGTCCCTTGGCCGCAGCTGCTAACTTGGTGGCAAGGATGATCTCAGATCTGCCACCATAGCCTATGGCGAGTTGAAGATTGAACTTGGTGTTACGACTGGTGGCCGCCTCAGCCTCTTCGATTCTGCTTTTCAGGTACGTCGGAAGGATGGATCTATCACCGACCACTCGAAAACGAACCGCGGGGATAGAGAAAGGTGCTTCGTTCAGGATTGTCTCTTGAATATACTCTGCCATCATTTTGAACAGTGGATCCAGCTCCTGCGGACCTCTCTTTAAGTTGTCGTCCGACAAAGCCCAGACTGTGAGATTTGTTATACCCGAGCTGAATACCCATGACATGACTTGTATTAGCTTGTGAGCACCAGCTTGGTGGCCAAGTAACACACTTCCAAGGCCATGGCTCCTTGAGTAGCGACGGTTTCCGTCCATTATGATACCCAAATGTTGTGGTTTGCTGATTGCATCCGCGAGCTCACCACGATAGAAAGCACAGTTAACAAGCTCCTTAGCCTCTTCTCTAAACCCAGGCATTTCAGGTAAAATACGCTGATCAACATCCATGCTCGGTAGATGGGCTTCAAGATCCGCATGATGACCTTGTCCACTGATAGCATGGCGACCATCCTTGCTTCCGAATATCTCGCTATGCAACTCTACCAGAGTATTCTCCATTCTTGGGCTGCCCTTGAGTAGAAGATCCATGGTGCCATCGAAAGTGAGCGTTCGCGGGCACAGGCTGTAATGGAAGGTTGAGAATAGGATGTTGAGCTTTCGGGTCATCCACCAGAAACCTCGCTCCAGAATATTGCATTTTTGAGACGGTCCAGCCAGGACTCTTTTCGAAAGCCGACGGACGAATAGATTGAAGAGCGCCCAGCGCATCAAGGTCACAGGACGTTGCAATGACTTTCGGACACCCTGTTTCTTTATCTCATTCCGAATGCTGCTGAGGTTCGAGCTTTCTGAATGAATCTTCAATAGTTCGGTGGTGTCAAACGACAGTCTTTGTCCCAAAAACCTCTCCACTTCTCCCAATGTCTTTGGGTAATCTCGTCCAAGATCATTTGGGTCCAGCTTGTCGGATAAGTTCATAACGCCCCAGACAATAGCATCTGCCTCATCCTGAGTCACATCTCTCAAAAGTCGATGTGTATTGACCAGCGCAAACGCAAAGGTGGCGAATATAATGACGTTATGTTCGAACTTGAATAAGGAAATGGGATGATGCAGATTCTGAAGCCACGCGATGACCTGCTGCCTTTCTGAACTGTTTGATCGAACCACGATGTAAATAAATGCAACGGTTCTAATGACTCTTCGCCAATAGTCTGACCTGTAGGTGCTGTGGGCTTGAAGAACCTGCGATATTTTTGGGTGAGAAAGCTGCAAAGTGGCTGCTACGATAGTGGCGGCAAACATGATGTCGCCTCGGTCGAAAGCAGCGTGAAACTCTTGGAAGGAGACATATCTGTTCTTCCAGATCCATTTCTTTGGATTGAAGCTGCGCCAATGCGTGCGGAGGCCTCGGAGCCATCCCAGGAGAGTAATGATTGCGTGTATCGTCACAATTCCGTAGACAACTAAAAGCGCCGTGTGCGTACTCATATTGGAAGTCTTCCAAGAACCCAGCAGGAGTAAAGATAAGAGAAATCGTGAAAAGAAGCTTTGAAAAAACGAGGAAACAGAGTACATAGAAGTAAAAAAAGAAGGGAGATTTGGACAGGAATTTTCATTTCTAATACACATCGGATTCCGAACTACGTATTGTCTTGAAGACAGCACCGCTGAGTGAGACATCTAGAGGTAACCTAAATCTGACAGGGAATAACTACGGGCAGATCTTCAGCTCTACAAAGGGCGATTCTCAGGCCAATAATATGTCAAAAGGTTCATACAGCCAAGCTTTGACATGCATGATAAAAATAAAACAATTCCCGAAACCCAATGATACCGACACAGAAGATGGCTGATACTGCACCGTAAGCGGTGAAGTGAGGTAAGTACCGGACGGCCTAGCCACTTTTGGACAAAAGGTAAGTCAAACAACAGCTGAAGGTCGGTATACCCGGGCGTCAGCGGCACACTGGGACTGGTGGAGCTGCGGCATGTGAAATATGATGCTGCGCGTCGACGCGTCTGGGTAAAGCATTCCGCGCCCACAACGCGCTGCTTATCGATTGCATACTCCACCTTTATTTAGCGCTTAACAACGTCTCTTAATTGGTAGGTGATCGACCCATAGCCAGGGTGATATGATAATCTGCCTCGGAGCAGATTGGCAATCGACATTGTGACTTGACTTTGAGAATCTGCCGAGCAAAGGATGTTAGATAGAAAACAACATCTGATTAGTACAACCTAGGTTTTACAGTTCATTGAGAATTCTGTTTTGCGCGGAGTTGAAAGTACAATTCCTTGTGGCTGTGCTGTAGCCACCTGCCAAGGGTCGATGATCGTTCATAAACCAGCGGAACCCGAATATTATTCCACGTCGTTTCTGCGTCCGACACCCTGCAACATGAATCCAGGTAAAGATCACAAATCCTATATAGACTACGTCAACCTTCGAGCTCAGTCAAATCCCTGTATCAATGGGCTCGAACGATATTTACAGCAACCAGCGACTCGTTCAAGCGATGTCGTCTACATCGATTACCCTACGGAGCAGAGCTCACCTGAGCTCCAGCCAATCAGAGCGGAGAGTGATAAGATAACAAATCTAATCGATACGCTATCTCGAGCCACTATTACGCGACTGATTCTTATCGAAGATATCAGTCCTCAGCTTATAAGTTTAGTTGGAAATAGGTTGGATATCGACCCTCTTTTCTTCGCCGACTATGTCAACACAAGTTTTGAGAACATCGAGCTGGCGCCACCACCACCTTCCCTTGCAATATTGCCGTCATTGCTGTCCCAACGCGGATACCTACATCTCCATTACCAGCAAGTACTAGATTTGGGCGAAGCTGGCGTACTTGAAGATGCTGCATACGCCCTGAAAACAGACGCAAATGTGACTCGCAATATCCGTCGCCTTGTTCCTCTTTCGGGAAAGCAGCTAGCCCTTGCTCGCGCGACCTGCTCCCTGTTCATCAAATCAATCGGTAGTTCTTCTATCTGTGAGCATATTGACATCATTATTGGGCAATTAGCTAATCCTCTCAGGTCTCATCTTGGTCGATCGACCTATACGATCTGCGATTGAAGGACTGGGTACTCAGAGTCAGAAGAGTTATCCTGCTCAACACTTGCATGGTGGTTTCGAAGATGTCGCGACATCACACACACCGGCGAGTTCCACGCATAAGTGGAGCAGAGATTCGATGCTTGACAGTTTGACCTATTACCTCCGGCACCAAAAACAGGAAGGTTCCACCAGCATGTTCATGAGCATTATGAACTTCGCCTACTATCCCATCCGCATAGTCCTTTCCGAATGGAACCTTTATATGCATCTCATTAGCCGCTTCTCCAAGCATTACGAATACTCTCTTCAGGACATCACAAGCCGCCTTCATGGCGAAGATATAGTCGACTTGCAGCGATGGCGACGCCGACTGAAACAGAGTCGACACAAACTCAGCATTATCGCCGAGTTTGTCGAGCAGCACGGCGATGGCGAGACAGCCTGGAAAATGGTTCTCAAAGACATTAACTATCTACAGAGTCAATTCCAAGATTACGGACAGTCTCTGGAACAAATGGTCACTGTCGCGACGACAATGATACAGCTTCTTGAATCACGACGCTCTATCCTCGAAGCTGTCAGCGTCCGACGCTTGACATATATAGCTCTGGTCTTTGCACCTCTGGCCTGGGTTGCGAGTTTATTCAGTATGGAAGACGCGTACCTGCCAGGCAATGATAGATTCTGGGTTTACTTTGCCACGGCGCTGCCTCTGATTGTTATAGTTATTCTCTTGTCGACTCTTGAATGGGATGGAGTAAGGCGGCTTTTCAGGCAAGGTTGGAAGTCCAGTATCGGGGATTTCACTGCGAGGTCTAAAAGCAATGCTATAAAGCCCGATGTAGTGTAATGCTGAGGACAGAATTCATTTTTGAACATAGGCTAATGAATCTAAACACTCCTTTGCTATTTAAAGAGAACAGGCGATTTGCGAGAGGCCCGTCTTGTCTGCACATAATGAATAGATAAAATGACTTGGGGTCTAGCGAACTATTCAACCGAGGTAAGAACATGTTGGGATATGAGTATGACACTGATAAGCAGCAGACTACTGCAAACCATGAATCGGTCTTCACGATCTTGGTCACCTAGAGCAACAAGTTAACTGTCCATGGCATTTCGTCAAAAGCAATGCACCTTCTTCTACCGTCGTCATACAGAGGACGATGAAAGCATTGAGCGGAACTCTCATTGCACCATACACTCTACCCCTTCTCGATTCTTTCACAAAGCTCATTTTTAAGAATCCTATGCTCGGGAAATACATCCCTACACAAAACTCAAAGACGCAAAATGCCAGAAACCGATACATCTCAGCTTTAAAGAGGACGGTGAGCAGGAGGCTGATAGCTGACGCAGATAGAGCGATCTGGACCATGTGTACTGAGATTTGGACCGAGTTACCGTGGCGTGACATGTAAGCAAAGAAGAACGAGCCAAGAGTGAGCGCACTCATAAGGTTGGCGAAGATGAGACCAAATGGGGGCTGTCCCCAGGTTTCTGCTAGGGCTCGGGCGGATAAAATGGTTTGAGGCCAGGAATACACCATGTTATACATGGCGCCTTCGAAGAAACATACGACAAATGTAATAGCAAGAATTCGTGAGTCTTCTGCATATGGAATGTGCGTTAGCGGTCATCCTGGGTGAGTGAAAGGGGCGAATCCTTACCAATCAAGTTCGAAAGACTAGTGGATATCGCCTGTTTAATGCTACCTGTCGCCGAGCCAGTCCTCCAAGCTTGTATGTTGGATGATCCGTAATTCTCAACCTAGACTTAGTATTAGTAAGTTGACAATGTCCAGCGAATTGACAAACCCATGACTTGGAGATGATAAAATAAGCGACCGATAGGCAGACTATGCTGACGACAAAGGGAGCGACTTCCGAACGAAATAGGTTGACTGCAACCTGGGCAACAACACCACTTCCCATGGCGATGAAACCGTTGAGGATAGCCATAGAGGTATAAGTCGCACTAAGAGCACGATCCGAATGTCCGAAGCCTAGCCTGTAATACTCGGCTATCATCCATGTTTCAAAAGCTGTGTATAACAGCGTTGTGCTGACACCACCCAGAGCCCGTCCTATGTAAAGGAGCCGAAGGTCACTGGATAGGATAGTTAAACAGGACAGAGAGTATAGTATGCAGTAAACTTGACACATGAACTTTCTCCCCCATCTGTCAACTAGGTAGCCGATGAATATGGCGCTGATGCCGGCGCAGGAGAAAGCGGTTGCGAATAGGGAAGCTACGACTGGTTCGGGAAGACCGAGAGTATTTCTATAGACGCTGTATATGAATGAGCCCTGCAGCAAGTTAGTGGAAGTCGCCGAAGCTTTGTATCTTAAGTACTACCTGAAGCCAATCAGCTGCCATGACGAGGCCGTAGACCAGAAGGAACTGGTTGCGAAAGGAGTAGAATCGATCAGCAGTCGTATCACGCTCAAAGTCATGAAGCTCATTGTCGATGATGTCAAATTGATGTAACTCGGTTTGAGGAATAAGTTGCAATCTCGTCGATGTCTGTTTATGCTGCCACGAGGCTGCAGCTGCGAGGAGCGTGACTGATATGATGAGGGTGATGACGTAGGAGTCCATGGTTGACTTGACTTGGGTTGAGTGAGATAAGGATGGTCTGGGTCGCTTAGTGGTATTTAAGCTTAATTGTAAGTTTGTGGGTAAATCAGGGGTTAGGTTGAAAGGAGTGTGCTGGGAGAGAAAAGCGGGGGGAACACGAGAAACCAACGGCGGGAAGCCTATCTCGTAAGCACAAAAGATGTAACGCGTAATCTTCCGGACCAGTAGTTCTACTAGATCGATGAAACGTCGTTGGCACGGTCGCCCTAGTGTTGAATTGGAAGAGCAGCTCATCTAAATCCCGATGATCCGCCACAGCTCCTTGTGGTCCCGTTACCGCGTCGCAAGGGGAGAGATCTTGGCGCTTTCTTAGGCTCCGACCTAAGCTTAATATAGGATACACACGCAGCCTCATTACGTATGGAGTCGGACCTTGGCATCAGTAGGAGAAACTGTAACGCGCGTTGTATCGGAAGATCAAAGAAGCCCGAGACAATTCACAGGCATAAGGGTGTTCCCCTATACGGCGCTTTCGAGTATATATGTTGTACCTATCACCTCAAGCCATCCTATAATCTATTCCCAAACCCAAATATTCTTGATCACCCACCACTTGCAACTATGGCCAACAAACTTGCCACCATCTTTTCCCTGGTTGCCACCGTCCTCCTACTTACCCTTCTTGTGGTAGGAAGGTCAGAAACGGGCTTCTCAGAAACAACCTCAACAGTTGACCTCAGTCAAATGAGCGTCGATCCAAACCTGAACGCAAAACTTGCCCATGCTGAAAAGCTCTGGCAGAAGTCCGTCCAAGACCGCAAGAAAATGGTAGCCACGTCAGGCCATGACAAGAACTTCCCTGACGGATACATTTACCCATTCAACGTCTGGGACTTTGCCCGACCCAGCTTCTTCTGCCCTTACGATCTCGAGAGAGTTGGTACACTGGGAGATGGTGGCAAGGTAGTCTGCGGTATGGCTCGTTACGAGAAAGAGTGTCCACCTTCTCCAGCAACTCGCGAACTCATTGTTTACTCCTTCGGTGTTAGCGATGATTCTTCCTTCGAGGCTGAGTTGCTCCAAAGGACTAATGCTCGTATCTGGGGCTACGATAGTAGTGTGGACTCCTGGGCGAAGGAAATTCCAAGATATCAGTACTCCCGCGCACGCTTTTCCAAGGTCAAGATCGGCAAGGTTACGGATAAGACTGTTGACCCACCAGTCTATACTATACAGGATCTGATGAAAGCGAACGGACATACCTACATCGATCTTGTCAAGATGGACATCGAAGGCGCCGAGTTCGACGCTTTGACCTCCTTGATCGAGTCCATTGTGGAGCAGCAGACCGACGACAGAAATAGCACCTTGCCTTTTGGGCAGCTTCTGATTGAGATCCATTTCATGAAGCCACCGCCGGGACTATCCATTCCGGACAGTCTCCAGTCTTGGATGGAATGGTGGTCGAAGTTGGAGTCGATGGGTTTGCGGCCCGTTAATAATGAGGATAATTGGATTGGCGATGTGCGATACGGAAAGCCCAGGTTTATCGAGGTATGTTACTTGCTCCATCACTCCTCGGATGTTGAAATGCTGATTGATGCTTATAGTATACCTTGATCAACGTAATTGATAAAGACAGGAACGTGCTACTTTGGACATGAGACAGCAGGCATTGTACGGTGGGACGGGATGCTACGGGCCATGGTAGAGTAGAATATCAATCAAGAAGGCGAAGACGGGGTTCTGCTAGACTATCTGTTGTATCAATGTTATTACTCAAACACTCTCGTATCCTAGACTACCTTGCTATGACGACCACAAATCATCGGCTGCCTTGGCTTTGACCTGAAACATGACTCCTTCTCCCATTCGAGACTAGGTGACACGAACTTCTGCTGCACAGCACAATATTCCGAGTCCTCCTGGAAAAAGCCGCTGATGTGGCGGTAAAGTAGGCATCTGAATGGTCCGCACTTGTCGCAAAACTGGTCGGAAAGGGGTGAGCTTGGATATCCTGATCCACGCCAGGCCCATTCCATGTCATTCGGCCCTTGACGACCGGTACCCAAGGATAGTCTTCCGTGCAAACGACGATGAATGGCGTGAAATTGCGTATTGGCAAGACCTAGACATGTGCTGTCCACTGGATCCAGATATTCAAAGATGGTGTAATGCAGTTCGGGTGGTAGATCAAGGAGGGTAGGCGTGATAGTGGGCGGGATGCGGTGCACGTTATTGGCTGATGAAGATCTTTGTCGTAAAAAGACGACTGGATTTGCTTGGCTCGGGGCTGAGGACGACCGGGGTCTAGGTTTGACGGGCTTGAGCATGATGAAGACTCGCACACGGGAGTGGCAGAAATATTTAAGATAGCTTGGCGCAGCTACCGGCAGTATAGTGTTCTTGGCAGCTGACGAGCTATCAACGCCTGCCAAGGGAGGATCAAAGAGTAGTATAAGATGGGCGATGAGAAGAGGAAATGCTGTGGAAGCAGGACATGAGAATACACTGCCGTAGATGTCTTTTCCTGTTGATACTTGCGCCAAGAAGGGCATCCTTTATCACAATTAAGAGATGCTGCAATTCTCCGAGGTGCATAGGCAACGTCGGCTTCATGATGTAGACCCATGTTGCCTTTCCAAAAAACTGAGCTCCGAGCCCAGCGATCAAGTCGTGAAATGATCGGAGATCGATTCAACAAGGGTTGTGACTACTACCTGACGCAAGCGGAATACAATAGGCTAGTCTGTCAATACCGACTTGCCTTTCTTGGCATCCTCCACACTACGATTGGTTCAGCATTTTGGGGAACAAGGTTGACGCTAAAACTCAATACTTGGAAATTCTGCCCAGGCAGAAGAAATGACTATTAATCTAAAGATCCATGACATAAGGAATTGAACGAATGTTCTCGATAGCCCAGTCTTGAGACGATTTACCTGGCCATCACTTTCGTTCGAGTGTAGAGTATAGCTTATGTTGCTTGATAGGCGTGATGCTGATCAAAGCCAGTACTGCCCAAATTAGTATCAAGATCCAAACGTGCTCAAATGCCACCATTAATGACTTTGTGACTCCTTCGTGCCAACCATCGGGAAGGCGCGTCAGCTCTGTAAGGTCGTCGCGGATACGCTGTATCTCTTCGGCAGCATTCGGATAGTCGCCAAATCGAGCCCAAAGGCCGCTTGTCAAGCTATGCTGGTAAACGACCGAAGCGATCGTTATTCCGATGGTACTTCCGAGACTTCGAGAAAGCACTGCGAGGTGGTCAGAATTGCACATAAAAGTTCGATTGAATGGTAAACTTACTAATTGTCGATGTGACCATGGCTAGTTGCGAGTGTTCCACGGCTGCGAGACAAGCAACCTGTGTAATGCTAAAAACGGCATTGTAACCAAGACTCAGGATGAAGAATGCCAAACATGTCATCCATGTTGGACTGACTTCATCCTGAAGTGTAAACATGACCGCGCCCACGATCATTGTGACAATACTGCTGACAATGATTCCGACGTACTTCCCTGTCCTCTTCATCAGATATCCAAGCGGCAGTGCTCCGATTAATCCAAGTGATGAAGGCATAATCTTGATTCCAGCGTCTGTGGCTGAGTCTCCGCGTGCTTGTAAGTAAAGTGGGATGTAAAAGATACTTGTCAAGCTGATAGCAGCGCAAAAGACACTAGACAAGCAGGTAGCCAGGACGGTCCGGTTGAGTAGAAGCCTGACGGGGATGATTGGTTGGGAGACCTTGACCTCGCAGCAGATGAAGGCGGCGAACAGGCAGGTTGCGACTCCGATCGCCGTGATTGGAAGAGGATGCGACCAGGGAACGATGTTGCCTCCCATGCTGAGACCGAGAACCAGGCTTGCCAAAAAGGCCGCAACCAAGAAAACACCGCCAAAGTCGATGCGCTTGATATATGACTTGTCGGATTGTTTCGGTGGCACTTTGATCATGATGTACGCGATGACAGCTGAGACCAAAGACGGAACAACCTGGACGAGAAAGGCGACTCTCCAGCCGATGTCACTATAGTCACCCAGCATTCCACCACAAACAGCACCGACCATAGTCCCAGCTCCATACCAAAGATTCGCAACACCACCCACGATAGCGCGTTTCCTCAATGGTATGAGATCCGAACCGAGAAACATGGAGATACTCATCAAGCCTCCACCGCCAATACCAGCGACTACTCTTCCCAGTATCATAGCATGCTGGCTAGTAGCTAGTCCGCAAAGCAGATTGCCAGCTGCAAAGGCAAGGTTGCAAAACACCAAGCCAGGACCACGGCCGAAAATGTCTGTTAGACGGCCTGAAATCGGTTGACTGGCTGCGTTACCGATTAGGTAGGCTGTTGCAAGCCAGGAGAGGAGGCTGAGGGAGTTGAATTCGCTTGAGATTTGAGCAGAGAGGGTTGCGATTACTGTTGTGTCAGCAGCGCCGAGGAAAACGCCGAGCCAGGCTGTTGTCAGGATGACTGCTAGACGGGCGAAGGACAGGTCTTTGCTGATGATTGTTCTCTCTTCTTCTGGTTGGGTTGCTGCAGGTGAGCCGCAACACCGCGTTCCATAGTCTGTGGCCTCGGAGCTGGGCTGGAGCAGTGGTGACGTCTCGGACATTATTGTATTGAGCCCTGTTCGTGCTAGATTAATCTTCAAACCTGTTGCTCAAGGTTTAAAAAAAAACCACTAAAAAGATCAGTTTAGTTGAGGGTTCAAGCTCAATTTAATAAAGACATGGTGGAATGATGGATTTTATAGCGATGGAACAAGATATGAATGGCCCTCGCAATGTCTCAGACCTTCATCCCTTGGATATCGCAGATCTCGGTATTTTACCAATATTGCTCCCATCATGACGGTACTGGAGAGATTATCGCCCATCGTGGTATCACTTGTCTCACCCATGGCCCAATAGAGGATGGTGTTTCTTACTTCAGCTGGGCCAAGCCTGCTAATTAACCGGGGCGGGGAAACTGTACACCAGTAAGCCGTAAGCTTCTCCGCCTCGTCAATTTTGATCTGCGATATTTTCTCCCGTGTCTTACTTCCCCTTCAAATCTGTCTTCAGCTCGTTCCGCCTTCCCGTCTACTTCTCCCTGACCTTGATCTCCATTCAACCTGACGATTGTCGAGCATTTTCCCAGAGCCAAATCGATTGTTCAGGCAACGACCCTGCTGACAAGCTACCCATATCTTCCGACGATATCCACGTCAAGATCGAATTGAAGATGAAGACACTGGGTTTAATCGGTGGCATGAGTTGGGAGTCAACCACGACATACTACCAAGAAATCAACCGTCGAGTTCGTGAGGTCCTCGGCGGTCTGCACTCGGCCGAATGCGTAATAGTCTCGTTCGACTTCGCCAAGATTGAAGCCCTACAACGCGCTGCCAAATGGGAAGAAGCCGGACTGTTACTTGATGATGCAGCGAAGAGACTAGCGCGCGCCGGCGCGGACGGCTTGGTCCTCTGCACTAATACCATGCATTTTGTATCCCATGGTATTGAAGCAGCATCTGGACTACCTCTGATCCACATCGTTGACCCTACTGCTGAAGCCATCAAGAAGGCTGGTTACAAATCCGTTGGGTTACTTGGAACACGGTTTACCATGGAAAAGGAGTTTTACAAATCGCGTCTGGCGGACAAGTTCGATCTCAACGTTGTTATCCCGGATGATCAGGACCGAGATATTGTCCACAAGATCATTTACGAGGAGCTTTGCAATGGTGTTATCAAGGATGATTCACGAAAGGCTTACCAAGAGGTCATTGGGAGGCTAAAAGCTTCTGGAGCCGAATGCTTGATCCTTGGATGTACCGAGATCGGGTTGCTGATAGATGAGACTCAGAGTGAGCTGCCGATCTTCGACACCGCGCGGATCCATGCCATAGCTGCCGCTGACTGGGCTATGAAAGAATGAGGGAAAGGAGTCGTGAATTCGCAATTTAACTGATTTCGTCATTTTTATACAAACTGTTTCTGGCCTATGACAACCTCCGATCTTTGCGTCACAATCGTATGTGTCCCATCAGCAGCCTCAATATCAACCCGCCTCTCAACAATAATCCCATTCGATGAATCATAGAGCGGTTCCGGTCTTGTCGGGAGCCCTGAATTCATCATGACAATATCTTCCTGACTCTCCGATATCGACTCAATGGCGGTGATGGAATACGGGCCCGGGGCTGCGTAATTGGGCCGTCGCGATAGCCAGTAAAGTGGATAGCTGTCACGCCGATTTGCGTCTTGCGGCTGTCTACTCTTCCTCCTGGCTTCTGCCTTTGGTGACAAATAGCCAGTAGTTACCCAGAAGCGACGTTTGAAGAGTGGTGTTATCATGGGTGCTTGGCCGACAAAGATACCGATACAATCTTCGCGAAGCGACCAGAGAACAGACTCGCCTCGCCGGTCCAACTATAGAACAGTTAGGTACAACAAAATTCTTATGGACATGATACTGACCTTGAATATGAGGACGAATCGTAAAATCGCAGCAGTCATGCAAAAGAAGCCCAGGCTAAATAATATGCAGAGGCCGAACTTTTTCCAGGGCTTCGCTCGGATGCCCATGACCACTGGAATCGGGACAAGAATGATACTAATATCCGTGCTTAGATTGAAAGACAAGATGAGAATAAAGAATGTTAGATTCTGCGGGGTGCAATGTGCTGCAGGGCGTATTAGTTCAATCCCAATCTCATACATCCCACGTCAACTTACCTCCAGGATCTGGCCAGACTTGCCATAGGTGATGAAATGGCCGGCATGTCAAGGCCAGCGTCAAGATAATAATAATCAGCGAGACAACCACTTGCACCATCAGAGGCTTAATAAACCTTTCCGTCCATAGTCCTCGAACAACTCGCTTATACAGCCATAGCATGTTGAACTTGAGCGACCATAGAACAACAACGTAGAGGATAAGACTAAGCATGAACATCTGCGTTCCAAAAGCCCACTTTCCGTAGTCTTCTTCTGGCATGTTTTTCCGTTCATCGTGATTGAGATCGGAGGTATGTAGACCTTGAGCGGAAGCAATGAAGATGTGGCCTGAAATTGCTGTGCTAGTCCATAGGAACTGATGGTGTCAGCGAAAACCCTTTTTCGGCGGGAGACAACTTACTGCAACAATGATGACGAGGTAATCATCTGGCTGATAACATCTCCAGCCCACCAATTCCGTGCGACAGAACACTCGCGCGGCAATCATGAGAATGCCAATACCGTAAAGAAACCATATCTCCGCAAGCTGTCTGGCTACCGTGGCCATAGTAGCAGAGGATATGAAGGAGGAGGAAAAATATTTTGAATGGAAACATCGGATATGTTGTGCAAGTTCGTATATCAAGTCCCTGCTTGCACTCTAACGGTGTTTGGTGTCGCGGATACATAGGCTTACTCTTGGCTAATCTATTACCTTTCGGGAAGTGTATCACCGGTCTAAGGACTTGCTTTTTTGGGATGGAATTTGTTTTTCGCAATGTCGGGTACTGTTTTCCGAGATGGTGGAGATGTCAAGACACGAATAAGACATCTACAAGATGACAACAAAGAAATCCTGGCCAAAAAAGCCTGCTGAGAATTAATACTTAGGCAGTGAGATATGAATTTATTATAAGAATATGAGGTTTCTAGAGAAATCGGTAGGCTCATGCCAAATGCTTTGCCGAGAAAGCTAACGGCTATGTCTCCATCGCGACTGATATGTCATGGGCCAATGTAACCTTGACCACAAGATGAAACGATCTGGACCCAGATTATCATGCAAATTGAATAGCATGCCCGTTTCGGAATGACTCCCCGCTACGAGCGATTGTCGTGTCCCTAGTAAGCTTAGTCTATCTCAATTAATGATACCCTAAACAGGCTGTTTCTTACGCGTCTGCCATATCGATAAGATTGATAAACAAGATGGCCAACGTATCATGTATGCATACCCTAGAACCAACAAACGAAACATGTACCCTTATCAGAGACATGGCCTGACATGCAGGATATATATCTCTCACATGAGGCCATCGATGAATTGCATCATCTTCTTGCTTTTTCTCACTCATATTGCTTCTCTCCAAACATGTCCGTCCCCATCCGAGTCGCTCTTACGCAAGCCGAACCAGTTTGGTTGGACCTAGACGCCTCGGTTAAGAAAGCTTGCACTCTCATTGCCGAAGCGGCAAACGATGGAGCCAAGCTCATTGCTTTTTCTGAATGCTGGATCCCCGGGTACCCAGCATGGATTTGGTATGTTTCTTTCGTTTCAAAAAGATCATTCCACTAATCATGACTACAGGGCCCGATCGGTCGATTTCGAAATGCAGACGCGATACATTTACAATTCTGTCGCAATTGAATCCAATGCTATAGAGGCGGTCAAAACTGCTGCGAAAGAAAACTCGATTGCTGTCGTTCTTGGCTTTTCGGAGAAGAGCCCTTCCCATAGCATTTATATCTCGCAGGCAATTATCTCACCACAGGGTGAGCTGCTGCTGCATCGACGAAAGATCAAGCCAACTCACATGGAGCGCACCGTGTTTGGAGATGGAACAAACTCTGACTTGGATAATGTGGTTGAAGTAGACTTTGGACCTGACCATGGGAAGATCAAGGTCGGATGTCTGGCATGCTGGGAGCACACACAACCGCTTCTCAAGTACCACAGTATCTCTCAAGGAGAAGTCATCCACATCGCGATGTGGCCTCCAATTGATCCTACCACAGGCGTCGACCACCCTGGTCTGTGGAGTATAACTGCCGAGGGCTGTCAGAATTTGTCTCAGACGTATGCTATCGAGAGCACTGCCTACATACTTCACTGTACATCTGTATGCACTGAAAAAGGCATTGACATTTTGAAGACACAGGATGGACTGCAGTGTCGACTGCCAGGAGGTGGACATAGTTGTGTCATCGGACCTGATGGCCGACGTCTGACTGACGCCTTGGGCGATGGCAAGGCTGCTACTGAGGGCATGGTTTATGCTGACCTGGATCTTAGCAAGGTTGTGGCTACCAAAGGATTCCTTGACATTGTCGGTCACTATAGTAGGCCGGATCTTCTGTGGTTGGGCGTTGATCGAGAGCAGAAGCAGAACGGGAATGGAGTTCGTCATGAGTCAAAATGGCCCGAAGCTACCATCCCTTGAAGATACAGACAAGGTAAATTTACTAGAGTATCTACGAACCCGGAGAGCTATCCGCCGCAATGCACTCCAATACTTTCTCCATCTTACCAAATAATCTCTGCAAGATAGCAGGTCCCATCAAAGCCTGACCGGGAATTATAGCCTGTCCACTATCCAACTCCCCCCAAAGGACTTTTATTTGCTTCGCCGTTAACAGCCCTTTCTGACCGGTAACGGGTCCTGATTCCATGCCCAAGACGTATTGCATTCTTTCCAACAGATGGGCGACGGTTCGCGAAAAGAAAGCGCCCTGTCTACAGAGACTCTCCAGGACCAGACTATCGTAGGGAAGAATCGGAATTGGAGGGATAGGTTCGACGGGTAATCGATCAACACGGGTCGTGGTGTGTTCCAGTATTAACTCGTATAGCGACAGTATCTGGATAAAAATACTCGTGATCGTCAGCGCCAGGGGGGCGGACAGTGGCTCAGGTAGACCGGCGTAATGAGGTGGAGGCGAATGAGAGGTTCGATTGACATGGTTCGTCGACTGCGATTTAGACTTGTGACTTAATGACAGCAGCTCGGATATCCGGGCGTCTGCTGTTGGGGAAGCAGGTAACAAGCTCGTGATAGCCTGAAGGAAGTTTTGAGATATGCTCAGTATGAATTCAGTAAGGGTGTAGTTGTCTATATACAGAGGGCCCTGTCGATAGACCAAGTCGTCGAATGTCAGGTGAGAACAGTTCGACTTGGCAGCTGAAACTCGCGCATGTAAGTTGATATTTATTTTGGAAAGCTCCATCAGTGCATTGTGGGCATCGATGGCGCTTGTGTTGCAGTGTCTGGGGGCGCTGGATATCGTGCTTGGTGGACTTTGAAGCAGATACACTGGCGCTGCATCCGTGTCCGTAATTGGTGGTGAGGCGCCGAATACTGAGTCATAAGCGAACATGGAAGCAGACTCGCCAAGATCGAAGCCAGTGTTCCAAGGGTCATTCGCCGAGCTCAATTCCACGGGAGACCATGTTGGTGCCGAGCCACCGAACGCGTAGTCCGCGGTCTTGCCGACAACTTGCAATGAGGTAGATGCTGGTGAGGCGAGGCTTGTCCAGTCTATTGAGTATGTATTCGCATCGAGCAGAGAAGCTTTTTCGGGAGATGTGCCGGGTGGAGTTGGTGGGATGTATACAGTCGAGGTGTTTCCCCTAACGGCCGATTTTGGAGCCCTCGCTGGCCTAGGCCTTCCAACCTTTTTCTGACGCCCATTGGTACATTTGACTCCATATAACGTGCACCTCGCGCATGAAGGATCGCTCTCGTGAAAACGTTGACACCTTGCTTTATGTTTCCTGCATAATTCACAAGCAACACGGCGCTGTGATGGGTGAACTGTTGGGGCTTCCATGGAAAGTAGCCAATCGTGTTACGGAATTGATATTGATTGAAGAAGGTGGTACCAAGCAAGTAAATCTGAAAGCGGGTTTGAAGGACAAACTTGAAATTGGGGATCAATGTCGGACTGTTGGTCGCGGGGGGACGGTCGTTTATAAAAGCCTCCGCGGAGGGTTTAAGCTTTTCGCACTAGGGGATTTAGTCTCTTTGGCAGAGGCGATTACTCATATTGGGCCGTCACTGTGCTAGACCGCATTAAAGTTTATTAATCAAGTCCGTCCCGATAAGAACTTTGCTAAGTCCCTCCGTCTATCGTCTGAAATTGCAATCCGCATTCGCATTCGATAAATGATTAATTAAGCGGTCATAGACTTTGCACCGCGGAGGGTTTACAGACCAAATTCTTCAATTCCTCATCTCGTCAATTCAAGTGTTCCGTGTTGCGATGTCCGAAATGTCGCAATCGTTTCTTTGTAATCTTCAGCTCGTCTGTAAAGATGCAATGGATACTCCGTAACTTAATTCCAAGCCAATTGTTCCCTATTTATACATTGCAGATTTACTGGATTACTACTGTTATACATTGTATACTCCTCGTTCAATTTTACAATCAATCTTTATTCTCATCTATCTAATCAATCTCTCTCAAGATCAAGCAACGGCGCCCTCTACCCGACCATGAGTGCAAGCTCCTCAACTGTGGACCAAGTGTCCATTGGAACCGACGAAGACACAGTGGACAAGAATGCGACTTTCCACGATAAGTCGACGTGGCCTATGTCGTCCGAAGTCCAAATGATGCGCGATCGAGACGAACAAGGCGGCGAAAAGCCCAAGAAACTTGGCGTGAGCTGGACGAATCTTACAGTCAAGGGCCTCGGCGCCGACGTGAACTTCAACGAGAACGTCCTGTCACAACTCTACCCTTTCCACAAAAGCAACAAAACCGAGCCGATTAAGACCATCATTGATAACTCAAACGGATGTGTCAAGCCTGGGGAGATGTTACTGGTCCTTGGCCGCCCTGGGTCAGGCTGTACGACATTGCTCAACATCCTCGCCAATAACTGCCGTGGCTACGAAGAGGTTAGCGGAGACGTCCACTACGGAAGTATGATGGCCGACGAAGCGAAACAATACCGTGGGCAGATCATTATGAACACTGAGGAGGAGATCTTCTTCCCAACCCTTTCTGTCGAGGCAACTATCGACTTTGCCACCCGTCTCAAGGTTCCCTTTCATCTTCCACCCGGGATGAAGACGCGTAAGGAGTATGCGGACTTGTACAAAGACTTTCTCTTGCGATCTGTCGGTATCTCGCACACTGCCAAAACGAAAGTCGGCGACGCTTTCATCCGCGGTGTCTCGGGAGGAGAAAGGAAGCGTGTATCGATCCTCGAATGCATGACGACTCGGGCAAGCGTGTTTTGCTGGGACAACTCAACCCGAGGTCTCGATGCCAGCACTGCTTTGGAGTGGATCAAGGCTATTAGAGCCATGACGGACATCCTCGGTCTTACCACTATCGTTACACTGTACCAAGCAGGAAACGGCATTTATGAGCATTTTGACAAGGTGCTTGTTCTTGATGAGGGCAAGCAGATCTTCTATGGACCCCAGAAGGCTGCTGTTCCTTTCATGCAGGGCTTAGGCTTCATGAGGGATGGTGGCTCCAACCGAAGTGATTTCCTGACGGGTGTGACTGTTCCTCACGAGCGAGTCATTGCGCCTGGTTATGAAAACACATTCCCTCGCACAGCTGATGCGGTCCGCAGCGCTTACGATCAATCCGCTATCTCCTCCGAGATGCTCCAAGAAGCTCGTACCTACGCGAAAACCCAGGAAGCCAACGACAACACCGCCGTCTTCAAGGAAATGGTTGCTCGAGAGAAGTACAAGGGAGTCCCCAAGAACTCACCTATCACGGCCGATTTTCTTACTCAGGTCAAGACTGCCACTACCAGGCAATACCAGATCCTTTGGGGAGATAAGAAGACCATGTTCGTGAAGCAAGGTGCCACTGTCGTGCAGGCTCTTGTCGGCGGGTCTCTGTTCTACAATGCCCCCGACAATTCTGCTGGTCTGTTTCTGAAGGGAGGTGCCCTGTTCTTCTCTATCTTGTACCCTGCCCTCATCGCCCTCTCTGAAGTTACGGATTCTTTTACTGGCCGACCTATCTTAGCCAAGCAACGTCAGTTTGCGTTGTATCACCCTGCCGCCTTCGTCATTGCCCATGTCGTCGCTGATCTACCTATCCTACTATTCCAAGTATCTCATTTCGGCATCGTTCTCTACTTCATGGTTGGCCTCAAGGCTACTGCTGGTGCATTCTTCACGTACCTGATCATCAACTATGTATCAGCGCTATCCATGACATCCTTCTACCGTTTCGTCGGCGCCGCCTTTCCCACCTTTGACGCCGCGACGAAGGTCTCTGGTCTTGCAACTGCTACCCTGTTCGTTTACATGGGGTACATGATTGTCAAGCCTGAGATGCATCCGTGGTTTGGGTGGATCTTTTGGATTAATCCCATGGCTTATGCATTTGATGCCTTGCTGTCCAACGAGTTCCATGGTCAGACCATTCCCTGTGTTGGTCCGTACCTTGTGCCTAACGGTCCGGGGTATATGGAAGGACAGGGCGGTCAAGCTTGTGCTGGAGTAGGCGGTGCGCTTCCCGGTGCGACGAGCGTTACCGGCGAGCAGTATCTGAGTCATATGTCATTCGCCAAAAGTCATATCTGGCGTAACTTTGGAATCATCTGTGCGTGGTGGGTTCTCTTCGTTGGCCTGACGATCTTCTTTACCAACGGCTGGAAGCAAGTCGGCGAAGGTGGCCGCAGCTTGCTCATCCCTCGGGAACAACAACGCAAGTCCAAGCACCTGGTCCAACCCGCCGCTGATGAGGAATCGTCGTCTTCTGAGAAGACCAAGGCCAACTCCCCGTCTGATACCAACAGCAACATTGAGAACAACCTTATTCGTAATAAGAGCATCTTCACATGGAGGAATTTGACATATACTGTCAAAACCTCCGATGGCGACCGCGTGCTTCTGGATGGTGTACAGGGTTACGTCAAGCCCGGCATGCTTGGTGCTCTGATGGGGGCTTCTGGCGCCGGCAAGACCACGCTCCTCGATGTCCTCGCACAACGGAAAACCGAGGGAACCATCCATGGATCGGTCTTAGTTGATGGTCGGCCTATCTCAGTTTCGTTCCAACGTTCCGCTGGTTATGTCGAACAGCTAGATGTCCACGAACCGCTCGCAACCGTCCGAGAAGCTCTCGAATTCTCGGCCTTATTGCGCCAGCCCTCTGATGTAAGCAAGGAAGACAAGCTACGATACGTTGATACTATCGTTGACCTTCTTGAATTGAACGACCTCGAACACACCCTTGTCGGACGACCAGGAAACGGTCTTTCTGTCGAACAACGCAAGCGTCTCACCATTGGTGTCGAGTTAGTTGCAAAACCGAGCATCCTTATTTTCCTCGACGAGCCTACGTCTGGACTCGATGGACAGGCTGCGTACAACACCATTCGCTTTCTTCGGAAGCTCTCTGCGGCAGGACAAGCTATCTTGGTTACCATTCATCAGCCATCAGCGCAGCTGTTTAGGCAGTTCGACACGCTTTTACTGCTGGCCAAGGGAGGCAAGACTGTCTATTTCGGCGATATCGGTGACAATGCTTCCACTATCAAGTCTTATTTCGGTCGTCACGGTGCTCCATGCTCACCCGAAGCTAACCCTGCTGAACATATGATCGACGTGGTTTCAGGTAATGGTCCAGCCAGCCACAACAAGGACTGGAACAAGATCTGGCTTGAATCGCCTGAACATGATGCTTTGACCAAGGAACTGGACCATATGGTTGAAGATGCTCTCTCTCAACCTTCGCGCGCGAACGATGACGGGCGTGAGTTTGCCGCCTCCATGTGGACTCAAGTCAAGCTAGTCACGCATCGCATGAATGTCTCGCTCTTTCGTAACACCGAGTATATCTACAATAAGCTGGCCATGCACGTCCTGCTAGCCTTTCTCAACGGCTTCACCTTTTGGAAGATTGGAGACAGTCTTACCGATCTTCAGCAGAACCTCTTTACTGTTTTCAACTTTATCTTCGTTGCACCCGGTGTTATTTCCCAATTGCAGCCTCTCTTCATTGACCGTCGCGATATCTACGAGGCCCGCGAGAAGAAGAGTAAGATGTATCACTGGGCGCCTTTTGTTGCCGGCCTGATTGTCTCGGAGTTCCCATACTTGATCGTTGCAGCTTTGTTGTATTACGTTTGTTGGTATTTTACTGCTGGCCTACCCACTGGTCCCAACCAAGGTGGCAGTGTTTTCTTTATTGTCGTAAGTCTTTCTTATGTACTAGCTTGGATATTCGTCTGACAGTTACAGGTGCTCTATGAATTCATATACACTGGAATCGGACAGATGATTGCGGCATACGCCCCCAACGCTGTGTTTGCATCTCTTGTGAACCCGTTAGTCATTACTACGCTGGTCTCTTTCTGCGGCGTCATGGTACCATATGGTCAAATTACAGCCTTCTGGAGATACTGGTAAGTGTCATCTCTTCATCCTCCTACCTTATGCTGTTTCTAATCTCATATTATTATAGGATCTACTACCTTGACCCTTTCAACTACGTAATGGGCTCCTTACTCATCTTCACGACCTGGGACAAGCCTGTCAAATGCAAGGAAGACGAGCTCACCATCTTCGACCCGGCTCCCAACAAGACCTGCGGCGCCTATCTTTCGGCTTATAAGCAGGGCATGGGAGTGGGCATCAACCTCCTCAACCCCGACGCCACCTCGTCCTGCCGTGTCTGCCAATACACTGAAGGAGGAGATTATCTGAAGTCAATGAACCTCAACGCGGAGTGGTATGGATGGAGGAACGCGGGCATCTGTGCCATCTTCGCAGTTGGCTTTTATGGGCTTGTGTTTTTGATGATGAAGCTCAGGACCAAGGCTACTAAGAGGGCTGAGTCTTAAATTCAAGCGATAAGCCTGGCAAGTTTATAGTCTTTTACTCAGCCGTAAGTCATCTGTCCGCCGAATAGAAGTCGACAATTTTTCATTTCCTCGATGTCTTTATATCTTTTCCCTCGCTCCTTTTCCTTATAATATTTCAAGGTACCTTTGACAACGCTAATTCATGGCGGTAAATATGTATATAGATAGATATCAAATGCAATAGATGCTAGAACCTCCCTTCGTGCATTATGGCCTAAAGCATCGTGAATATTAACCACGACCTCCTTTCGAATTACTTGTAATACTTTGATAACACGGCTTCAATTGATTAAAGGTTAAGAAAGAAATACAGGCCGGAGCCACCTCCAAGTAGGACTTGTACATTGAGTTTGGATCCCATCTTACTTACCAGGCCATTCTACCCAAAACGTTGCTCGGCCATCTTCTCACAGCAAACTTCCTACCCTCATCAAGGAGGAGCTGGAACATACCAAATGCGAAAGGTAAGAACCAGTGCTCAACAGGCACAGATGTGGTACCAAGCACAGGCTGTAAAGGAGGGATGTAAAGCCAAAATATAGCCATAGCGAGAGAAAAGATAATAGCTGGGAACAAATACCAATTCTGTGTATTTCGGTTGAACAAGGGAGGATGTTGGAAAATGCTGAGGCGACGTGTCCGTGTTGCCATCAGATTGAACCACTGCATAACAACGAGGTTGACAAAGTAAATGGACGAAGCCTCGTTGGTCTTGGCCAGGTAGTAGTCTGGGTCGATTCCGTCAGGGATCTGACCGAAAGAGAACCAGAGCTGATTGAATGGAATGCCTTGACGTTCAAGGTACCAAAATGACATGGCAAATGAAGCCACAGTCTGCAGAACGCCGACGATGCCGTATGATTGCACGATAAGTTGCCAGTTGACAAGACGATCCTTCTTGATGTTTCGGGGTGGGCGGGTGAGCACGTCTGCTTCAGGTTTTTCGTACGAGAGCATCGTTGCAGCGGCACAATCAGTGAAGCAACTATGCATAGTTAGCCGAGGCCTAGCTGTATAGGTGACACACATACCAGATAATGATCATAAGGAACGATGAGAGAGCCTGGGGAAGTCCAAAGGCGACAAAGGCCATAACAGGCCAGAATTCAGAGAAAGAGCCGGCAGGCAGGAGGTAAGAGATGACCTAGGATACTGTAAGCATGTGTTATGTTTTGAAGCTTCTGTGGTAAGTCTAACCTTTTTGAGGTTATCAAATACAACACGACCATACTGCACAGCAACAACGACAGAAGAGAAGCTATCGAGGAGAACCATATCGGCAGCCTCCATTGCAATGTCAGAGCCGCTGCCCATGGAGATACCAACATCTGCAGCCTTGAGGGAGGGGGCATCATTGACACCGTCCCCTGTCATAGCGACAATGCTATGACGTTGGAACTCTCGGACGATTCGAAGTTTTTGTTCAGGCGTGGTTCGCGCAAACACAATTTCTTCGTACCTTGTCAGGTTCTCCCATTGGTGCTCGTTGAGCGTCATGAGCTCCGGGCCACTAAGAACGATTGCACCGGCGTGTATCTTGCCATCGTCCTTGCCCTTACTCGAGACTGAATCGTCGACGCGATCTGCTGGAGCAAACCGATGTAGGGCCTTGCTATCGTCCACGACGCGTCCGGTGACGATGCCAGCATCTCGAGCAATGGCCAAAGCAGTAAGTGCAAAATCGCCAGTAACCTGTGATGATAAGAATCAGCATCAGCTATCTGAGATACATCTGGATATTACTTACCATAGCGATCCTAATTCCAGCGCCACGTAATGTACTAACAACATGGGGAATGTCTTCCCTCAGTGGATCCACGATCGCTACGAGTCCGACCAAAACAAGACCAGACTTGGATTCGTCACCGATAGCCTTCTCATAAGCCTGGCTCTCAGTATCAGTTGGTACATTGCCAGCCTTGATGACCTTGCGAGCAAGTAATAAGCATCGCTTTCCATGACTGGAGTAGAGATCCTTCAGCTCTTCAAGTCGAGATCGCATCGCGGCGTTCAACGACAAAGTTTCACTATGTTCGGAAACATAGTAAGAGCAGCGACCGATAAGGACATCCGGTGCTCCTTTAATTGTCAAGAGTCTAGAAACCTTGTCAGTGGATATCGAAAGGATCATGCATGGTAGTTACTCACGTGTCATTCATATCAAACATCGTGTCCTTGCTCAGAGTTTGTGAGATGCCTTCATGCCTGGTAGAGCTAAAGCAACGGATCATAAACTTGTTCTTGCTGTTAAAGGCAAGATCGTAAGTCTTTCGCCAACAGGAGCGGAGATAGGCGACACTACTAGTCTCAACAAACTCGGCGAAACGAAGAATGGCCTGGTCAGTAGCGTCACCAAAGATCTTCCTCTCGGCTAATGGTGCCTCAATGGTGGCGGCGTCAAACTCCAAAGCATTGCAAAGAGCTGATATAGCTCTTAGCTGGGAGATGGGATGCCCTGTTGACTTGGACAATCCCATCTTTGACCGAGCATCTTCAGTGGTCATGTTAAGACCGCCGATGGCACAGTCAGATACGGTCATTTTACCCTACAGAAACCAGTTAAAAAAAGAAAGGAAAGGATGGGATGATGAAGGCTAACAGTAGTTAGTGTTCCAGTTTTGTCAGAACAAACAACAGAGACGGAACCCAAGGTTTCGACAGTCTTGAGTGACTTGCAAAGAATCTTGTTCTTTTTCATCAAGTTTGCGGTGATAGTCAGACCAGCAGTGATAGAGATAGGGAGACCTTCGGGAATGAAAGCAATAGCCACACTAACACAGTTGACTATGAGAGTAGGAACATTGATGAAGTCGGGATGTTCCTTTCTCAAGAATGTTGCCCTATTTGGAGTTAATAGACATAATGTGATAGCAGTTAATACTCGAACTCACCAGATAACACAAACGAGGGTAATCATGACGATCATAATGCTAGCAATTATGATAACAAAGTAGAAGACCTCCTTCTCGAGGGTCGTCATCTTAACCTTTGGTTCGTTTGTGAGGCTCGCAATGCGACCAAAGACAGTCCGATCACCCGTAGCAACTACAATACCAACGCACGAGCCAAGGATGCAGTGCGTACCCTGCAGGCCGATGTTGTGAGTCTCAAGGTAGTTGGTGTCTGTATGATCAACAGTACCAGCTACTGGCTTTGACTCTCCTGTAAGAACAGATCGATCGAACTTGAGATCTGATGAGGCTTGAACAATGCGCATATCAGCTGGGAGCTTGTTGCCAGCTTTGACTCGTACCACGTCCCCTGGAACAACATCAGCGGCACTGAGATGAATCAGCTGGCCGTCGCGGATTATGTCACCCTCTTCGGGTAGCATCTCCTTGATCGAGGACATTGTGCGTGAGGTAGACCAGTCTTGGAACATGTTGAACAGGGCCTGAATAAAGAAAACCGCTAGAAGGACTATGGCGAGGGCCTATGAGGATATATCAGCAGGTACTCAGGCAAGCCACGACGGGGAACGCTCGTACCAGGTTGGCGACAGCGGGAGGGTCTCCCAAAGGCTTCCAAGAAATGAAGACAAGGATACAACCGGTAAGAAGAATGCTGCCGAAGCCACCAAAGAAATACAAGAAGATGGTTCTGAACCAGTGTGTTTTGGCTGGTGATGGAGCATTTCTTCCGTATTCTGCCTGTCGTCTTTTGGCTTGATCGCTTGAAAGACCGTCGGTAATTGAGGTGGTGAGTCGTTTCTCAACATCGATCGTGGGCAGAGTGTGCCATTCGAGATCCGTCAGGGCTGGTTAGTGCACGAGCCGTTAGCATCATTCCATTCTTTGTGGTCTTTGACTCTCACTCACCTTTGGTAGCTGTATCTCTGGCCTTGGCAAGCTCAGCCTGGTCCTTGCCTTTGGACTCTTCGATGGTAAAGGAGCTATTGGAGATGTGTGAGTAATTCGTTAGGAAGGGGAACCGGGCTTTGGCTTACACAGTACGGTAGGTAATGGGCAAAGCCAGATTGGGATCACCACGGCTCATGGAACTTGCTCGATGGATACTGAGCGAGCCTCGAGAGCGAGGGTGACTGCGATCTCGAGGTGATCGGTCACGGCGGCGTGATGGTCGCAGATTCTCGTCGTCATTTTCCCAATTGATGCGCTCACCCACCTTGACGGGCGATTTCTTTTCGTCTGGGTCAGACATAATGGATCAGATGGATGGAATTGAGAATGTTTTGGGGCAGAAAGTAAAAGTAGACAATGTGGTAAGGGAAAGCTGCTGGGACTGGTCAATTTCCAAGGAGGTGGCCGTTGTAGAAATAACACCTATAGCCTCACGGTGAGGGATTTCCCTGATGCTCAGTCTATACCAATTGAAGCTACTTTCTTGGACACTTTGTGAAGCTCCTCTCTTTCCGTCTTCCGTGGTTCGTGACGGGCGTTACTGGACCCCTAGGTAAGCTGCGAGCTAGCTAATATGGATTAGTGTGAGCCGGGCCGGGAAGAGATCGGGGCTAGCTGGTCGTTGGAGCCACACCAGTGTATGTATATGCGCGATATTCAAGCTCTGAATGATCTCTGAGCTTTTGTAATTTGACTCGGTTGAGGCGCAGTTTAATAAATGACTACAATTTGAGCGAAAGAAGCAGATTCTAGCTTAGTGGAGTGGACACGAGCGACGAGTATTCCAAGATCGGCGACTGTAGGATTGCTCACCGGCTTTTTGTGTCGAATGGAATCTCCTGCTCAGTGCGACCGATCTTGGATACCTCCATGCTTAGAGCTATTACGATGAACACATATTTGCATCAAGTCACAGGCATTCATATCTGCCACACGGACATAAGTATCGAATTAAGCTTAAGTCTACCACTTCAATGGAGGTACGAAGTGCTTATGCTATACCTCAATACGTGTGTGGTCTGACCGTATCCTTTATATCTTAAGTATACAACAGACTCTCAGATGCGAAAGAAGAAGCTGCAGTCGTTACGTTGTTGATACTTTTCGTTTCTATGTTATTTGTTGGAAACCCGATTGCAGGACGCGACGGTGATGCACAGGGAACAATGTCTCTAGGTTTGGGTAGAGCCGCGGAGTAAAACGGGAGGTTGGCGGATATTTTGCTGCCAGACTGTCGGCCAGTCACTGCTTCAGGGCGGGCTTCCTGGTCAAGATTCCTACAGCTTCAGATTATTAATGACTGATCATATTACGACCACCGGGCCGGTGCGTACCTTTGCGAACAGTAGAGCAGCTCATGATCCCTAGGAATGAACTCTTTGTCGCAGCTCATGCTAGCACAATAGGGTCAGCATTGTGTATCTAGTACGTCATCCCAAACATACCAAGAACAAGGAAAGCCATTGTCTTCCTCTTCTGCATGGTCCAGACTCTCAGCTTCTTGTTTAGCTGGGTACCTCGGTATCCTTGAGATCGTATGGCGACGAATCATGGGAACTGCTCTAACTGTAGGCGCGGTATCAAGCGGGCGGTGGCAGTGCTTGACACGGCGGTGAAACATGATAAACACAATAACGTGGGGAGAACAAAAGCAATAAAGCGGTAATATACAGCTCCTTCTTGAAGAATGGTCACAGGATGCTTCTTATCTTTAAAGGTTGTTTATATGCATCAAGGTCGTAGGGTTTGCTTGTGATTAATCTAACAGGGTCAATGAAAGTGAATTGGCGCAACTTGGCCTAAATCTGACATCCACAGTTTGTCTTATCCCTGTTCACTCATCTTTTAATTCATACGATTCAACCAATCACGAGCAGCAGAATTCAGGGCCGAGGTCAGAGCGCGAAACAAGCATTTCGTAGCCCCTCGCTTACATACCAAGCTTTTTGGACTAGCGGCTCATGCCATTATCCCCGGTCTTGGCTGGTAATATGAGGGAGTGCATCAGCTAGAATCACACCCAAGAGGCCTCCTGTGGTCTCCTCTCTCATCAGCACGAGATCTTGTGAGAAATTGCAATGGATCCGCAGGATGTTAGCTCGATTCACTGAAAAGAGGGGTCCCCCATGAAAGAAGGAATGAGCATCAAATCGCGCAGGATTTCTCCTCATTTCCGTAGCCAAGGTAATCGGGACACATTTGTTGAGATCAACATAGGATGGTCAGAAGTTGAAGCCATCAGTGTGCAGCTTCTATAACTCGTGGAAACAATAGAGAAAATCCCTCATCCTAGAAAAGGATACTCTTTTCCACAATTAAATGCGACATTGGCTGGTTATGCGGAAAAATCTCGTAGCTTACCCTGTAGGCTTTTACACGCACAGATCCAACTTTCAAGAAGCACCGTACCTTTTTCTACTTTCTACTACTATGAGCCCCCCATCTATCAATGTTGAGACTGCCATCTTCGATGACTATTTATCGAATTCACCGGATGACGATACCGCCGAGCCACTTTGTTTTAGTGTAAACAACCCACCTCTTGTTGAATCATCCAGACATTCTCAAGCCTGGCACATCGTCTGGCGTGTACGAGGTCAGCTATCCATGTCTCTCCGTGATGAAGCTTTTCCCTTGGTTGGTTATTGATCATCATATCTGCTTACAGACAGCCTCCGAAACACGTTTCAGTATGTCAACAATCGTGGACATGATAGTCAACCACAAGAATCGACGGTCAGAGTACCGTTGCTCCCAGTATGCCTAAAGCCATGTGATGCAGATGGCTGCTCTGTATTATCATTTGGAACGAAGCCGTGGACCAACGGGCTGTTTGTATTTGTTGCCGCAGGAATTCTGTCATATCTGCTGGAAGCAAGCCCGCTTTTGGTTTTCATTTGCAATGCCATCGCCATCATCCCACTGTCTGCTCTACTAACAGACGCCACTGAGGCAATTGCTGCTAGGACCGGTGATAATATTGGAGCTCTCCTCAATATCACATTTGGAAACCTTGTTGAGCTTATCCTGTTGTACGTCCACCTCTTCAATCTGACTGTTCTTTGGAGTGCTAATAATTGCAGTGTGTACGTTATCGCTTCCGCATATGAATTGATTGTATTCTTATAACACTGACGAAAACAGCATTGCTCTCAAGGAAAACAAGATATACGTCGTACAAGCCTCGATTCTTGGATCGATTCTCGTCAATTTGCTACTGGTCCTCGGTACTGCTCTCGTGGCCAGTAGTGTCGCCGGCGTAGACATGATGTACAATACAGCCGAGGCACAGCTGCTCGCATGTCTCCTTTTTGTCTCTATCTTCGTGGTCCTTATACCTGTAAGTCATAGTATGGCTTGCGCTAGGTATGTGTCTAACATCAGCAGACGGCATTCGCACAGAGTATTAGCGATCAGGGCAGAAGCAAAGCAGCAGGCATTAATATGGCCAGGATTTCTGCATTCATAGTGTTGTTAATCTATGTGCTGTACTTTGTACACCAGTTGAGGTGTCGTCCTGACAATGCAGACGATGTCGAATCTCAGGACGACGTTGGATCAAACCACCAACTTTCTCACTCTCTAGAAAGACGATCCGGATCGTTTGGTCCCCAGGCCTTACCTCCCCGTACCATCAGGTTTGCAGACGACAGTGTCGCAGATCCAAGAGCCGACTCAATCTACAAATTGAACGATATGTCCGAGTCGGGTATTATTGGACCTACGGAGTTGGACGAAGTGGTAGTTGATCGAGGTCGCAGAAGTGGGGAGATGAGTCGAACCAATTCTCGGCGCACCAGCTCGTACCAAGCCATACTCGGCTCGCGACAGCATTCACGCTCATTCTCAATTACCAGTAGTAGAGCGTGTCGCAGTCGAGAGTCATCCATGAGTGGAGACAGACGCCGTACCTCTTCTCTCCATCTCTTGGGAAATGCTCGAGTAGAGATGGAAGATCTTGTCTACAAGGATAATGAGTCCGGGCTGAAAAGCTCAGTCGCCCTCTTGGTCGTCACTTCAGCTTTGATGTCACTCTGTGGAGAGTTCCTTGTCAGCACCATTGACGATGTTACACATGACGGTAGCCTTTCTGAGCCGCTTATAGGCTTGGTTATTCTACCTATCGTCGGAAATGTGGCCGAATACGTTACTGTTGTGGCAGTAGCCATCCGCGGCAATTTAGATCTCGCAATTGCGGTCGCTGTTGGGTCATCTATTCAGATCGCATTATGCATCGCACCTCTAACATTACTGGCAGGTTGGGCAATGCAAAAGGACCTGGATCTAGCATTTGATAATTTCGAGATGGTGACTCTTGTTGGTGCAGTTCTTTTGGTTAACCTACTTATACTTACTGCTGGGAGCTCTGACTCTAGGACAGGTGGTTTGAAGGGTGCCTTGATGTGTGCATGTTATGTGATATTTAGGTAAGTTTACCTGCAGCAATAGTTTACAAGATTTACTTAACGACTACTAACAAGAACAGTATTGGTTCCTTTCTCACCATATAGTACTAGCAATAGAATTAGATCTAATAAATTCAAAATATATCTACTTGATCGTTGCAGTATTTCTATGTTACACTCGTTATTGTTTTATCGCTAACCTTTCTGCAGGTCCTAATAATACTAAAAGCGTTTCTGGGATTGCACCAAGAGGATATAATTACTGCACTCTTGACTTTAGCTGATCGCTAACCTCTAGTGAAGGTAATTCTTTATTAAGTACATCACTCCGCAAGTCCGCAATTCCGCCACTCCGCATCCCCACACCTGGGCTATTGATGGCTAAATGTTTATCATAGAGGAATTCTCAGCTCCTAGGGTTAGTCAACTTACTTAGATAACGTTATAACTTTGTTTTAATTGCGGCTTGTTTACTAACCAGACCCACGATTAGTAACTCGTCGAGTAACTCGAATGGCTATAAGTCCATCGCTGTCGCACGTAGTTTCTGTGACTGAACACTATCTCCATCATCGATATCGTATCTACCTAACATCTGCAATCATGGCTCCCGCCTTCCTTATCGTCGGGGCTACTGGCAACACTGGAAGAAGCCTCGTCGAAACCCTGTCAAAGATTCTAGACACTTCAACCACCTTTTCTGGGTACAATATCCTCGCTCAAACGCGCTCCGCCAGTGGAGCTACAGCACAGCACCTCGCTCAATTGCCCCATGTCGAAGTCGTAGAGCAGAACTGGGTTGAGATCACTTCCGCCTGGCTACGTGAACACAACGTTGTTAGGGCTTTCATCGCATCACACAACCAGCCTAATCAATTCGCTGAGGAGTCTACATTCCACGTCGCTGCGCTTAATGCAGGTGTCAAATACGTCATCCGAATCTCAACCACGACCGCAAACGTACGCCCCGATTGCCTAGCCTACTATCCAAGGACGCACTGGGCAATCGAGGCTCTGTTGAGCTCGCCGGAGTTTGATCGTCTTAGTTGGACCTCTCTTCAGCCAAATGGCTTCTCGCAGGTCTGCCTGGCGTCGGCGGCGGAGTTCATCAAGGACTATGGAAAAACTGGAAAGCAAGATGCGTTGAGATTAATGGTATCGGAGGATGCGCCAATTGGTATGATCGACTCGAATGATGTTGGCATTTTTGCAGCTCACCTCCTCGCCACTGACGACATTACTCCTCATAATAAGGCTAAATATGTCTTGAACGGACCCGAGGATATCACAGGACGCCAGATTGTCAGTCTGGTTGAGGAAATCATTGGCACTAAAGTTGGGAATGTCAAGTTCAAGGACATGACTTTTGTTGAAGGAATGTCTGCCCAGTCCCAAGAGTCCAAGAATGTCATTATGTCGATTCAGCATGCGTTGGAACCGGCATGGGAAGGGGAATGCTCGGCTTCAACCACAAGCAAGGAGGTCCTACAGATCGCAGCGCCAAAGCGCACGCCTGCAGAGGTTCTTGCGATCCTGTTAGAGGAGTAGAGCATCCTTGACTTCATTATCAAACGTCATTTTATTTTTTATTTATATATTGCTTGTTGGCAGATAAGATTTGCAATAGCCATAACCAGATTACTTTAAGAAAGTCCGCAGCGTCAAAACCTGTCACTATTGGCCCATTGAAAATAATACGTCACAACAGCTGAAGTACGTATTAAGGTGAATCTTATGTTAGCACTACTTGGAATTCATATTCCCCCTCATCATGTATTCTTTATGAGGAGGCTCCTCAAAAAGCTCATAAAACCAGGTTGAGTACCAGTTGCCACCTCTGAGGTTACCCAGGTTTTGGTCCTCTTCCGCACCCCCGAATCCAAGGCCACAATCGGAAAGGTAAGGTGACTGCATAGCAGTGACATTAACCCGACCAAGCTCTGTAGCCTGACCGCCGGTAATTGAGTCCATGGTTCTGATATCAGTGGCGAACCCAGACTTTGCGCTGTCGATGACGATCATGGGTATGTAACTACCATCATACTCGACTAGCCAGCAAGTACCACATAGCGGAGAGTCTGGTCCGTCGACGCCCTCGTAGCCCGCAAGAACAAATGGCAGATCCGCCAGAGATACCCAGCCTTGATCCTCAATGAGACTCCCTGGTTTCCCATTCCAGCATGCAAACTCTTTCACGGAAGTGTTGATGTCGTCGAAGATCCCATTGTATGTGATCGTTGTAACTACAATTGTCAATAATTAGCGTGAGTAAAGGATCATGAAGTCTAACCAATATTCGCAGAGGTTAGTGAAAGCAAAGGGGTAAGGCTGGCGAGTCGAGACATGTACATCCTGAAAGTCTATTGAGATCCTCGAGGCGATGGTGTGAAGGTTTCCTGAAAGGCTTCATTGGGGGAAATATAAGACTTGGTAAGAGGCGAGTGTGGAGCCTTTTATCCGACCCCAGTATGAATCCGTTGGTTGATTGGGGGGCTTGTAACATTCTCTGACTGTTGGTTGTTAGTTGCAGGTGTTGGTTGGCAACCCTTGACTGTTGATTGTACGTAATTGGCTGTTCTGAACTTTTCAATTCAGGTGACCCATAGGATCCGCCTTGCGTTACCTATCACGTACATTCGGTATTTTAAATTTTGTGTTGCAGTCTATCTGAGGTGAGTTCCAAGGTCTGGAACCTCTTGGACCACTGCCATACTTTTTCTACTTAGGAGTAGTGCGAGATTGTCCAGTCCGCCGAGTCATCCACCTCAATATCTTCCTCCAAATCGAGCGTGCAGCCAGAAAAGAGCCTATTGACCTCCAAGGCGCGATCGTAGCAAGTGGCCAACAATTTAAACACTGGTTCTCCATCCCGCTGAACAAGTTGCACAAGCTTGCTTATCACGATATCCGTTTCATACACAAGCGATTGCCTTTCGTAAACCGATATCTCATCAATCACGCAAAGTACCACACCTCCCTGGGGTACTTGCTCGACTATGCGCTTGAATACCGAACAAATAGTACGAACGTCAAGGCCATCCAGCTTTCGCCACTTGGAATGACTGAGGAACGATAGGTCGATATCTATCCCTTTATCCAACATCTGGCAAACCAACTGGCCTATGAGGTCGGACAGCATACCAGTTGGTGATGACCATCGGTTCCGGACACGCGATGGATTATGTTCACTGCAGAAGTACTTGAGGACAAAGATGGGAGCCCCAGCCGTAAGCCTTGTATCTGGCTCTCGTGCCATCTCTGCGACTACAAGGCTGAAAGGTGAGACTCCATCTGCGGTGGATAGATCACCGCGCCCGTTGATGAGGAGTGACGTAGAGTTTCGAGTTTCTGTCATAAATGCTTGGAACTTGTCATTGCGAAGCATTGATGCCACTCTGGACTTTGCCTTTTCATTTAGCATGTAGCTAGACGAGAGGATAGAGTCTATATCTTCGGTCAAGAATTCTTCGTGGTAGTAGAGACACTGGAGGAGTCGATTTGATTCAGAACAGGTGGTAGATGAGCCTGGTCGCCCAGTGTGCCTCGAGGAAAGTGTCGGCATGGTTGGAATAATGCTACCGTTCGTTTCGTTATCTTGCGAAGACGAGAAATCCACGTTTAATAAATCGTAGGGTGATGTATCGGGCTGAATGGTATTGCTTTCTAGGACAGATGGATCTGTAACAATTGTTATTTGATGGTCAAGGTGAGGAAAGCAAGACTGATGGGAATTTTACCTGGATCGCTTGTTTGGAATCTAGGGTTGGTTAATAGAAAGTTCAAGAACTGGTTGAACACTATCTGGATCTTTTCAGTGTTCTCATAGACCCGTGAAACCATGCGCGCTTGGCACTGCGAGGCTTCTTCATTCACAGCCTGGGCGCACATCTTCACAGCATCGAGATTCGTGAATAGCTGCTCCTTATAAGAGCCCTGCTTCATCATACTTCCAATGAACTTCTCTGTAGCGGATCAGTATCGCCCCGGTAGTCCATCAATATGACCTACTTGACTTATCGTCTAAGAAGAACTGCATGACCTGACGAAGAAACGTCAAGATGGCTCTGAAAAGCTCGATCGTTCGCTGTTCAAGAGACTGTTCTCGCATTTGTCTATACAAGTCGACATATCTTTTTGCGCTCTCCATAATTTTGGGGATTTCCGATAATGCTTCATAAATGCTTTCCTCGACTTTGGTATATTGGCTGGCAGCCTATACTTAGTTAGCCGGTTTGCCCATTGGTGTTGATCTGATTCAGTGATCTCTGTACCCCAATAGCGATCTTGAACACCCCGCAGATACTGCATCAGCTGTCAGTAATCTCCAAAGGGTGCGATATGAAGAGATTCTGTGATTATACCTTGATCCATAATCACCTGCGGGCAAAAGTCCTAACCAGGTTTCCATAGCTGCGGAATGCCTTCCGACTTTGTCTATAAACACCATGACTTTACTTTGCTTATTTGGTCGGATCTTCCACCGCTGGGCTGTTCTTCCTACCTCTCCCATAACAGCCTTCCAGTCGCAGTTGCGCAGATTGACCTTGTTCCCAATCTCACTGCCAGCTTCATGATCAAGTTTGCTTTGCACTTTCTCCATGAGTTTGAAGAGGTGTTCCATCTCATCGCGTACTTCATTCCATTTTGCGTTACTTGCGCGTGAGGTATTAGTATAACGTAATCCACAAAAGAAGTCGCACAATTACCTTTCCTCCTGTTGCAGACGAGCGTCATCAAGAGACACAAAACCATTAGCTCGTTCACTGAAGATAGGAAGTGGTTGTCCTGATAGCGCAACGTTGGTTTCAATGTATGTGATAGCGTGGCTAGGTGGATGCCGCTCACGCGCGGCTAGAAAGGCTGCTCTCTGGTGCTCTTCCATGATGTCCAGTTGAGCAAATAGGTAGCGGGGAAAGTGGAAAAAGTTTCAATGATAATACACGCTTGATGGAGTCTTCGTTTGGTGTCAACCTTATGTCAAGATCCCTCCCGAGTCTCGAGGTCGTTCACATCAATAGGCACAATTGCTCGTTATCCAACAGCTCAAGTACATATCCCTCAATCGAGACTCCCCTAAACTAAAAGTCTCAAATCAGGCTCCAGGCTTCCATCTTTTACCACCATCCTGTAAGACGAAGTGAGGGGAAGCGGGCGCATAGAGTTGGAAACGACAGGGGTCGCGAGCTCAAGATAGGTGCCCGCAGCTGACGGGATCATTCTCCTTCCACATGGCTACCAATAATTGGTCGTATCTAGACGGCTGGTCTTTCAGCTTTGGCAGGGTCGGGTTTGGGGGCAATGTAGAAGGCAAAGATTTACTGCAGCCCTTGCCCTCTACCTTATAATAGATAATGTTGTTTGATATGAGGGATTTTCTTCTGACTAGACATTTGTTTAACTTTAACGGGATCTCTACGTTAATCACAAATACTAGAAGTTTTACAACTTGCATCGAGACCTTAGTTCGTACGCTACAGGCGTTCGCTTACGTCCCCGGCCCTTTCTCAAAATCGAAATTCCACTGGCTTTCGCCCCATTTACTTCAAGCCTTTCCCTGCCAATGGGGCCTGAAAGACAGGCTGAGGCCGTGCAGCTTGAACACGAAGATCCCAAGACCTCGGCCACACAATCTAGGGAACAAGGTGGTCTAGGAAATGAGCAAGTGGCTAAAGCCCGTGACAATGACCCCATTGAAGATGTGTTGATGCGTTTGGCTCAGGCAAAAGAACTGGTCACCCACGGAAAGACTTATGAGGATGTTGAAGCTGTTCGGAGCGATGCTCTGGACTCCAATTATGCAGCCCTTTGCGACAACTTACTCAAAAGGGATCGGCGTCTGGGACAACTCAATACACGGTCTTGGCAAGCGACCATTCACCATAATTTCACAAATCTCAGGATACAAGAACTTGAAGGCGAGGTTAAGTCGTTGAAGAAAAGGGTTTTCGATTTAGGAGACGACCATGAGTTTGTGGATCGGAAAGAGCAATTTCCTGTCCACCTTCACGAGTTAAAAAAGTCCCTTGCCCATGATTTTATACTCAACAGCGATGTGGTTCGCCTCCCTGCAGCACAACAACCAGCGCTAGAAATTCGACTACCTGGAGGTACTCCTTCAAAACAAAGTCCAGCACAAAATTCCTCAACGCAAGTCAACGGCCCACATGGGCATTCCGCAGAGATGGTAGAGGAGGCTCGTGTTGAGGTTACCCCAGATAGATTGCGGATCAGGTCTCGGCCTCTCATGTTCCATCTGGAAGAGTTGACAGGTACTCCAATACTCTCTCTAGTAGGGATGGATACTGTGTACGACGATATGCGAAAGGCTCACAATTCCCTTGTCTTTCTACGCCCGTTCCGATTTTTTACTCGACACGAAACTGCCATCAGAAAAAGCGTCGCTGTCGTAGAAGCCAAGGTCGAAGAGGAGATACGAAATGAGAATCAGGTTAAGCTTGATTCTCAGAAAAATCAAAAACAGTTCTCGACTAAGACTCTTCTCGACGACCTTAGACTTCTGATTACTTTTCTCAACACAGATCTCCGCCCGACCATAAAATTGGCTGCGAGAATCAATAATGGTTCAGCTGCAGTAGTTGAATATGCAGATCTTAAACATCTCTTCAAGAGGGGTGATGTTGTTGTTGCTAGAACTGAGCAGGCCTATGCACGAATGGTTGTAAACCTGGCGGGCGGGCGTGACCCTCTTACCCACAAGCTTCGTGACGAGAGTAAAGGAACTCCCATTCCAGTCGATGGCTTCGCTATTGACTGCATCAGTTTTGAATCCAATGGATCTTCCTTTTTACCAAAGGTTGAAAAGTTCTCTATTAGAAAGTTCCATGGTACGCGGGCAATTTCATCATTGCCAATCTATCCTCTCAGATTTGACCCAAATGCAGAGTCTCTTGTCAACCGGTTCAGAGAAAGCGGCAAGCAGTTCTCTGATGTTGCAAATAGTTCTTTTTGCCACAGAAGGGTCGTGGGCAAAACTATGGATGAACCATCTGTCAACCTCGACGCTGAAGTCATTGTCGACATGACTCTTGCAATGAGCGTCAAGTCTGAGTGGCGACCTGATCACAAGCATCCCTCAGAGAGCTTTACTCGCAGTGATAAGAGGGAAGTTGAAGAGATGCCCTGGTGCAAGCACACATTCAGTTACACTACTTGTTGTGGTAGCGATGTAATCTTTAACGACTTGGAGTTGGATGATTTTGAAGCTGAAGAGTTCACAAAAGAAAGGGGCCACATGTTACACCCGACTGCTTATGAAGACCTTACAGATGATCATTTTTTGATAATGAGGCCCTACGTTCATGCATTCGTTTTACGTTCACGGCAATGGGTAACAATACGGTCTGAGGACCTACAAGAAGTGGTATTTCGAAACAACTTTGACGACCTTGTGGTACCCGATGATCACAAAACAACCGTGAAGGCTCTGGTTACCACCCATGAAAACGCAAGGTCGCCACAATCCCCTTCTACCCTACAGTCAAGTATCGGTTCTGTTCTGGACCTGGTCAAAGGAAAGGGAGCCGGGTTGGTGATTTTACTACACGGTCCACCCGGTGTCGGAAAGACTTCGACCGCTGAATGCGTTGCTGACGACACCAAGAGACCGCTATTTCCCATCACATGCGGCGACATCGGCGAAACAGCCTCCGACGTCGAGCATAACCTGCAAAAGAACTTTCAATTGGCCCACAAATGGGGTTGCGTCCTACTACTCGACGAGGCTGACATTTTCCTTGCCAAGCGAACAAGGAGCGATCTGCGACACAATGCTGTTACGAGTGTTTTCCTGCGGAGCCTTGAGTACTATGCAGGTATCCTGTTCCTGACAACAAACCGTGTCGGTGCGATCGATCCTGCGTTCAGATCCAGGATTCAGATGTCGCTGTTCTACCCGAAGTTGAGTCTCGATGTTACTTGCCAGCTATACATGAAATTCATTCGAAGGGCCAAGGCTGAGCAGCAGCGAAAGGGCGACGCTCTGTTCAAGATCAAGGAGAAAGAAATTCTGAAGTTTGGCAAGAAGCATTTCCGTGTTTTGGAGAAGGGAGGTTACGAGACATGGAACGGAAGGTAAGCAAGCCTATTATACCACGCTTTTCCAATATCCTGACTTTACTAGACAAATTCGGAATGCCTTCCAGACCGCTATTGCCCTTTCCGAGCACCAGAGTATGGTCAAGGCTCCCGAGGATCCCATCCCAACTCTAGGGAAAGAGCAGTTTGAAACTGTAGCTCGAGGATTCACACAATTCGATGAGTACCTCAACAAGACGCTTGGAGGAACAGATGCCGACGTAGCTAGGAGAGAAGGATATCGCAACGACTACTTCATGAATGCAGGAAACCCACCAGCTCCCATGGTTCCGTCCTACCCTGCCTATTCGAGACCGACAGCTCCTCAGGGTGCAATGGACATCAACAGTGACGACGATAGCGATTCAGACACAGAGAGTGACAAGGACTCTGATGATGAGCCTGGACAGACTAAGAAAGGGAAGAGTGGAGCTGCGGGTCAGGAAACGGCTGCGACTTCAGGTCAGACTGCTGATGATATGAACGAATTTCGTGAGTACATGATGTGGAAGCAAAGAAAGTCGCAGTTCAAGTGATCCTAAGCTGCTATCAACGAGTTAATCTAGTCAAGAGAAAATTTATTCAGTATCTATGATATGACCGACCTTGCGCTGGCATCAAGAACCACAAGACCCAACATCCCTCGCGATCGGGTTTACAAGATGTCATTCACGGACGCGCTTAATGCTGCCGATGTTTATCTAAGTGGATAACCTCTAAATTCTGCTGAAAGCTTGGCCGTGAAATTAAACGACAACAAGGGAGGGTGTCAATCAAGGCACTCCCCGATTTTAACCGTCAAGTATAGCTTGTTCCTTGATAACATCTATCAGTGCGTTGACGCATTAACTGCCCAACATCCCTTCATTACAACCCATGTCTATCAATTAAGAATTTTCACGTCAAAGCGAGTCAAGGGATATGATACCATTCAGCAAAAGAAGCAATACAACTGATCCTTCAGCCAAGCGATAATCTTATCAAGGACTTTAATTATGTGCATCCACTCTGAACCTAGCAAGCCAAGCGTTGGGCTCAAATCGCAAGGATAAAAAGTCGTCAATCCTGAGACGATCTTAAAAAAGTCTTCAATTTTGAGACATTGTGTTTGACTTGAATGACACGGACGATTGAGGCTCTCCCGAACGTGCCCGGTAGCTAATTTAAACCCTTGAATTGGGCGTAAAAAGGACGGGAGTTGGGCGGCGAAACGGAATGGCCGCCGGGGACTCCACTATTAGTGATTCATGGATTCAGCTGTTCAATTCAGCGACGAGGGCACCGCAAATACTGTAATGTCTGTAATAATTCTCTTTTTCGGCAGTATAGCCGTGGAATATCTCTGATGAATGCTGGCATCTTCCATGGTCTGTTGTGTTGTTACGGTCAATGATACGAATGGCATGTTCCTGCGCTGTCATGGTGAGGCCTCTCCTCTTATCACGACCGTGCGTGGCAAAACAGGTTTAACAAACTTTGAGGCTCGGTCTTATCTCTTCAACCCTTGTTTGGGTCTGCCAGATCAATTGGCTACCGGGTCCGGCGCACCGGGACTCCCTTCCGCGTAGCCAGAACATCACGTTAACTCCCGTCAATCAGTCTGATGTCGTAGTCAGGACTTTGAAATCCGGCCACTACAGGGGACTAGCCCTGTGAATTAGCGTCCGCCCCCTGTATTTGCACCCGATGAGCCTCAAGGAACCCGCTTTTAGACAGGGAATAGTGAACCTAAACTTTTCGAGTCACGGTTTCATCACGAGATTTTATCGTCGAACTCGATGATTCTACTCGTAATCGCCCCCTTTTGACGAAGGATTAGCTGAGCTTTGATAAACTTAGCCCGCGGACCTCTTTCACTGTCCTTTATAAATACACCATGTTGCCTCTTTTAGGATGTTACTTATTCTGCAGATACTCACATTTAATTACATCAATGATATCATACTCTCGTTAATACTTCAATCATCAAAATGGATCGTCTAAGAGATCTTGAAACGCCTTGGGTAGATTCCAACACCCCCACCCGTCGCAACTCAATCGATCTTTCTGTCCCAGTCCCTTTGCCACCGGATCACGAGAATGATCCTAAGGCTTTTTTGAAGCATCACGCTGCAAAGACAGCTGCAGCCGAAAAACACACCGAACCAGAAAAGCCCTGCAATCTTGAACAGCCTTCAGATCTGGAAAAGGGCAATGACACAACACCCCAACATTTATCTTTTAGACAAAGATTGCATCACTTTACATGGGCTTGGTTCACTCTCCCCATGTCCGCTGGTGGATTAGCATTGCTCATCCACGTCCAACCTCATCAATTCACCGGATTAAGGATTATCGGAATGGTGCTTTATGCCATTAACCTACTTATATTTACATTATGCTGCATCGGAATGATTCTTCGATTCTCGTTTAATACTGGCGATTTGAAACGATCAGTTACACACCATCGAGAAGGTTTCTTCCTACCAACATTCTTCCTCGCCATCGCTTCGTTAATTACCAGCACACAACGCTACGTCATTCCCAAAGACGACGCTTCATACGCATGGGCTACACAGACCATCTTCTGGATCTATGTCGTTGTCACATTCATCCTAGCAATCTGGCAATATTCTTTCCTCTTTGCTGGTCATAGTTTTAGCTTACAAGCCATGATGCCAGGCTGGTTACTCCCTATCTTCCCCGTCATGTTAGCTGGAACAGTCGCTACAGTTATCCTCGACACACAGACCCATCTTAACCCGCTACCTATTATCTTTGCCGGCTTGACGTGTCAAGGCTTGGGATTCTGCGTGTCGATGATGATGTATGCGCACATGATCGGTCGACTTATGCAATCTGGTCTTCCGAACCGCGAACATAGAACTGCGTTGTTCATGAACGTCGGTCCGCCATCGTTTACGGCTTTAGCTCTTATCGGAATGGCGAATGCTTTGCCCAGAACAATCTCTGGCGCTGATAATCTTGCTCTCAACGTCGATACCGTCCGCACGGTAGCGCTCCTCTGCGCTGTGTTTCTCTGGGCGTTGAGTCTTTGGTGGTTCTTCATCGCTGCTGTCGCAGTAATTTCCTCACCACCCAAGTTCTTTCACCTGGGCTGGTGGCCTTTGGTCTTTCCCAACACGGGCTTTACGCTTGCTACTATCTCTATCGGGAACGCGTTCAAGTGCGAGGGTCTTCTTTGGGCTGGGAGTGGGATGTCTATTATTCTTGTTGCTACATTCTTGGTTGTTGTTTCGTTTAATATTCGGGCTGTATTTGTACGGGATATCATGTATCCTGGAAAGGATGAGGATGCGGATGATCACTAAAAGTAAAAGGCTATAGATGGAGTTAGGATTTGTTTTAAGATACCATGGGATACAGGATAGAGTTAGATAAAAGTACAGGCTCTAGATTACAGATATATAGTCCTCAAAGGACACCTAATAATTCACAACACCACATCTTCACTTCATCAATCATTAATTTCACAGCGCCATGTGTTGTTCAATCATAACATCTGCAGCCCATTCGGTCCAAGCCGGGCCAGAACCTTCGACGCCAACAGGGATGATAAAGTGTTAACAGGGGATGATCAGGAAACTTTCCTGAATCAGTCGAGAATGCTTGGATCGTAATCACTGGGGCCACGGTCTTACGAGTCCGTGAAACAGGGCCGATATGACTGACTTGCTGCTCCCCCTTTCTAAATCCGTCCTTCCGACTTTCGGCGAGGGTCGGGCCGGCAAATTTTATGATTTCGCCGAAGGTTCGAGTCAGTTAACCTAGAGTCACCTTGTTGATGGAAAAAGTTGACTGTATCAGGAATCTCAGCGAACAATGACGCTTTCCAATTGAGATGGAAGGATGAAAAATTAATGTTAGATGAATACAATATTCCTTTTAATGTTGTATCCAACAGCTGATTGTGGGTGGCGCCTTTTCTGTCTGTATGTTGAAAATGTAATATGGATGCAACAAATTGGGTTGTCTGCCTTGAGCAAATGATCATCTCTCATTATTTGCATAACAGTAACTCAACCAGCTTTTGTTACAATAAATCAGTCCAGCTATTAATGTTCATCCAATCCTGCTCCGAAGCAAAATTAAACTGCTGCACTCCCTCAGCCCCAAGCAACCGATTCCAATCCGGCGGACTCTCTGGAACCATAACCTGCTCACCCTGCAACCTCTGACTCACAAGCGTCTCATACTCGCGATGCAGTTCCTCAAAAACACTATGCACGGCCTCAGCGTTTGGCCAATGCCTCGCAAGCATAAGCGTGCATCTCAACAGCCGTGATAGTCGTTCCAAAGCGTTGATAGCTACCAAGAAGGTTTGTGATGTTACAGCTGCCCGGATTTCACCGGCGAACTGAATGCCGGCTGCTGTTACGGCGCTGACGGATGTAAAGTGGCATTGACGGAGTTCGTCGCGTGCGGAGAGCTTTTCAAGGGATGTTACGATTGCTTGGGCGGCGGCGGAGCAGATTGATGAGGAGCTGGGTGAGGGAAGGTTGCGGTGGAGATGAAGAAGGAGGAGATTGTAGTGCATTCGTAGATGACATGTCCAGGAGTCGTCGTCTTCTGCGACGGTGGAAATGCCGGATCTCAAAGACCAGAGTCCAAGACGAGCGTCGATGGAAGAGATATCTATCATTCTATCTCTGGCTGGGGCGTTGAGAGATGTAACGTCTAGCCCGATATATGCCAGATCGACGAGATGGTTGAGGAAGTCTGGAGTAGCACCTGATGTTTCGGCCATTGCGGGATCGGTCGTTCCAGTATCCGTCATATCCTCCTGTCGCAGCGGCAATTGATCAATATCTTCTGCTCGTACAGCACACGGTCGTCCCGTTTCCAGGGCGGAGAAAACCTCGCAAAAGAAAGCAGACCACCAACATCGCCTATACTGCGCCGTCTCCGCAGCAGGTAAATGCGCACTATTCCGATGAGCACCAGACCCTGTACCGATACGCACAGCTATACCAGCCCAGTACCACGGTCCTCCAGCAACTGTATCTCCATCGCCAATATGCCACGTGAAGAGCGCAGCAGCTTGGAGGAGATGCATCCTATCAGACTCATGACGCATATGATATAACATACTTGCCCTCCGAAAAAGGATATTCTGCACGGCATGACGATCGTTTGCGACGAGAGGATGAGGACAGGCGTGTGCACCAGCCATGAGAACAGACTGGAAAAGAAGCAGTGGAGGCGGATTATCAGGAGTCCTGTACCGAGCAAGAAACTCTGGTTTTGACACGATTGGTAGAAAAGGATGTATATGATCGAAATACGCTGTGACAAGCGCATCCCTAACTTCCTGCGCAGGAAAAGACGATACTTCCGTAACAAGCTCCTGACTCATCCAAGAACTAGGCGTCGGTTTCCACGAATTAACCTGTCGAATAGGCGGATAAGGATAATGCAATGGTCTCCCACCGCCAGTCCTATCACTTCCCGATGAACTATGTGTTTCCGGTCCATTGTCCCCGGAGTAAGGCTGTCTGAACGATCTGTGCAGATCGACTAAATGCACGAGGTTAGATACTGCTGTGCCGACGTAGGCGATGCGGAAGCTTTTGGTAGAGGCGAAGACGGCCCATGCTGCTGCGCCGATGCCATGTTTGAAGAAGCGAGCCAGACCCTCGCGAGCGAGTTTCTCTTGGTTGTCTGATTGAGTCAGTTCTTGGGGTTTGGGAGGTTGTTCGGGTCCGATGACGGTGAGTTGAGTGTCGGGGTTAGTGTTCCGCGACGCGGCTCCGGGTTCCGGATCCGGATCTTGACTTTCTCTTTCTTCGAATGAATGTCTTGATAAAACAGAACTTCGTCTTTCACTCGTCCATTTCGATCTATTCAACCAACATCAGCATCATACCCTGTCATTTCTCATTGATGTGGGACCTCGGAACCGTGCCCGTGACTTACCGACATTCCAACCCCGACTTTTCGCATACTGAACAAGGGCCTGTCGGTTTATCAACGATGTCGCAGCGGACTTTGCGGCGTCGACATAAATCACATGCCTTTCGCTGTTGCCGACGACGTTTGTCGTGAAGTTTCCGAGGAGTCGGGTCCATGATGATGAGAGGTAAGAGAAATCAATCGGAACCGGTAGCGGGGATTGACGAATGACGATGAGGTCTCGGTGTGGGTTCGGCTCCAGAGGGCTGAGCCGAGACGGGAATTGAGCGGGTATAGCGTGTCGAGAACTAGACATCACGTTCTTTGTTCTTTGAAAGATATTCTTCTTCTTGTTTTTCTAATTGCGATCTGGTATCTGATATACCAAGACTTAAAAGTAGTTTGTGCATTATTTCTCATGATATCAGTTGTTGTTGGGAATAGCAATGGTAGACTCAATTGCTGCACCTCCGCAGTCGGCTCTCCGACAATGCGGGGATCACCACGACGGCATAACCTCAACTCATCACCGTACCTACAGCTATCAACGAAATCTTAACGACTACCGATCATGACTTTGGAGATCAAAGGATCCACCATACTTGTTACAGCAGGTACTTCCGGCCTTGGTCTAAGCGTCGCCAAAAAGCTCATTCAACTCGGCGCAAACGTCGCGATAAACTATGCCTCCAATGAACAACGCGCCCATGATGCTGTTCTGGAACTCGAAGAACTAGTATCGGGACAATCACCAACTCCCGATTATATGGCCGTACAAGCCGACGTTACCAAGAAATCCGAAATTGAGAGGCTGGTGGCTGAGACAGTCCGGTGGTCGGGCGGCAAGCTCGATGCTGTGGTGTCGAATGCTGGCTGGACCAAGTTTGCCACCTTCAATGACCTGGATGATAATGTCGACGAAGACGTCTGGGATAAGTGTTATGCGGCGAATGTAAAGTCTCATCTTTTTCTTTGCCATGCTGCGAAGAAGTATCTTGAGGAAGCGAAGGGAGCTTTTGTCATGACCTCTTCTGTCGCGGGTGTCAAACCTAGTGGAAGCTCAATTGTAAGTCTCGCCGCAATGAAAGTTATCTTTGGAGGTTGAGTTAACGAACGATCAGGCCTACTCTGTTACTAAGGCTGCTCAGATCCATCTGGCCAAGTCTCTGGCTATGGTCATGGCTCCTAACATCCGTGTCAATGCTGTGTCGCCGGGCTTCATGGAGACGGTAGGTCACTGAACTGATTAATGAGTGAAGGCTAACATGGATGACAGAATTGGATCGCCGATTTTCCCCAGTCCAGGATTGAAGAGGCGAGAGAGAAGACTTTGCTTAAGCAGATTACTCAAGTTGATGTACGAAAGCACGTTTCTTCTCCGCAGTTGGAAGCTAACCACCATCAGGATGTGGCTGATCAGATTATTCTACTCATCAAGTCGCAATCTATAACGGGAACGAACGTCGTCATCGACTCAGGCTTTTCTGTTTAGCCTTGATAGGAGAAAAGGAAGTGAAAATACCAAGACATCGCAACAAAGCAGGCCATACCCAGTATACTTGTTCGTGGTGTTTCATTAACAATTAGATCAGGAATGAGTATAGAGTGATGAACGTTTATACTTTCAGCTTTGTCCTTACCTACGTACTGTCATAAAGTCCCCATAGGATATCTTGTAAATCATGTCCAAGCTTCGATATTTTGTTCATGGATACTTGGCGACTAGGCGAAACTATGATTCAGCACCGCAGGTGGCATAGATGGCCTCTTCTGACAGGATGTAAGAAGTTGACATGCCAAGTGACAATCTGGGATACGATTGAGTAAATGCGTAAAGGCGACTTAGGATACCATGGCGATATGTACAGTATATACCAGTGCTTGTGTATGTGAAGGAGCCAACAAGCAGGTTTCCGTAGTCTCTACTAATCGCCAATATACCAGACCGCTCAATGTGGACGCCAATTGAGGATTTTCCGAGGCGTAGGTCCCGAGGTATACATATAAAGGAACAGTGTCGACGCAATTGCGTCTCTTCACTGCAAATTTAACCCCGTACAAGCCCGGGCGATCGTGGTACGTACCTCTACTGAGCACCTTCGTCGATGCAAATGCGTTTCTTCACTGCAACTTTAACCCCGTACCAGCCCAAGTAGCCATACGTACCTGCGCGAGATAAAGGCACTCTGTGACAAAACAGGGGACATAGTTTGCGTATCGGGCCGTGGCAGATACAGCTTTCGACTGGTTCGATCACAATCTCTAGGAGCGAACGTGGCCATTAACTTATGCTTCTCCGTCTACTGGAAAGGCAGGGATAAGAGTACTGGGGCACTGCAACAAAGCATGCCGCTGTGAAGTTATCAACACCTGTTCAGGGATAATGTGGACTACAGCTCTTCTCAAGCGTGGCAATATAATCTAACTACAGGTTGAAGGGATGCATTGCATCAGGAAGTGTTCTTCAGATTAGCTATGGAGGGCGAGTTGCTGTGTACAGAGCAACTTGTCACCGGATGATATATGGAGGTGAGCAGAAGGTCTCTATACTGCGAGATTACGTGTAAAATAGCGGAAATTTATAAAACAAGCTCCTGTGGTCCGTACAGCTCCCAGAGCCTGATTAGCCACACCGTTTGTGGCTTTCTACTACCTGTAGATCTACCTGCTTCCGTGTAGGCGTGTTATAACGGAACATACGGGTGGAGTAGCGGAAACTTCCCTCTCGCGACTCCGGGTTCTACATTCAGAGTGATATGAGATGCCTTACGGTATAGATGACGGGTCTATGGGAGTGAGTTCAGGAGCAACTTTGTTAATAAACCTTCATGGTTCTGTCATCGCAAAAGTCGAAATGGAGTTCACAAACGACGACAGCCTGATACGTCTCTCCCCGTGGTTCAAGAATTGTTCTGTCTTCTTCATGCGTTCAGAGAGCCTCGAAAACGGCACAACTGATATTCTGGACTGCAGGTCGCGTGAATGACCTCATTTGGCTCGGTTAGATCATTGAAAAATGACAACAACTATGATACGCCATTTTGTGATTCTGATGTGAAACCAAGCTCTTGGCTTGAAAATGGGATAATGATTGGCGACACTTGCTGACGAAAGTGCAGCTGACGGTCATCATTGAACAACCAACAAGAAGAAATACAACTAGGCTGCTCGACATGTAACAACTTCGCTTTAAGTAATCTGGCTTGAAAGTTGAAGGGTGATTGGATGGCCTTGTTAGCAAGAATTGCAGTTGACAATCTCTATTATTGCCAAGAAACAGGAAAATAAGGCGGTAATGATCTTCGTGAGATTGAGGATCCAATATGCACGCCTTTCCTGTCTACACCAATAGCCCAGGAGCGCCAAGCAGGCAGGGAGGCGGATCACCATCAGCCCATGTCAGGTGGTACTGTGGTTTGTTACAACTGTCGTGTCGACGCATTTGCGTCGAGACGCGAATGCGTCCACTTCTTCTGGTGGAAAAGGCAATGGTTCGCCAGTTCGCCAGTTCGCCAGTTCGCCAGTTCGCCAGTTCGCCAAGACATAGTTGAGGTTTGCGGGAGAGGCTGTATATAAATAATGATGTTCCCCTCTTGACAGATTCTACATAGCAGGCATCGAGTAGCTTCACCCAAGGATCATACACTTCGCTTTCCCCATCTTCACCTACCAACCGCGGTCTCTGTCAAAGCATTCGGGTTCATCTCTTTTGAAGTAACATAGCGTCGAGAGAGAGTCTGCGCAAAGTCGATGGATGAATTCACCGCCTATTTTCCTCCAAGAAGATGATCAAGCTCCTGGGTCATCTTGTCCTTGTATCCCAAATTGACTGCCACTGCTTCGTGACCAAGACCTTGCAACTTGATGTTCATCTCTGTAGTCTTCTCTGCCACAGATGGGGCTAGTGTACCAAGGATCAAACGGCCTTGGACACCTGATTCGCTCTCATCTTGGTGAGAGATAAAACGGCCCAACATGGGGGATCGGGCAGTCGTAGTTGCCTTTTCGGTCTTCATTTTTGTCCTGCCCGTAACGTTAGTCCATTGCCAAAGCCTTGCTACACAACGGCTCACTATCGACAATCGTACCTTGTGTATTGTGTATCGTTTCTTTAAAATTAATTTTCCCTTAGACTTGTCCTACTAGAGGTGATGTGTTATTATCAGTGAAGAGAATCTGAACGTCCCCAAGTTTGGGATTTTATTGAGTTTCCCGAATCGGGGCAGGCCTTCTATTTATTAGAAAATAGAGGGCCCCGAATAGACAACCGCCAGCCATAACCAAACTCATGAATTGCAGCGGTATAACTCTGAAAAGCTAAAGGTAACCGCCATGAACCCAATAGGGTATGCCAGTAGCGCAACTCCAGCGGAGATTGTTAGCTCGGACGGCCGTCAAGTTCAGTTACACTGAGCGGCGCATCGTCAAGGAGCCAACCGATGGTTCCAATACGGATCTATTTCTTTTGGACTGTAAACTCCAGACCGTAGCAATCCGCCTTGAGAGCCTACTTCCCAAAAGTCCAACCAACACTTTATTTCACCCCCCTACGGACATGCTAGAGTCTTACTGACCGTACCATTCGTGTTTCAACCGACCAGCTGCAAGGCATTGTAATAAGACGCATGCAGGTGGCTGAGACCAGGATGTGCTTTTTCCATTTCCATCTTTCCCTTCACCGATGTTGCTTGTAGTTCTGAATTCCCATGCCTTTGCTTCACGCCCACCCTGATTTGTCCCCTGGACTGCAGTCGATGGCGCACCCCATTGCTTTCGTATCACCACCGTCATCTGCGGTCTTTGCTTCTGGTCCTCAATACCAAGGTCAGAGGCAATGCAAGGGGATTGAAAATCTTGGAGGATGTACGGCCTCGCCTGTACTACTCATATTGTCTTTCATACAAGAACAATTCCTAAAGAGACACCACATAGCAGACAAGGCATTGTATCAACCCCCCTAAGAGAGCCTAATTGTGGGCAAACTATGATTTACAGGTTTCGTATTCGTGGGAGCGGTGTTGGAAAGCTTCGAAAAAAAGGTGCGGTGTTGATTGATGACATATTTCGCTGACCACTCAAACCCAACTCTGGCTTTTGGACATGCCAGTGAAGGATCTACAGTGATTGCGATTGGCATGATACATGCTTGCACATGCCTCAGCGCCTGTATCTCAATTGTCACTTATCTCTCACAATTACAAGCAAGGTCGTTTCTTTTCGCGAAGACGATTATAAACTAGCAGGAATAGCCTGAGCCTGCACTGTTTTACCTAGCGAGTAAATATGATTGACGAGATGCGCCAATACATTTCCATGGCATCAGTAGAGCTGTCATCTAGCTCCCATCAGGCCGATGCTTATCGAGTCCAGGTTATTGACTATGCAATGGTTCTAGGAAGTCGTATTGCATTGTTCAAAGTACAGGCACCATACCACCCATCATCATCTTCAGCAGATGAATGTCTTGCTGTGTGGGGCACGGAGGGAATCGCGCTCCCAATGTGGACATATGGGGCGCCAAGGAGGTACTCGACGTACCGGAAGTACCGCTAAGCCTGTAAGCTTGCTCAGTTGGAAGTAATATGGTTTAAGCGTATACAGGGCTATGGAGGTACAGCTCAAAATTGGTAGCAACAGAGTGTAAATTTCCAAACCATTGCAAAGTCGGCTGAGCTTAAGTTCCTCAGTCAGTGGGCTACATCTGTCGAATGCACGCAGCCCTGCAAGGTGTGGGTGGGGTGGATGATATCGAGGCCTCATAGGACAATGAACCTGGAACAAGTAGTGGCTGGCAGTCCTCTGGTCACTCGGGTTTGTTGCTGCACTGTGCTGTACCAGAATAACTCTCGGGCACAATCTCCACCCACATTGTACAGAATCCCGACAATGGCTACGTCCCAGAGACATGATATTCGGTGTGTGAACGCTAGGTTATAGTAAACATATTATCTGATTAGAGCAAGATGAGAGTTTGAAATGTCAAAATATTATCGAAGGTGCGCAGCCTATTCTTCAGGTCTGTACGGTCGATGATTGATATCTGCAGCTATTGCTTGAGCCTTTTAAAGGCCAGACATAACGCTCCCAACTTCGGAAAGCGTTTTGGAAACTCCCTATCTATTTCTAATACCAATTGCTGCCCCCAGAATTAGGATCGTTCTGAAACAACAAGTGCGCAAAGTCGTCATGCCACAACCTGAGATCCTGTGACTGCTCGTCATTGCTGGTCGCAATTGCGGTTCCGAGGCTCTGCAGGGCGGCCTCTGGAGAGCCACGGTTTTGTTTTCTGTTCCCATTGCTATTGTCAGTCACTAGATCGCGATCGAGTGCATTCCCTCCATCTCCAACTTCTGACATGTCGTTTCGAGTCGGTGGACCGAAGTTGAAACCGGTATGCACTTGTCGTTGCAGTGAGGTCGAGACAGACTCAGCACTGGAACCTTGCCCAGGTGGGGCAGGAATGCAAACTAGTTTGAGAATGTGAGCGTTGTTTACCGTAAGCTTGTTCAGTGGATTTACCATGAATAAGAAGAAGATCTCGTGTCTTGAAAGAGACCCCACAGAGAATGCAGTCGTAGGTCTCAGTATTTGACTCCCTATGGCCAGGTTCAGGATGGAATCGGGCTTGCTGTTGTTGCTGCGGTTGGTCCCAGAATAGAATATCGTTGGAGGGATCAGTTTCAAGGCTGCATATCTCTGTATATAAGTCCACTTCCAAACCAAACTGGAATCCAGGATTCGACACTTCATCAAGTGGAAGCTCGGTAATCTCACGAACTTGAGATGAGGTTTGACCTGTCCTATCCAAGTCGGTCATCAATCGTCGGTGCCATTGCCCATCGTCTTGGGTCTCTGACGCTGGCCTTGCTATTACTGCTGGTGGATTGTCTAGCGTCTGCTTTGCGTTTTGGTTGCACATGGCGGTGAATGTGTTGTCGAAAGCCGCAGTGGCACCAGAAATTATCAGGTTCATCAGTTCCGGATCTTGCAAGCCCCTGATACCTGGGGTATCACCTAGGTCCCATGTTGAAAATCTTTCGTCAAGATTTTCTCGGAACATCCTCTGCGCAACAGCTTTGGAAGGAAGTGCGTTTCCCTTCTCCTCGAGCTCGTAGTCTAACACAACAATTAAAGTTTGCTTCCCATGCAGATCCTGGCTGATTCAGAACTCACAAGGACTTGGAAACGATGGATCGTCTGGAAAGATAATTCGATACATGGAATACCACTTTTCCTCTTCGGTCGTTGTGGTTTTGCCCCTCTGCTTGAGCAGCCTCATTTTGCTTCCATCGACTCGAGATGAAGCCGATGGGGCTTGCCGAACTTTGCAAGTCTCTTGCGCTCGAAAGTGCTGCATCATGGATTGTTCATTCTTGAATTCCATGAAGCATCTAGGACATTGATGATCTGGACCCTTATGCTTCCGAAATATGTGCTCCCTGGAATATGATGATAATTAGTTTAGTTCACCGCAAGAAAACTCTACCATCGAGTTATTGTTTTTCGGGGTTCTGGTGGAAATCCAAATCTTCATACTTTACCCTCTGAACAGTAGCCCACCCTGGCCCACGACACGATCGTTCGTCGACAAACTCATCGGGACTGCGCTTGTAAAAAGGACAAGCATATCTTGATGACTTCTCGATTTGTTGATTACTTTTTCTCGGCCTTTTTTCGTCGTCGTCGTCATCCGAGGATTCTTCCGAGTTTGCGGATCTCTTTTGACCGGCCATTGAAGGCCAAGTAGATTGTCTCGGTTTCTGTAGATCGGTACTTTCTGACTTGTCTTGTGTTTTCTCGGAGCTAGTCTTTGTGCGCTGGCTTTCACCTTCATTGTCACGGTTCGCCTCCGCCTCCAGGGCCCTCATCACTGTCCTGTAATGCAAATTCTTGTAGTGAATATGATGATGGGGCATTTCGGAGTACTGGTCTTCCCGAGAAGAATAGCGACAAACATTAACCGGCTTGCAAAACATATAATATGCGGTTTGAACCATCATCTGGACAGCGATCATGGCAATGACTTCAACGCTTGAAGCCGACGGCCCTTGTACCCGGGGTCCATCCTTTCCTGGTACAGGACATCCCGCGGCTTGTACAATCTTACTGGGGTATTTAGAACCCGTAGCAAAATATGACATCGAACTTCGAGGTGAATCTGTCAGACACTCGGATTTTTGGTCGCAGCTGGCCGGTTGACCTGCTGTGTCGTCGGGTAAGCCTGTCCATCGTAGGCCACCTGGTGGCAAACTGTCAAACATTCGGAGCACGCAGTCAAGTGGTGATCTCTTGTCGTAAAATTGTCCTAGCAAGTCAGACTCAAGGCGTTGCAGCGCATTCATTCGTCGGATGGCAGTCGAAGTCGAAAACTATCAAAACCTTCTTGGCTTGGGGAGAGTGTAGGTGAAAAAGGTGACGTGGCGCTGATTGATTTTGGGGCTGAAAGGTCACTGTGCTTGGGCTGCGCAACAACCAGTAGGAGCACCGATGAATACCAGCAGTCAGCCCCCAAAATCCCCAATCATACATGTTCACGCCCCCTTGCGACCCCCTACTGCGAGAAGGTAGCTTCCGTAGCACACCGAGAATCCAGGAATTTAGCATCGCAACCTATCATTACTGTACTATTACGTTAACCATAAGCGTACTACGGTATAAAGTAGCAGACTAATAAAGATAATCTAGTGTCAGGGTATTTCATCTAAGTTATTTTTATAAACAGCAAGTAAGATAAATACCTACGTCTCTGACTACTAAATAATCATCTGATTTAATCTACGACTATTAGGATATCTATCTTGTATTACTTCCATTTGAGCCACCGCAGGCATTGATTGGTTATTGACTATCTTTCCCATTTCCTTCAGATAGTAATTTAGCTCGGATTTCCGCTTGGCTCTAGGGCGTTCTATAGGGTTGCGATGATTTACTTGTCTTCATGGTCCTTTTACCTGATAGCTGAATGGTGACGCAAAATAAAATCGCTAACTCTATACATATCTCATCTAAATTGGGCTTCGCAGTGCACGAAGTGTTTCTTTGGCTACAACACACTCATCGATCTCCTGATATTAACCAACAGGAGATACTTAGCTGGAGAGCTTGTGTAGCCGAATTACCAAGGAATATAGTAGTGACAGAGTAGGACCTTATCATAGCGACAAGCATATAGAGCAACGACAGAACTAGTCTTCTTCTATTAGGGCAGTCTGACAAGAGATGAAAATAGAAATTAGAAACAGGTGAACTATTATGGGTATAGCACGGAAATACACAATGGGACGAAGATCAGCACAGTAGATTTTCTCGATCGGAGACAAGCAACGGAGACGTTAAAAACCTTCATACCTGCCACAAATTTAAGTTCACACATTTCGCTGCTTCCTTGTTTCACATCAGCCACTTCCCGTCGAAGAGGCGCCAAGAGGCTATCACCAAATCATAACTCAATAGCCTCCCCTCGCGTAAAAGACCCTTGCATCTGTCCGGCCAAGTCCGAGAGCCCGTCTCTCGCGCATTCTTTGTCTCCAAGGAGAAAAGGCTGCAGTAGCGTTCCCTGTAGAAGACCAAGCTGAACATGTCACGCATCAACAAGCCCTTGGCATACACGGCCCCTGCGCAACTTCACCATTAAGAAATTGAACGGTGGCATTTAGAATATTGGACGGCGCGTCGATAAATCCTTCGGCGTTGTTCCCCGGTTGTTTGGTGCACGCTAGCAAAATAGAGTTTCGTGAAGAAATAAGCCGCAGGGATGGAGCATGTGATTGGGCAGATCGCCGTATCGTCGCCTATCAAACGCTAGACTGTTGTTGCAGACTGATTAGCTTGCCCGGAAATACCGTATTACCTCTTTCCTCAAGATCCTGCTATCCCTTTTCTACCTAGACTTTTGCGATCATTATCCCTCATCGAGGAAACATACTTCCCTACCCAGTACAAGTTCCACCCCAATATCAAAAGACCCCTACACTTTAGCGTTGTCCCCTCCACGCTATTCCCAACGATGGTGTTCTCATTTACCACCAAAATGCCCTTGTTTGAGTCTAACTGGCCACACCAGATCGTGGCGGCGCCCGCGTAAGCTTTTAGTCGGGGATAACCTCCCCAATTGCCTGATCTGCTACTCTATCTCTGGCCCGCACGGGCTTGCTTGACTCGAGCGGCCAACCTTATCATATGGGCCCCTAACTTGGCAACAGCAGTGCTTTATATGCAGCGGCCATCCTTTCTTTTATTTCCAGTGTTCCTTTTTGCTTGTTTCTTGCTTTTTATGTAGACCTGCCGGTGCAGACGTTGTGCTTGTCAAGATGATTTCTAGCACTGCCGTCATGGTGCGTTTGCTGGCAGTAGAATCTGCGGTATTTTACTTACTTTTTGTAGGCATTCGAATGGATCATTCTAATACTTGCATACATCCTCGTCGCCGGTCGCATCTATGTCAAACTATTCCTCCGAGGTTTCGGTATCTACGCGGCTGACTACTTGTTAATTGCTGGTTTGGTAGCCTGCCAAGGTTTACTTATCTGTGATACTCTGACGTACCAAATGAATGCGATGGATGACTTTGCGCTCGCGAGTACGAGTATACCTGTCAAGAAGGTACGAGATAATCTGACCGAATATCCGACAACTTCGACTCAAGCCCTTACTGATCACCCACATAGATCCGCTTCGCGACCAACTACTTCTTCGACACGGGCATCTACTTTCCGAAATTTAGTATTCTCGCCTTCTACTTCAACCTTGTGCCTGTGACGAATTCGAGCATGAGGAAGGCTCTTTATGGGCTGACTGGAATAACGGCTGCCTTTGCGTTGACGACCTTTCTGTGCGATACATTTTGGTGTGGAGCTGATCCTTCTATCAACTGGTAGGTTGTGGCGAGCAGCCTCTCTGTTTCGGCTATTGATATGACTGCAGGGCGGAAGGACATCAGACGTGTACCGTCTTTACGTCTATGACGTTGATGAGATTGAATTGGTCTCTGAACTTTACGACTGAAGTTCTGAGTAGGTAAATCCCTGTTGTTTTTTGACCACGACTAACAGACCATTCATAGATCTCGTCTTCCCCATCCCACTACTATCAGGTCTTATGACATCGACGCGAAAGAAAATTGGACTAGCCGTCGTCTTCGGAATGGGCATAATCACCATAATCGTCAGTGTCGGCCGCTTCGTAACAATGCTCTACGTCCACAACGACATATCCATCTGTACCTCTCCCTTTTCCCCACGCAACCCTGCCTCTCGATTAACACCAATTAGATATCTGGGCAACCGCCGAGATCTGTATTTCAGTAATGATCGTCGCCCTCACCGCTCTACGCCCCCTCCTTCGAAAGTTCACCAACCACGCATCCACGAGCAGCGACGACCGAACTGGACCTACAAGGAATTCTATATACTGGCCTGGCAGCAACAAGATTCCAAGAAGGCATGTTGTGCAGGTTGGGTCAGAGAGTTTAGCCGGTAGTGAGACCGAGTTGAATACCATGAGCGGAGGAATCATGATGACGCATCAGGTAACGGTGTCGATAGGCAAGCCTGACGGAGACGAAGAGAGTAATAGCGATATCCGTACGGATAGATGACGAGGATCAAAATCCTCTACAGCTGTTGTAATGTTCCCTGATGATTAATAAACGGTTTTTTGGATATGCTTTTCCGGTTATGCTGTAAGAACGTTGCTACAAACCAAATCCACAATAAGGGTTATCGCCATGGATGTTTCAAAACAGGTCGGCCGCCCTATGGAGCTATAATTAAAATTTAAATATGCGATCTATGCAGGAACGTTGCAATAGCGTGGAAACCCTTATCCAGCGTTACTTTAGCCAGATCCTTCGGGATGGCTCAGCCCCCAATGATATCACGAAACATCCACTGTAATTTCTGCAATCACAAGCGCTAATTGGCTCACTCGACTGGCTCAGCAGTTGTTTCGAACTTCAAACCACTAAAAGCGCTGGGATTAGCGCTAACCTGCGGGAGCGACCATTTAGAGATCCGTCCGCGATGGTTCAGAGATCCAGCGCTGATCCCTTTGATATCATAGTAAAATTATTCTCAAATCCTTCTCGGACTCGAATTCTCGGACTCAGGTATGCACCGCCTACAGAAACATCAATCTCTGAGTCGCGTAGCTCGTTGTCTGGCTTCTTTTCTATAAAGTCCTTGCTATCTCTCTTGTCTCTCCGTTCTGCATCTCATTCTGCATCTCTTCTTCATTTAACAAGCAGTTCTTGAACTCTCTACATTCTCAAACATCAATTCAACACTTCACTACCATTCAGACTCAAAACCAACAAGATGCATTTCTCTGCCAGCACTTCTCTTGCCGTTCTTCTGGCAGTCATGACCCCAGTCTCAGCATGGCAAGGTAGGTCATCTCCACTATCACCTTCAGCATAGCATTGTACTTACATAGTATCGCAGCAACATTCTATGATCAATGGTTTTGCAATCCTAAGGACGATACACAATATCGCTCCATCTCCAGCGACGTCGATGGTGCCTGCTACACTTTTGGCAAGGACATGCCAGGCACTGCTTGCGAGAAGTTCACAAACGGAGGTGTCAACAAAGGCGCCTGCGACGGCGAGGCCTTCGTACCTCAAGCTGTCCTTGTCCAGCCAGGCACGGCTTGTGAAGTCTATGCCGACGACAACTGCGAAGTTGCTGTTCGACGTTATTGGTCGACGGATGGTTACCCCTATTGCGGCGTGTACGACGCCGGAATTGGTTTCAGTATCTCGCCTATCAAGTCGTTTCATTGTGTAAGTAGTTCTGCGCTCATTTGGTGATGCTTTTACTGATACGACATAGCTTCCTTACTCGAAAACGGATGATCGTGGACGGGACTAATAGCAAGGCCTAAATGGTTCAAGAAAAAGTAAGAGCTATTCGGGATAAGGATATAGGTGAATGATTATACACATGGCTGGGCTAAATATATTCCTATTGATATTATAATTTATTTCTTCTTATAAAATCACGGGCTCCTATGCGAAAGAATAGCTGTGGCTAGGTAACAAAAGGTTACAACATCAAGTTGGCTTTCAAATTTCGAATTGCCACGGTGCATTCTGCTTTCATATAATTACCGTAAACATTCCGTTCTAGGTTGAGGCCCCTTTGCGTACCTGTCCATGAGTTCAGTAACACCTTGTTATATACATATTAGTGAGAACTATTAAGCCAAAATATAAAGCGACTTCATGATAATAAGACTAAGAAAGATAATAAGAAGCACAACTGACCTTACATAGAACCCTTGAGCCATGTTCATCGTTGCAGAGCAGGCTGCGGTCTCACTTCAAGCTCGACTTCACTTCAGCGACAGGCGCATGCTGACTTCGATGTCGGTCCTCCAACACCTGTTGAGACGCTAGAAGAGAGGAATGGAAGAGTAGTCCTTGATCGCCATCTAACTACTGCCAATCTCTCTGACAGTCATGTGCATTTTCGTGTAACTGACAATGGTTCAATTGACGATGACCGAGTTACTGGAAGTAAGGGAAGGAACGTTGGGAAACAGGGGATAGTACTAGATACAGATGCTTAAAAACGAGGGCCACCGCAACAAGGCTGTACTCATGAGCAGCCTGGAGTGTTCAACGCATGACATGCCGGCTTTAACATCCCATGGTCTCCAGGCTACCACGCTAGAAGTTTACAGCTCATGGCCGACAATCACACCTTTGAAGACGGTGTATCACTTCCGTTTATGAAGGAAAATTATATCCACGGAACTTAAAAGTCATTAGAAGATGATAAATTTCTTTTCTTTTTCAAAAACATCAGGACGATCAAGATGACATGGATTCAACTAAGTAAAGGATATTGTAGTCCAATTCTATAGTCTCTTGATCAACTTCTTACTCAACAGCATCCTAGAAACAACAATAAGAAGCGTCGCAACACATCCAACACCAGCCGCATAAAAGATAGCCGCCCTATACGGCTCAATCGAATCAGCTTCCGAAGCACGCTGCGAATCGATAAGAATTCCCGCAATAGGTGCTCCCATCAAATACCCCGGCGTCCAGAACGAAGTCATCAAACTGATAGACGCAGCAGCAGAACCAGGAGCCAGCGTCGCCACAGCCGTGGGAAGCGCAACGAAGAAACTCCCGTTCGCACAACCGTTGATGATAGCGAAGGCAAAAAGTGGTGGCAGGGATGAACTGACGGGCCAGATTGCGAGCATGGATACGCTGTTGATCAAAGCGGCGAGTGCAAGAGCATTGAAGGAACCGATGCGATCGCAGATCCAACCACCTGCAAATCGTCCAACTGCTGTCGAAGCACCAAATCCAGCCACTAGACCGGCACCTGTTGATGCCGAAAGGCCGATCGACCTCGCAAACACGGGTAGGAAGAACGGAGGTACGAATAAGGCAAATACTCCGACAGCCCCCGCCATGGCAAGTGTCAAGAACGGCATGCTTTTTAGCTGCGACCAGTCAAAGCGAGATGTCGAACTACCCCGCGCAAAGTCCTTTAGCATCAAAGCGCACGGAATTCCAGTAGCGAGGATTGAAAAGCCAAGAATGCGGAACGTCCATTGTAGTCCGACCTTGTTGATCATCGCTTGTGTTGCGAGTGGGAGGACTGTCGCGCCTACGCCACCACCTGCTTTGACGATCCCATTTGCGGTGCCGAGTTTACTGCTGAACCATTGCACAGGAAGGGTATTTGTAGCGGTGTATAGTAATGATGTTGAGAGACCGACGAGTAAGCCCGCGACACAGAAGAGTCCTGCCAGATGCTCGAGCGTGAAACTCGTGATGATCAAGCCTGCGCCGAACAGGATAGTCGCTGTAAGACTTGTATACCGAATACCATATTGTCTCGAAATTCGCACAGAGAGAAGTCCAAACGCAACCATACAAGCCATGTACAAACTTCCCACAAAGGTAATAGTGCGAATATTAGTGTGCAGTCTCGGTGACTGGACGATCGCAGCTTGAAGAACACCCCAAGCAGTAGTGTACCCGTTAATCCAGAAGAGCAGAGTGAAGCACGAAGCGACAATGGTCCAACCGTAGCCACCGTCGGGAATTGCACTCGTCGCGTGGTCCGGCACTTGATCTTCGGCTAGTGGAGTGTCATTTGACGGGTCTGGGCGTATGATCTGCATTCCAGTGCCGTCAGAACCTGGCCTAGAGTCTGTCGATCTGCCGAGGTCCGAGATTGGAGTCAGGGTGCTTGTGGAAGTCATTTTGATGTGCGGAAATACAATGGGGATCTACTGAAGTCTGAGAGCCCGTGTCACGGACTCGTTTCAATTTATGTGATCGTCTTGACGTGCCAAGGATTGATGACAATCACATGAAGGGCGCGCCTATGTCAACAGGGATTGATAATTCTGACGTAGTTGAAGGATTGTTTGTCAGAACTTGCTTTGAGCTTATCTTGTCTGACGGACTTGAAATCCTATGGACTTGGCTTGATTGAGGCTAAAATGCGACGCCAAGGTTGTTGGTGCTGACAGGTCCTAACTTCAATGTCACCCGTTGACTGTTCAAGGATTCAGATTATCGAAAATTGGGTGTGATTCAATTAGAAAATATTGTATTGTAATCCTAAGGGGTATTATCATTTACGCCGAAAGCTGTCCAATTGAACACCTCATAAAACAATTAACAGCGAGCGGCGGAAGTAAAAGAGCCAAGCGCTTAATGTACCAGAGCTCCAACTAAACCTCATTCGACCTCGCACTGCTCCTATCCATATCCTTCATATAAACCAATTGAACTTCATCATTATTGCCGTACTCCACCTCATAAGAGCGATCACAAGTGATACCAACAGGATCAACCCGTGAATGTGAATGGTTGGTCTTATCAACCTTGGAAGTTGTTCCAAGGGTTTGCGCGCGAGAGCGGTTGATATTCGAGTTGGGACCACCGTGCTTGCTGCCGTACTGGTCGCTTCCGTAGTTGTAGTAGCGACGCTTGGATGTGCCAAGCACCTTGGGGAAGATACGGACGAGAAGAATTCGGAGAGAGGGCATACAGGCACAGACAATTCCGACGTTGGCTTCGATGGTGGACCATTTTGTCACGGCGAGGTATTCCCATGTTGAGTTGGCGCCGCTTGTTCCGGCTCGGACAGTGGCGCTGAGACGAAGGATACTCATGATTGTAACGCTGGAATATGTTAGTAGAGATCAAGTACAACATTGGGGGGATACTAACAAGATACCAACGCTGAACATCATTCCTACACCCCACTTCTTCTTCCAATCCAGGTTCATCTTCTTCAACTGCGAAAGCGGAATACCCAAGATCCAAAAGTCAAGAGCAATGTTGATGACAGCGCCAGACCACGTGATAGCATTGATATCAGCGCATGTTCCGGGGTGGTCGGCATCGTGCATCCACTTGGTCCAGAAATAACTGATAGGTCGACATTGGAAAATCGTAACAAAGACGAAGACAATGCCGAACAAGGACGTGAAGCCAACGCTGGTCCAAAGACTCCTCCTAACGCCCTTGGTTGGGAAAATGCGAAGGTAAAAGAAAATCATAGACAACTTAAGGAAACATTGGAGGGCAAAGTAAAGAACGGCCATGACGTAGAAGTAGCGGCCGAAGCTGGTGATTTGGTCCGGTTCTAGCGTCCAGACATCGCGACCCATGCCGCTGGGTGCTAGACCATATGAGTTGATGACGATGGAGGGGATCGCGCAACACATGACCAAGGCGATGAAGAGGTCGTCAAGGCCGAGAGGAAGCTTATAGAAGAATTTTGTTGCGAATCGTTGGAGGACAAAGACGCCCGAGATGGTGCCCATAACGTCGTTGAGGGTAACGAATTCGGCTCGGTGATTGCGGACGGGGGCACCACATGTTGTCAAGGTGGTGTTCTTGGTGCCTGTGATTGTCAGTGGAGGTCTTGCGCCAAACGGGGAGTGACATACTCAGAGCTTCAGGGACGGTGCAGGACGTCAAGACGCATTTCTCGATCTGGGCTGTGAGCGCCGCATTGGTGCATGTGCATTTGACATCGCCAAGTTCACATGTCGAAGCCTCGACGGCAGTAACCATGCATTTCAACTAGACACGTCAGTAATCATTCCCAACAGAGAAAAAGCAATTTCCAACTTACTGCACATGGAGGCAAAGTAGCCAATAGAGCCATGGGGTCATCCTTGCCCCATGCCAAAGGTAAGCACACCAAAAGGTATGCAAGAATCCCACGAAACAGCTTCATGATGTATAACTTGAGCTACGACACGAGGAACGCAGGATCTTGGAGTAAGAGGCACACATTTCTTTTTTAAATCATCCCAGGGGGGTGGTCGTCCCCAGATATATGCGCAGATCATCTGCAGGGACGGGGCCTGAGACTAAAGAAGAGCTGCTGCGAACCACAAACCCCCTTGGTACGCTTGGTCTTAGTTTCGCGATCAGACGTGCACGGACAGCTACGCACTCGATTCAAGAGTCCACGTTTTTGACCCGCTTGAGAGTCAGGTTTATCCTGGCTTTGTGGATATTGTAGTCTGAAAAAGGCTAGATATTCCCGAGATTTCGGGTATATTTTCGCCACCGAAGTGACAATAGAGCAAGCGAGAGGTCAAAAGATCAAACATTGTAGGAAGGTGACTACCAACATGGAACTGCTCTGGCGTGATATAGGTGTTCTGGGCGATGGTCTGCATAATAACTGAGGCAGATAACGTTTGAAACCCCTGAAGACATGCAGGGGCTGTTTGGGACTCTATTGGATGAACAAGTCTCGTGGGGACTGGGGACAGATCGGCTAGCCCCTGTGTCTGTGGCGAGCACGTGTGAGAGTAGCAGACGGTTCCTTTCCGCTGCACTACCACCTCGTATTTTGGTCATGGGTGGCTAGAAGCTTCGGACATTATGGGAAGGTGCCAAGCCAATTGAACGGTATGGCTGAAAATATGTCAGGATGCTATAGCAATATTTCCGGTGGTAAAGAAAGATAAGTACGTAGCATTGCATCCAGACGATAAGGTTCGGTCACTTGCGCGATTCCCGACTCCACTCGGTTGCAGATCTGCTCAACCTCGGGACATTCGGGATGAAAAAAGAGTGATTAACCGCCAAAAAGAAAAAACTGAAAGTCTAGTGGAGAAGAAGGACATGACGCCATACCATCTTGATTACTTATTTCCGACGAGGTTAGTTCGCCTGAACGGATGCAATCATCACTTTGGGAAAACAATTCGTTAATTGTCTGGGCTGAACGTTCAACCGTTACAGTAGTCTCGGGGGGCTTAAACACTACTTGTTGCGGCACAGAAAGGTCATATCATGATTTTGGTGCGTGTTTTTCTTTACGTCTCGGAGCTTAACGACTACTTGCTACTTAGTGCCTGTGCGGCTTAGTGGCACAGAGTCAGAGACCCCTGAGTTAGCATACACTAGTCTCCAGTGGCATCGGACCTTTTCCTTGACACACTTCTAGCGTGGATAAAATCTGGCAAAAGATCCGGTAGCTTGAGTTTTGATGGATATATCTGAGACCTCAAGTGCTGTAAATCAGACATTCCTCTGTCACGAACTACTGTATGAAACAAATTAGTCCTGATACGGGGTGATCTTTGATAATCCGGGCCGTGTTCTCGATGTTACCTTGTCAGTGGTCCGTGAACTATCTCCACCTAATGACTCTGTACACTTTGTCAAGAGGATGGTTGTTGGTCAAGATGCGATCTTGACATGACGAGGTGGAACCCTGTAGAGGAACCAAGTCTGCGGTCTCATGAGTCAAAAAATGTACCTATTTGGGTTTAACTTTTCGTCTGGATGCCAAGAGCTGAATAACTTGGCCCCCGTTTACCATGCAATGACAGGTTACCTTTTTGATCCATCGTTTGACACATTGGAGTTGACAGATAATGCAGACTTCTTCATCCGGATGCATGTTTCAGCAAAATGCCTCTTGCAACACAGTTGAAACATGACATTTCTTATCTAAAATCAAAGCACATCATTTCCCTTATCTTTTGCAGAATTCGAGCTGCATGATGCTATCCCCAAATACAGTCATCCAGCCGGACACAACTTCCCGCGGGAATTATCAGAGCGTCGCATGAATCGCATGGCGGCAGAACCGGTAGCGACAATTTCTATGGAGATAGTGATGGATATAGCCTCAGAAAATTCGCCACCCAAGACATCATGCTAGCCCCAGGTCTGACAGAGCTTCTTGACAATAAATTGCTTAGTAGCTTGGTCCCTTCGTCGGCGAACTGGGCCAAATGAAGTCTTTCGCCTACAACAAGCTTACTGTCCAAGCTCATCCGTATACCTGACCAATTGCTTCTGCCAAGCGGCCCGTGTTCCAGATACCCCGAGACAAGCTAGCTAGTCTAGCTCGTTCAATAAGGAGATACGATAATAGCACAGCCTGCTAATTACCAATTATTTCCTTTGAGTCCGATACTAGTGGACTGTTGCATTGCCCCGAGAGTAATTAACTATTTTAGACCTGTAGCTTAACAAACCGGATGAAATGCTTGTGGGGGATTAGGGTCAGGTGGATGATGACTATAATAGCGACAGACTAGACGTTGACCAGTGGTGACTATGACAGAGCGAGCCAGCTAACTGGTAGCGTAGAAGAGATTGTTCTGACAAGAGTAGTGGTTAATATCCGTCCACGTTCTCCCATACTAGCAGTAGCTGACTGGGTCTTGATGAGTTTATAAACAGGGTATGCCTTGCAAGGCATGGCATGTGGGTTTTGCTTCTTTATGCGAAATGCCCCTGGAAATATGGATCTCACGGAGATCCGCCGGGAGCCTCTCACCATATCTTATCATCAATCAATAGTTTCATATGCGCTGAGTAAGAGGGAATCCATCTATTTAAATTTCTTGAAGGTCGATTCCCAAGTCGTACAGTTCAAGAGGTTGTTCTATGGTGGAACTCCAACATACAGGTTGTGCGTTCTAGTTGACACTATCAGCTATTCATAAGCAGAACGTATTAGATGTTCATATCATATCCCATTCATTCCGCACGTTCGGAGCTGACTGCTTGTGATTCAAGCTGATATCCCCGCCTCTGATCATGGTAGATGCCTACTGTAAATCCATGCCGAGAATCAAAATCCACATCGAGGGTCAATGCTTATGCCGGTCAGACCCCATAAAGAGTGCAACACGATTCAGTGATTTTCATCTGTACAGGGTTCAACCTCGCTCGTCGGTATCTGTCGGCACTTGATCCAGCGATCCGGATGAGAGGGGTATATGTCTTGGCCTTCATCTCGTCAAGAGTATGCAATGATGCAGAATGAAGCCTTGGCAAGACTTTGAGTTGTCTAATCTCATATCCTCGGAGTCGCTCCGGGGAGAACCGTCTCAGCCTCATGATTATATCTACCAGTGACGTTATTGAAGCAAATCACATTGTTTCTGATGCATCGTTTTCACTTCTATGCATGACTTGATTCATCAACCAGCCCTAGCGTAAGGCTTAGAAGGTTCTTGTAGCCGTTGTTTGGAAGTGTAATCCGGCAGGCAAACTGAAGAGACTATACCTCACGTGCCTGAAGTATCATTAGATTACTCGCTGTTGAAGTTCTAACCAAGAGTCTAGGCTGACTCATTCAGTTTTCTACAGTAGTACAGCATGACGATGTGGCGGATGTGGCGAGGTTGAACGTCGCCCGCGGGAACCAGGAATAACTATTATTGCCTTGGACGATATGTAGATTATGGATGGTCAGAACGCATATTTGTTTCAAAATGCTATTGCTCGTGATTGCGTTTTTGGCATGACAATCGTTGGGAAGCCCAATTTTATGTTTGCTTAGCAGAAGCTTTTGGTAAGCGCAATAGGTTCTATGTTATGACTCTGGAATCTAGCAAATCTCATCCATTTCGACGATCGTGCCACAAATGCCTTCAAAACTGTTCGCGCTCTACTCAAGTCATTCAGTCACATTTCAATTGCCATGTTTTGATTCCCATAGAGTCAATCCCCGCGTCCCGGTTCAATCCCCATAAATTCAATTGCCGTGTGTTCAGTCGCCGTAGGGTAAGTTCAGGGATCCCTAGCGCGCTACGCGTTCCATTTGAGGCATGGATGCACTAACGGCACCGACAGCCCGCAAAGATTTTCCCTGTTAATGCGATACCAACATTTGTTGGAGACATATCGATATCACCACCAAGTAGAGCTCCAATACAGAGAGAGGGATAGCACCCGTACTCTAGATATGCCGCTGAGAGTATCGGTCCCTTTTTTCTGAGCTCCAGCATCTATTGACTGTACCATAGCTCAACACCAGATGTGGTAGTTTGGTATCTCGCTATCATTCGAAATCTCTGCGGGCTGTGCAAAGCGTGCGCCATGCCATGCTCAGCCCGCTAAGCGACAGTAACTGGAGTCGGCAATTGATTCTTTGAGCTGTCAATCGGCAAACCGTATGATAGACGACCAATACTATCCTCTATTTTCCGAAGGATAATTAATTGATGAGGTGATCTCACTCTGTAGATGTTAGATAGCGCCTAGATAAGCCCACAGCCCCAGATCACCACTTCACTAGCCCCAAATAGCCCATGTCGCGCGCCTGTCAACCTGAGCTGTTCCCAGTTTTCCAGTGAAGCTTGAATCCTTCGAATCCTTCGTCCTGACATACGAGACTAGCAGACTATGAGCCTTGGCTTTTTCCCTGTCATTTACCCCATAATCTGTCAAATCTCACCTTGGATTGGCGATCATGGACGTCATTTACCGTCGTATAGCACCATTTTGGGAAACAAAGCTAGCTTTTTTTGCTGTGATTATGCCTTAGTGCTCACCCTGACGACTGGCTGAAAGCTTGATGGGATTGGCCTGGTCTAGATTGCGATGCTACCGTTGCTACGTGTAACATGGCTGAGACCTTGTAACACGTTTATAAATGAACGATGCCCAATCCCAAATTCTTTTCCTGTGCTACTCGCGTTGTCAATCAGAGATGTTTCCTCACTTCCTTGCGTTGCTGCCATTGGTAGCGGGCGTATTCGCCAAAACCCACGTCCACGACGATACCTTTACGCCGGACTACGTTCTAGAAGCCACCCTTGACGATATAAAAATCAACTGCAAAACACGATCATCCGTTACGTTCAACGGCACATTCCCCGGCCCAACCCTTTATCTCAAAGAAGAGCAAACGACATGGATAAGAGTATATAATCACATTCCCGACAACAACGTCACAGTCGTAAGCACACCTCATCAATCTGTTTTACTCAAGCTGACATTACCAGCACTGGCACGGTCTGAGTCAGCGTGCAGCACCATTTTCAGATGGTACACCGCTAGTCAGCCAATGGCCCATTCCCGAGGGTCACTTCTTCGATTACGAGATTCGTCCCGAGAGGGGAGATGCGGGCTCTTACTTTTATCATTCGCACGTTGGCTTTCAGATCGTCACTGCGCATGGCATTCTGATTGTTGAAGATGCCGACGAGCCTCAGTATGAGTATGATGGTGACGTTGCGCTTATTGTCGCGGATAATTATGCTGCTGAGGATGGAGTGATTGAAGAGGGATTGCTGGCGGATCCGTTTAAGTGGTCGGGTGAGCCGCAGGCTATTACCATACAGGGGAATAGCGGGAATAAGAGTTTTTGGGAGGCGGATGACAAGAGTTGTATGCCGCATGTTATCGATGTTGATCCGGGTAAAGTTTATCGTCTTCGGGTCATCAGCGCTACAGCGTTGTCGATGATCAAGCTTGGTATTGATGATCATACCAACCTTACCGTTATCGAGGCCGATGGATCATACACCAAGCCTGCACACATTGATCATGTTCAGGTATCTTCCGGTCAGCGTTTCAGCTATCTCATGATCACCAAACCTGCGAAGGAAGTTTGCCAGGGAGACCGGTCACAATTCTGGATCCGTTACGAGAGTCGCGACAGACCACAGATGATCAGCGGTTATGCTCTGCTCAAGTACAACTGCGACGAGTATCAGGACCTTCCCAAGACGCTCCCCGAGAAGTCACCTGTTATGTTATCGAATGACACATCTGATTACCTCGAGTATGCTCTGGAAGGGTTGTCGGAAAAGAACAATGCCGCGTTCCCCAAGTTATCGGATGTTACGAGGACAGTGACTATCCAGATCAATCAAATCATGGAGACGGGTGCTTATGAGAACGGAACTCTAAACGGCACAGTAGCATGGGCGTAAGTTATCCAGAGTACCCCCAATTCCCACTCCACTAACGATGACTAGGCAAAATGGTCTACCATGGAAGGAAAGTGTTCAAGCAGAACACCATCAAGTCCCCTACCTCATCCAAATCTACGAAAACGGCAAAACCCCCAATTACACCGCTGCTCTTGAGCATGGCGGCTTCGACCCTGTGACGAAAGCCTTCCCTGCGAAAATCGGCGAGGTCCTGGATATAGTGTGGCAAAACAACAACGGTCCAACAGGAGGCTGGGATTTCCATCCTATGCATGTCCACGGCTACCACATCTACGACTTAGGATCCGGCAACGGAACATACAACGCCACATCCAACGAAGAGCACTTTACCAACTTCACGCCTGTACTACGCGATACGACTAATTTATATAGATATGCAGTTAAAGGTGTACCGCACCATACAGCTGGGTGGAGAGCGTGGAGGATAAGAGTGACGGAGGAGAATGTTGGTGCTTGGATGATGCATTGTCATGTTGCGCAGCATCAGGTTATGGGTATGGCGACGGTTTGGGTTTTTGGAAATGAGGAGGATATTAAGATGAAGTTTCCTGCTGTGCCTTATACGAAGGGGTATCTGGATTATGGAGGGAGTGCGTATGGAACTGAGGATGTTAAGCCTCAGGTGAACCATTATTGGAGTAGCGATGATTGAGAGGATTTGCTTGTTTTGTTATTAGACTTAAAGTAGATATACACGTGCTAGCGAAGGGTAGTTTCAGTTTCAAGCTGGTTTTGCAATGTCAGTAAAGGTCCCAAGTGAGAACACCGCAATTGATCCATGAATCTAGACCCTTTAATTGTTTCACATTTGCTTCACCGAAAGGTAAACGCCGCTGCTAACAAAGCAGGGATCAATCGTGGCCGTGCTTTCAACCCCCGCAAACAGATGTTGAGGCTATTCCACATCCAGCATACCATGTACCCAAAAGCCATGTGATTAATAAAGTTGAGCAATGATCAACCAAAGCTGAAAAAACGCCAAGGCTACTTACTTGGGGTTGAGGTGGCTGAGACTCTACAGCCTCCCTCAAAATGCCGCACGAGGATAAATACTTGCTGATCCCCAGTTCAAGGGCATTAAGAATTGAAGGACGGTGATGCTGTAACGAAATTATGATTTCCGAAACGCTGAGGCTTTGCAAGCTCTGGCTTTCTGCCGGCTGGAGAAGAACAGCGCTCATCAACACGATCCTCATTTGGATTTTAACCATCATCTTACTCTTACTATTCTGTGTATCAAGAATTGGCTTCAAACATGAGTCCGCTGGCACAAGCGAGATTTACAAAGGAAGCTGCTCGCACTCTTCAAAAGTCGACATAGCAGTCCATCTCATCATCAATATCCTCGGCACACTAATCCTCTCATCATCCAACTTCTTTATGCAAATCCTCACGGCGCCGACGAGAGAAGTCATCGATAAGGCGCATTCGAGCGGTGAATATCTTGAAGTCGGTGTGCAGTCGCTACATAACCTCACAAGGTCATTTTTCTCAGGATCGAAAGGCTTCTTTTGGTTGTTATTGAGTTTGAGTTCGATTCCTATCCATCTTTTTCTGAATGCAAGTATTTATACAGTTCATGTGTCTACTGAGAATTTCTTTGTTGTCGCGTCGGAACCATTTCTTGACGGTGCGGAGTTTGAGATACCGGGTGTGGGAGCGGACTCGTTTGATTGGAAGTATCCAGGGACTCAATTTCCTGTTGATGGACGGTTAGAGCATGCAAATCGGTTCATTGAAGAGGTCGCTACCAATGCGACGAGCTGGAGCAATATGACCGTTGGTACTTGTATGGAAATTTACAACGATCCATACCAAGCCCTTCGGAAGCATCGGAATGTGGTTATGGTTGTTCAAGAGCCCGGCAACCCGTCAACGAAAGGGTGGAGAACGTCTGAGGTTCGTTCAGACCTACCATCTTCGAATCGATCAGAAACCGTCAATCCTCTATTCCTGATGAAGAGGCTAAGTCCGACGGACGATTACATCCAATGGAACGAAGCAGGAGTGGGTGTCGGCAAGCCTTTCACAGAGGAAGACAGGATTGCATCCAAACTCAGACTGGATGTCAACACAAGTATCGTGAAGACGAACTTTACTTCTGGACCAGAGGAGCTTGAAGCACTATACTGCCTGGCTGAACCGATCCAGGAATCCTGTGGCGTACGCGTTTCCAACGTTGCGTTGCTGGTCAGTTGGATCTTCACAGCACTTAAAGCACTGGTCTGCTTAGCGGTGGTCATCAAATGCCGGCACGACAATCTGCTTGTCACGCCGGGAGAAGCTATTGATTCGTTTATCAGTGCGCCGGATGCTTCGACGGCTGGGATGTGTTGGGCTGGGGCTCCTGGCGATCAAGTAGAGAAGGGCAAGAGACGCGATGCTGGTGCGAGAGAATGGAGGGGAGAGGCGAGGAAGTTGGGATGTGCTGTTCCAAGAGGACTATGGATATCTTCATATCTTCTGTTTGCAGTATTTCTTGGTATAGGTGTTGGTCTTCTCGCAGAGGGATCTCGAACGCAGCCGGTGTAAGTACTCCTCAATCTCCTGAACCACAAGTCCTCTAACCGCTGTTTTACAGAACGAAATCTACCTTCGGTCCTACGTCTCAAACACTGGGGCACAACCTTAACGCCGGACCAGAGCGATCAGACGACATGGGCGACATTCACCGAGCTCTATTCGCAAACCTACCTCATCTCGTCCTCGCCTTGTCATATTTTGCTTACAATAACATCATGACCCGTATGCTATCTGAGCGCGAACTCTCAGAATTTGGACGGAGATTCGTACCTCTTCGCGTATCGGCGCCTAGAGGTTCACAGCAGGGGACACACCGTTTACAGCTGCCCTATATCTGGTCCATTCCGTTGATTGCGATGAGCGGTATCCTCCACTGGTTGTTGTCAAATTGTCTATTCCCCAAAGTTAATATCGGTTATCAAGCATATCCACCCTACGAAGAAGGTCTCTGGAGCGGAAGAGGACTAGGGTTTTCGACCTTAGCAGTTCTCATCACTCTTGTTATATGCCTCTGCGCTATTCTTATCCCGATATTCATTGGGAGAACAAAGTTGAGCAAGGATATGGTCGTCTTCGCAGGGAACTCTGTCGTCTTGTCGGCCGCGTGTCATGTCATGAGGTTGCAAACAGAGAAGCAGGAGGGGGATGTGGATACTGCTTTGATACAGAGAGGTCAGGCTAGGAATTCGGATATAGCTGCTAGGAAGTTGAAATGGGGTGTTGTGGTACCTTATCAAGGTGTACGGCCGGGACATTTAGCGTTTGGAGTGGTGGAACAATATCTTGGACCACCCCAGGACACACATTACTATGCCGGAGAACATCATTAGCAAGGCATAGAAGTATCAAGTCACACTCCAGTCAATAGTGTTCAGTGCATTTGCGTTTAGATCTACAACACGAAGTCATTTTGAACAAATCATAAAGTCAATTTCTCATCTATCCCAACAGCTACCAAACCCAAACCCAATTTCAACAACGCTTTATCCATCCAACTCTACGCATAGTTCTCCTGCATCGCAAGAGGCGAAGCCTCCTGCGCATGATGAGGCTGTAACCTCGTCGTCTTAAACTTCCTCGCAGATAACTTCATGTCAAACATCTGATCAATCTCAATCGCACTTCGTCCCTTCATCTCCGGAACAAACAACCACGCCAAAACGGCTCCAAGAATAGAAGTTCCACAGAATACAAATGCCGTCTTGGCTCCAAGCGCTGCCTTGTCTCGACTGAACAGCATAGGCAATACAATAGCCAACGTAATGGAGAAGCCTTTCTCTGCTACACTGGTCAGACCTTGTGTCAGGGATCGGAGTTGGAGAGAAGATGTTTCTCCGATGACGGCGAATCCTGCGGGCCAAGCTCCCAGACCACAGATGATGATGACGGACATCATGATACCACCGGCGACCCACGTGAGAGCTTCATTAGACCAGAAACCGGTGATACCCATGACTCCCCATAGAATTCCAGCTGCGGCCAGAGAAGGGATGATCATGTTTCGACGACCCGTTCGGGAAAGAAGCCAGAAACCGATGCCATTACCCAACATACCAGCAACAACACCCACAGCCATGAAGATCAGAGAAGGCATACTGTCCATACCCATACTTCGCAGGAACAAATTAGCGTTGGAAAGCAGTTCCATACCAAACAGTCCAGGGAAGATAGCAGCGAGAGTAACGATGAGAGTTCTTCGCAGGTTTGTGCCCTTGAGACAAGACCAGTACGTCGCATTTGCAGTCTGGGCCTTCTCCTCCTCGATCGTAGCTCTGATGCGCTCAAGTTGACTATAGGGATTGACCTTGGGTGCGTAAAGTCGTGTAGCTGATTTAATCGCGCGTTCTTCTTGGCCTGTTCGAATGAGATGGGCCGGACTTTCGGGCATAAAGATTGACAGCAGAAGAGGGCCAAGGACGAGAATCCACTGTGAGCCAAAGGCTCCTAGATAACCGGAGTTTCCCTCGATGCTATTAATGGCAAGCGTGACGAGAAGACCAATCAATTGACCGAGGAGAGTGAAGACAGGGAAGAGAGCCATTGCAGATCCACGAAGAGCAGTAGGCGTATTCTCAGAGACCCAGGTCACACAAGCACCCTTGCCGATACCAACAGTAAAACCCTGAATGGTCAAACCAGCAGTGAGGTACATCCTCTTCGTGTCCAGCGGCTCAGGAATATGCGAGAAGAACATACAGGCGATAGCAACGATAGAAACAATCGTACCCATCATAAGGGTAAACTTTCGACCAATCTTGTCCTGTAGCCAACCACCGAGAAGCGATCCAATCGCTGCACCAGCAGGAGGTAAGCCCAGCCAAAGCGAAAGCCAATTTCCTGGTGTGTCCATTTTTCCATGGATCATTTCTCCGTAATCTTCCAAGAAGCTGTCTGTACCCACGATAGCGCCGACGATGACGAGATCGTAACCCCAGCCGATAACGGGGATACTCATTGCGAGACAGTATTTTGCTACCTTTGGGTAGAGCTTAATAGCTTGACGCAAAGGCATCTGAGATTCGTCATCTTGGGGTTGTGCAGATGGTGATGTTGTATATTTCAGGTCTTGGGTTTGAGATGTGTAGAGATCGTAGTTTGTGATGTCTTCTTCAGATTGGGGGACTTGATGCCATGATCTTGAAGCTTCCATTTCGTGGTGGGTTGGTTTGATGGGGTCACTTCCATCGCTATCGCGCCTGTCGTGATAAGCCATGGTGACGGTTCCAGTAAGGCGTCGATTTTAGTGAAGTGAGAAGATTGGCGAAATTAGATGAGAAATAACACCGTACGGACTAATAATCCGGTATGTATAAGATGTGATTGCAAGATGAGGATTCCAGAAATTGGAGGAGAATTGCTGGTGTATTAAATTACTTCAACGCTCGCACTCTACACCCTCGGACTTGGTGATCAGCCCTGCGGACTCCCAACCGTGGAGTCCGTTCAATCCTATCATGAATCCTTCGGGACCAAATGCTACGCTGTGAAAATGCTGGACCAATAACAATAAAAGTCTGTGCGGAGATGAAACAAGGATGGCTGTGTTTGCTGACAAGGCGCAGTTGGTGGACTAAAACTAATACGGACATTTTCTCGGTAGGATTTGGTGTGCTTATGCTGGCTTAATTCTGGAGGGGCAAGGTGGATAAGCTCAGCCCTTGCCTTGAAAGCCCTACGGACCTCGGACTTGAGAAACCCTGGAGTGGAGGGAATTTTCCGAGCGTTGAGATACGATGCTGATGCGAAAAGGTTTTCGCGAGGTAGTGCTTACGATTAATAAAATCGCTGAATTTAGTTTAATTAATATTTATGCTTATCTGTAGCGTCTGAAGTAGACGTTATGTCAGATTCTTTTTTACTACGGTGAGCAGGCGTTGTCAGCACGTGTAGGTATCAGCAATTGATACTTTGAGAGACTTGTGACGGATAAGCGTCAATCAATTCAAGATCCAAGTTTCAGAAATAGATACGGATCTGAGAGATTAAGCGATCGGCATTTGATAGCTGCTTAATTGAACTACCGAAGCTAGTGATTGAAGGTTGTCCGTAGGACATCTGGCAGCGTGTGCTTATCCGTCGGACTAGGTTGGTAACTGTTGGTGACTGCGGCAGACTAAAGTACTTCGATATCTACCATTTCACACGGTCGATGCTTCCAGATTCATTCTTGGCAAGGTTGCTTGAGTACGCTTCAATGTAATAAATAGCTCAATGGGAGGTGGTGATTGTTTCGGCGCAGTAGATCTTGTGTTACCATTCTTACTCTGCTGTATTATTCCTAGCTATTTCCTCGTTCTTACGTTATTACTGCACTGCAACATCATGGCTCAGACTGAGCAATCCAACGGAGAATCAAGGACTGAGCCTATCAGAATGGACAAACCCATATGTCAAATCATCACACCAGTCGGCATGTTAGGCTACGGCTTCGACGAAAAACTAACATATCACGAACTCACCGGTCTAGACCCCAACATACCAACAGCTATCATTCTAGACTCTGGCTCTACAGATAGTGGACCGCAGAAGTTGGCTCTTGGATCAATGACCTCTCCTCGGTCATCTTATGTTAAAGATCTGTCTAAACTTCTGAAGCTGGTTCATACGTTTGATGTACCGCTTATTTTTGCTTCAGCTGGTGGTGATGGTACTGATGAGCATGTGAAAGAAATGGAAGAAATTATCAAGGATATTACCGAGGAGGCAGGAAATGGGTGAGTTACTATCTGAAGGTAGAGTATATGGACTAATGACGATAGTGATTACTCGTTCAACACCATCTCTTTATTCTCAAACATCAACAAGGACACCATCCTCGAACGATTCAACCAGGGCCGTCTTACAGGCTGTGGCCCCTGCGTCCCTCCTGCCTCCGAAGAAGAGATTCAATCTTCCCTCCGCGTAGTAGCTCAAATGGGCTACGAACCCTTCCTCGACGCCATGAACGCCAATCCAGACTTCGACATCATCATCGGCGGCCGGGCCTACGATCCCTCGCCATATGCAGCATATTGCGTCCACCAGCTCATGCGCCAGACAGACATAACTGATGAGCAACTTCACTCCAGCTTGGGAGGGTTTCTACACATGGGGAAGATCCTCGAGTGTGGAGGTCAATGTTCTACTCCTAAGTCTCATGGAGCTGTGGCTAGTGTCTATGCGAGTGGGTTATTTGATATTAGACCTATGGCTCCTGATTCAGTTTGTACGACTCTTTCTGTTGCTGCGCATACTCTTTATGAGAATACACGACCAGATGTTCTTCGTGGACCTGGCGGTTCCATCCATCTCGACAACTCCCATTACGAGCAACTATCCGATGGAAAGACCGTTCGAGTAAGCGGTAGTAGATACCGCTCGTCAGAGAAAGACGGTGCACCGTACCAGTTCAAACTTGAAGCTGCGCGCATAGTGGGATATCGATCTATGTTCATGGGCAGCGTGAAAGACTGTACGTTACCCACCCTGAACAAGTATCCCCGCTAACGATTCCAGATATCCTCATTTCGCAAATAGACAAGGTTCTAGCACGCGTAAAGCTTTACGTAGCCCAACAACACCCCGAAATCACAAGTCACTGGAAAGTAGATTTCCACGTCTATGGAAAGGGACAATTCCCAGGACAGTTGTTTATTGTTGCGGAGGCACTTGCTTCGACGCAGCAGTTGGCGAATAGTATTGCGTCGAAAGCTAGAGTTGGGATGATCGTAAGTCTTGTCCCCTTGTTCTCTTTCCGTTTCTCGGTTGGCTAACAGTGGTAGCATGCTCCATACCCAGGACAGAAAGCTACCGCTGGAAACTTTGGGTTCGGAATTGGAGGCTTAATGGAGCTTGAGTTGGGACCTTGTGCGGAGTTTTCGCTTTATCATTTGATGGAGCTGGAGAGTCATGAGCAGCGTGTTTTTCCGGTCGGTGATGGAAGGCTTGAAGGACCGCTTTTGCGAGGGAGTGTTTCTCGAATTGGCAATGGATCTATGAAGCCAAGAGTCAGGGATCTGCCTAAGATCCCAGGCGAGATGCTATTCATGCCAGGCGCAGAGCACATAGCACCAGCTCCATCCCAACCCATCACAAATCCCCAAACCCTATCAGACCTTTGCAGCGTCCTCCGTTCCAAAAACGCAGGACCCTACGAAATCACCATTGACGCAATATTCTCATCCAAAGAGATCTACAACACCGTCAAAACCTCCGGTCTTCTCTCTCCAAGCAATGTAGCCAAAGCCATTGGTGTTGCAGAAGAGAATATCATCTGGATCGGGTTTTTTGACCCAGCTATCTCATTCAAGGTAACTATACCGAGGGTTAGGATGGGTGTGAAGAAGGCAGCCGGTGGATTTATGGAGAATGATATTCATGGATCGCAAGAGCATATGGGGCTTGCGAGTATGAGACTTCCTGACATGGTTTTGTCACTTTTGTGATGTGTAATTATTTTTTGTTACTTGGGCTGAGTCTAGACTTTGGAGGATTCTTATCGTTATCGTTATCGTTATCGCTCTCCAACTTTGTACTAGCGCCGTGATCCTTTGAGCGGACTTGAGAATGTCCGTCTGACTCTTGGCCTACCCTGCGGAGAAGTAGAGTCCGCGATAATTAAAATAAATACTTGTCGTAACCATTCAGAACACAATCGTCAGCTCAATTGACTTAGGCAAGAACTTCTATCGTACTTTCAACATGGCTGTTCCTCAAAGACAGACTCCTCGCATTGAGGACCTCTGTGCATTCTACGTCGGCAAAAGCATCCACGATGCCCCCAAACCAGCAGTTATCCTTGACAAAGCCAAGATCAATCGCCATTGTCAGTCTATGCTCAAGGCAGTCGACACGCTTGGTCTCGGATTCCGCGCACACGTCAAAACTCACAAGGTCAATTCCCCAGGGATATTCTTAGTGTTAATACTAATATTTCTCAGACAATAGAAGTCGCCCGTCTCCAATCCGGCCAAGGAAGTGGTGATGTCAAACTCATCGTATCCACCCTTGCAGAGATTGACCATCTCCTCCCTCTATTCAAAGAGTACAAAGCTGCAGGTCGTCGTCTAGACATTCTCTACGGCCTTCCCCTTCCACGCTCTCAAATCCCTCGCTTAGCTGCTCTCGGCACGGAGTTAGGACCAGGCAGTATCTCCGTGCTCATCGACCATCCCTCTCAACTTCAATCCGTCAAGGATTTCTCCCAGCATGCTAAGTTTCCGGCGAGGGTCTTTTTAAAGGTCGATACAGGATATCATCGCGCTGGTCTACCGCCGACGTATATGAATAAGAATGGTCTGATTGAGAGTCTTGCGCAGCTTGAGGTGAGTGGAGAGGCTGAGTTGTTGGGGTTGTATTCGCATAGTAGTCTGAGCTATGCGGACTCAACGCCTGAACAAGCGATGGGGAATCTAGAGGGGGAAATTCAGGGATGTTTGGAGGCGGTCAATGCCCAAGCACAATTATTCGCCAAGGAGAAGCAACTTATCATTAGTGTCGGTGCTTCTCCTCAGGTCACGGCTGTCGAAAACTTGGTCACTTCCGAAGGGGATTTATCACCAGCAGCTGCTTCCCTGCGCAAGGCTATCGAAACAGTTACCACTGGTCAGCCCGGTGGTCTGAAAACCAAGCTGGAGCTTCATGCGGGTGTGTACTCCATTCTCGACATGCAACAAGTCTCCACCAACTCAAGAAGACACCTCGGTTCTGCCGAAGACGAAATCGCCATTTCTGTCATCGCAGAAGTATGCAGCGTCTACAACGACAAGGAACGTGCGCAACCCGAAGCTCTCGTCGCTGTCGGAACGCTAGGACTCGGTCGAGAGCCTTGTGCTGCTTACTCCGGCTGGGGAGTTGTTAGTCAAGTTTCTGGAACGAGACGATTGATCGTTGATCGGGTTAGTCAGGAGCATTCGATATTGGCGTGGGAGTATGGTAAGGATGAGGATACTTCTGCGATTCCACCTGTGCCGTTGGAGGTTGGACAGAATGTGGTGATTTTTCCGAATCATGCTTGTGTCACTGGGGCTTTGTATGGGTGGTATCTCGTTGTTGACTCGGAGGAGGGTGACGGGAAGACGATTGTTGATGTTTGGGGAAGGGCTAGTGGGTGGTAGAGTGGATTGTAGTTATTTTCTGTTATCTTCTGGATGTTCATCTAAGCTTGCTTTTTAGTCTCTCCGCCTTTGCCCGGGTCTAAATGTCACTTGAGAATTGACTGATATGACTATCAATTAATGCAAGGGATCATGAAAAGTGGTGCGCAGGACCATCGATTCCTAAGCGAGACAAAAGCCGTAACGAGCGACACCGTTGGAATGGTTAAGCTTTGTTCGTACTCGGCTAGCAGTCTTGGCTAGATTCCCGTTGTTGTTGATCATGAGGGCTCTTCAACTTGGCAAAGCTTAAGTGGCTCGTAGAATCTCCCTTCGTTTCTTAGGCCTTTATGCCTGAGACATTCTGCCCCCTACTATTCCTAATTGAGAATAAGCTGTTGGTCGTTGCCAATTTCTGAGATATTGGCTAACTTCGACCCCGAAATTCGACCTGGAAAAAAGCAATTCTAATCAACGATGGCTGGCTGGACTCCGATCTATCAACGCCACATGTAGGGAGGCAATAGGAGAGAATAAGAAAAGTCCAGCTCTGTCCGTCGCGCTTTGAGCTCTTGAACCATTCTCCCACACTCGCCCAACATTGGATTGTCATCCCAGATTCGTTCATAATGTTGAAGCCAAGAAGAGAGAGCATTTTCGTGCGATGGATACTAACGACGGTCTTCATCGTTAGCACCCTGTCTGCATTGGTAATCCTTCTTCAGCCCAGATACCGGAGTCTACCGAAAAGCAGCGGGATACAATTCAAGAGTAGCAAAACGCTACCAAACGAGCGTTACATCCTCGCCTTGTACGCATTATTCTACGCTGTGCAGACGAAATTGCTAACAGATCGCAGCGGCGACTCCTACACCCGAGGCGGCATGAAATTGAATTACACATACACCAACACCGGACCGGGCATGTACGAAATGGACCGAGTCGACCGAGTCAAAGGCAAACTCCCCGGCCCCAGCGCCAAAAACCCCCTCGGAAACCCAAAATTGCCAGGCATAACATCATCCGGCGGGATGAACTGGGCAGGGTACATGGCAACCGAGTTCAACAGCACGCTTACGCTCCTCTACAACTTCGCCCGGTCGGGCTCCACCGTCGACGCAGAGGTAATACCGCCTCGAGTCGATAAGAGGTTTAGCTTCGCAAATCAGATCGTTCATTTCAATGACACGATTGGGCATAAGCCTGATTATGCTGTGTGGACTGCTGAGAACACCGTTGCGACGATCTGGTTTGGGATCAACGATATTACGCTTACTTATAAGAAGCGCAGTATTGAGAAGAAGTATATCAATGCAGTTTGGCGAATCTTTGACTTGTCGGATATACTATACGAGATGGGGATCCGACAGTTTGTTTTCATGGAAGCGCCACGTAAGTAATTCCTTCTTCGAGGTGAAGATCACACTGACGCATCTAGCATTTGATTTGACTCCGACACGGCAAAACGCGAAATTCAAATACAACGAGACGAGCAACTATCACGAGCTGCTCCAATACGGGTTTCACATATGGAATCAAAATTTGAGAAAAGGCACTGCCGCGTTTGAACGACGGCACCCTGATGCGAGTGTTGCATATGTTGAGGTGTGGGATATATTCTACCAGGCTTTCTTGGACCCTGCAAGTATGGGAGCGCCAAATGCTACTTGTGTTGATCCTAAGGGAAAGAAATGTGTAAGTACAGCTATCCTTGTTAAGACTTGGTGTTTCGGTACTGACGTATCTAGCTATGGGCGAATACTTCGCATCCTGGTACTAGGATTCACCATCATATTGGGAGGAGGGTTGCCAAGGCCGTGTCCTGGAAAACGGTTTCTCCTTCCTATTGAAATTCATAAAACCGGGAATTAGACGCATTATCTTTATTCTCTTTTCCGACGTCGCAACCATGCACAACTTCCGTGAACAAAGGTCTGATATAAAGTCCAGCACAGTACCCTTGGATATAGTGGCGATTCACAGGCATTGTGTGTAGGCAATAAATCTTGAATCTAACTGTTCATTCCTGCAGCTAGGCTAGAAACTTAGAAACGATGCATCACTCTCCTACTAAGAACCAAGACATTCACAGCAGACCATGCCGTCTCAACCACTCATTATACTCCTCGACACACACCCAACAGTACGCCCAACTTAACCTTCTGGTCTCCTCACTTACTTGACATTGGTCATATTGACATGTAACATCTGCATCGCGTGACCGCGCTCTGACCTCTCGACAGCGTCGGACATCGGAGTCTCCGTCCAACCAACGGCCACAAGCACTGCAGATGCTAGTGGTGTTTACTATGTGACACATCTCGATAATCCTTGGTGTTGATATGTATAGCAAGAGGTGTGGTATAATATATTGAATAGGCTTTTAACAGTTTCGTTATAGGCAATGATAAAAGAGGTTGTATTGTACTACATGAGCAGGAACATGTATTTCTAGATCGAGGGCACGACTTTTATAATTGATAGTACCTCGCTATTCAGTGCCAGGAGTATAGTGCCTCTGTAAAAGTAATGCTTGTTGATTAAGATAAAATCATTCACTGCAGTGCCCGTCGTCTCAACCACTCATTGTACTCTTCAACACATGCCCAACAGTATGTCCAGGCTAACCTCCTAGTCGTCTCACTTTCCACGCACTGGTCATCCGGACAACGGTCGTTCACATCGCGTGACCGCGACCTAGCTTCTCTGCATCGTCTGATATCCCACTCTCCGGATAACCAACGGCCGCAGTGTGCACAGACGTTGTTGATGTGTATTAAATGACACATTTTGACGCCGTTGTTGTTGGTGATGATATATAGTGTAGAAGTTTGGTAGAACAGATATAAGACTTGAGAGTATAGTGTTCGAGAATGGTCTTACTTGGATTATTTTAGGAGGAAAGAATTCTCTCAGGATCGAGGCTGGACTGATTTTTATACCTGATAGTGCATTGTGATTCAGTGTAGAGAATGCTGCCTGCGTGGGACACCTTGTATTGAATAAGATATCATAGTCGCATTCGCAGCAATCCGCTGTCATATATGCACCACCTTCGTATCACCCACTGACGTTTTGTTCTTCGTGGAGCAATCAAAGCAACCCGTCGAGCTCGTAAACTGTCGCTGAGCGCTGAAAGACGAATTTGCAATAGCACATCTTCCTTCATCCCTTCCTTTTCCGCAAAGCTCGGTATGGAACTCTTCCAAAAGTTTCTTTTTGCACGTCTGACACAAGTACTCGATCTTCGCTATGTGGCACATGATTGAGTAGAATGTGTGTTTGATGGAACAAGAAAAGTTCTTGTGATGTTGGGGCTTGTGGTATACTGAACACGGGAGGACTGCTGGGTATTTATATCCTTCGAAACTGTCCGTGATCAAGAGCGACCAAGAGGGTTCTGTACGTGGATGCACAGCATTGAACAGTGTGATACGGAAGTAAGAGTAAAAAAAAGCCGGATGGAAGTAAGGAAGGTATTTTGTAGCATGCCTAAACCTTATGTGAGGGCAAGGTAAGAAAAGGTTGTGGATGGGAAAATGAGTTATAATACATTGTGGAAAGTGTAAATATCCTCAGAAACTTTATCAAATGGTTTGATACGTATGTGCTTACTGCCACATTGACAAGGAGTAAGCTTGTTGCAACGATCATGGAAAAGAGCAGTTCGGGCTTTGGCGGCTACATGATTCACCGGCGTGCAGACTGGAAGAAGGTCTCTTTACGAATGGCCCATGTGGTTAAGGAAAAGAGGGTTATGTCGGGTAACAAACAGCCTTGATACCGGACCGTTGACCTCATGGTTGGTGAGCAACGCTCAAATTGATTCACAGCAGAGACCGCTTAGTTACGGTGTTAATGCACAAGTTCGTAGAGTATACCTAGATGTATAACAGTGCCTGTTGTAGTACCTAAGGCAGTGTAAATGTTTACTACATAACTTGTTTCTTATTCTTGGCCTTCTTCTTCTTCCTCATGCAGTCAACACAACCTGTTACGCTAGTGTCTTCTCTCTGAGTGCTGCAAAACGTCTTGTCGTTATCGCAGTAAACGCCATCTTTCGTCGTCTTTTCACAAGGCATGGTGACGTCCTCTACACGAAGCTTCCTTTTGCACTCTGGGCAAAGGTATTCGGTGACTGTTCTGTGACACATATTTATGGAACGTAGAAGGGAGTCTTAAATTCTGTTGGACTTTGTATCATAAGGAAAGCGAGAAAAGCCCCGGCCGGTGTTAGTATTTATATAGTTGCAATTGGTCCGTGATTCAGAAACATAGTGTTCTTGTATCGCTGCAACTGATTCGATCTTCTGTCTCCTTGACTCAGAGTCGGCTGACCTCGTCCATCTTTAGTTTCTTGCATATTGGACACAGATACTCAATCCGCGCTGTACACAAGTGATATGTGATATGTGTCCTGTCGGAGGTCGCCTTTTCGCTATCTTTCTTCTGCCTGCCAACAAGCACAGAAAGTCTCATCTGACCGCTGGTGGACTCCTTCCATTTGTCGACGACGAAGTAGACCTGCTGGCTGGGCTCTGCCCCTCACTCGAACTAGAACCCGCTATGCCACCGCAACGTAGAGATGAGATAATGGGGCACCTACAGAAGTGTAAGATATCTCACTTTGCTGGTCATGAACAGTCCAATCCATTGGACCCTTCGAAAAGTTGCTTGCTGTTCGAGGATTGGTTGATAGATCCCCTCGTGGTGGGCACCCTCCGCGATCACAGGCTACAAGACAACCCTCCGTTCTTCTTCTACCTCTCAGCCTGTTCGACGGGAACTAATGAGTCGGACAAATTCGCTAACGAGGGAGTCCACCTTGCCCAGGCCTTCCAGCTCGCCTGGTTCAGGAATGTTATAGGCACCCTCTGGAGAGTATGTGATAGACATTGCGTGGATGTGGCGAGGGTCCTCTACGAAACACGGAATGACAGACCTGGCTGTATGTCGCGGCCTTCATCGGGCTGTCAGGGCGCTGCGAGACGGTCGCATTGAGATGGGATGGCGGGAGATGAATACTGCTCTGCACAGACCAGCAGCCGAGATTAGAGATATTGTTTCGTGCAACGAGGATGTCAAGCCATTTTACTGGGTTCCCTATGTTCACTTTGGCGTGTAGCGTCCTACTTATATACTTATGGACATCCTTGTGTCATGGTCAAATTGGAAGAACAGTGTCAGTGCTGTATTAATTTTGTGCAATTCTGCCTTAGCTCTAGTGCATTGATGTTATCGTCAGCACGTGATGGGAGTAAGACTGAGTCATTTCTTGTGGGCTCAGCCGCATTCATGTCAGACCTGTCATCCACTATACCTAGACGACCCCAAATTTATCATGGATGGAACTACCATCGGATCGAAGGCTGAAGCCCCTACTTTACAGCAATCTGACCAGAAATGCGCAGTATGTGACAATTTGGACGTCTGGCCCGAGCGAGTCTCGCGCGAACACCGTTACAAACCGTCCACACCAATCGTCTTCAAGAACCTGGTCGATAGTTGCGGATACTGCCAACTGATCAAATCGTCTATCATAAAATTTGATCTAGTCCCCCCTGATGAGTCTGTTTTCTTCGTGAGGACGGAGGACGGTCTGATTCAAGTTTCGGCTGTTGGCTTCGAAGAGAGTCCGCCGTGGAACTTCATAATATATACGCCGAATCAGGTATGGGCCTTTGTAGATTGCAATAGACCATATTACTGACACTATCTTAGAGCCAAATGCTTCGTAACTTGCGGACTCTTCCCCCGTATTCGGAGTCCTGTGATCTTGATACGTCGGTGAGCTTCATCAAGGAGCAAGTGTCAAAGTGTCAGGAAGAACACCCTGCATGGGAAACTAGCAACACTCCCCTACCAACTCGAGCTGTCTGTATTGGTTCTTCAAACTCAGAGGTCCGTCTTATTGAGGCCAAAGGCATGACGGCAAAGTATGCGACTTTGAGTCACTGCTGGGGCGGTGAACAGCCAACCAAAACCACCATATCTAATCTGGCAGCCCTGACCGACTGTATCAACTTCGAGACTTTACCGGTTGTTTTCCAACAGTGCATATTACTGGCACGTAGGCTAGGGGTCGAATACGTCTGGATAGACTCGCTGTGCATCATACAAGACAGTGTTTCCGACTGGGAACTCGAATCTGCAAAAATGTGCGATTATTATGAGAACGCCTACCTAACTATTTCCACAGCAACGTCTCCTAGTCCTAACATTCCATTCCTCGCAACTAGAGATACAAAATGGACACCGATTGAGGTAGAGCTCGCGACAAAACAAGGCCGTGAAACTCTAATGGCCCAGAGAGTAGCGATAACACCCCAAGAACAAGGTAAGCTTTTCACAAGAGGTTGGGCATGGCAGGAGTCCGCCATGTCGTCACAAACGATATATTTCACTCCATCCGAGCTTATCTGGGAGTGTAGCAAGTGCCATGATCATGTTGTGCCGCAGAGGTACATTCCAGATAAACGCAGCTCGGATAGACTTGGCTTCTCGCAGATATTGTCTACGCTCCGTTTTGGCTTTACGTCTGGACGGTCTCGGTTTACAGAACAAATACCTTACCCGGATGATCATTGGGATGGCGCATACTCGTATAGTGAAAGTTCGGAGCCAGACGCCAGAGACTTTGACTATATCTGGGATGAATGGAATGACCTTGTAGTCTACTACTCCCGTCGAGAGCTTACCTTCCTTCTTGACAGGCTGCCAGCACTCAGTGGTGTGGCTTTTCGTGTCTACGAGGCTACAAACTCGCAATACCTTGCTGGAATATGGGAGGACAGTCTACCTACTAGCTTATGCTGGGTCACAGAACACAATCGGGATGAGGCCCTGCCTCTCGCTAACCAATATGTGGCACCGTCTTGGTCGTGGGCATCGGTCGTCCGTGAGATAGAGGCTCAAGTCGAAAGGTCTATTGAGCAATTCGAGTCAGCCGTCACTATTCTCGAAGCCAAATGCCATGTCCCTGGGCTGAATCCTTTTGGCAGAGTTTCGGATGGGTATATCAAGCTACGGGGGCAGATTTCGGAAGCGACATTGACTTGCGACAATCCGCACAGTGGTGCCCACTACATTATTTCTGGCCAAGAAGAAAATCTTTGGTTCCGCCCTGACAGTGCGCTGGTCGAACAGGATGGTATTGTCTCAAGGGCTAGGGAAGGACAGACACTAGCAGACTTCACTTCGACAGTTTCGTGTATGTATCTTGGCTCAAGTGTTCCTTACCATTACTTGGAAGGAGACAAAACGACGCACTATATGATGGTCCTGGGCGCCGGGGACGAGGATGGAAGTTACTGTCGTATTGGATTGTTGACTCTAGTGGCGGATTTCTCTTTTGAGCTGGATGAGTCTATGTGCCGGGAGATAAAGATTGTATAAGCTTGCAGTTAAGATACGATATCAGTCTAGCCTAGGACGCTTGTCCAACCCGGATTGACGGTTCCAGTTCCATCAAAGTACACGAGGTAGTACATAACTGTGGTAATCAGGTTAAAGACTGTTAGTGTGATGCTATAGCTGGCTGTTGAATGCAAGGTAAGACATTGAACAAACCAACGATCAACAACGACACCCAATCTTGCCAAGAAACTGCCCTTTGGTACAGACGATGACTCCTCTGGCTCTTTTCCTGCTGTAGCGTCCGCCGACCTCACTTCGGTTTGCGCCGAAGCATCCTTGGTTCGCACTATAGAAACCAACTTGCTTATAACGTCCAGAGCTTTCGCAACAGCAACACTCGACAAAGCAGCCATCATCATCAACGTTTCAGCCTGCGTGAGATCCCTCATAATGTCCGGCGTCGGTGGCAGTCTGCTAGTCTTGCTTCTTTCTTTTTTCTCCGTCAGCGACAAGGCCATGACAGCCACCCAAAACAAACGGATTGGTACAATGTGCGGTGTGGCCGAGATGTCGAAGCGCCATCGGGTAATAACGAACGCCAACCAGATTGAAGATTGCAGGAATATCAAGGAGGCACAGATTATAGATGTTATTGCGATGAAATCGGAGAACCCCTCCGACAATGTGTAGTTGCTGATTGAACTACTGATGTTGTACCAGATCCAGAATTCGAAAGGAGTTTGAAGGAATACACTAATGAGAACAACAACATCCGATGTGTCATCGTTTTCTGGGGGCGTATACGGCTCCTCCCAATCCAAGCCACACAAATCAATCAGAAGCCTCGTAACAAACGCGAAAAAGAATAAAAACGCGCAAAATTGCGTGGCGGGGACTCCCTTCAAACTGAAAGCCTTTATCATTTGGGGGAAGACGGTGAAAATTGCGATTATGAGCTTCGCCGCGATAACAGTAGTGCTTCGTCTAGATTTTGCCGGTTCCAGTGAATTGAGCGCTCTGTAGGCGCTCACACAGAGATATATGCTGTCCATGATGCCATCTACCAAGCAGACACCCGGGATGCATCGTACAAGGTCGATGTTGCCGCCAAAAAGATCGCGGCCGTTGTTGCGACTGCTTGTGGAAGGGAGGACGACTGCGGCGGCGGCTAGCGAGGCTAGGATCCAGAATGCTGCTTGGCCGCTGACTTCGTCGGGTGAATTGTCGTTGTCAGACATTGTTACAATTTATTGGAATATCTTAAATGCTTCTCAATTCGAAGGAGTGGGGAGGGGAAATTGAAGCATTTTGAGGATTGTATTGTCAGCATAAGTGATAGGCAGGCAGTGAGCGGCACAGCCAAAAACACTGCCCCCAATCCTGCGCAAAACCAATTGTTTAGATATGTTACAAGTATACATAGCCGCTATCATCTTTGCACCTTTTATACCCGCAGTTGTGCTAGTAGCCAATGTACCATGTCAGCTAGCAAAAATCCCTGCTAGCACCAACACGACGTCATTTACAAAAGAACATGAGACTGGGAATAAGGCTATCGGTCACCGAATTCTGCCTTGCAACCTAGACGTAAACAAATAGGTATCAATGGAAATTAGATCAAAAGCCGAAAATCCTTTCAGATCGCCTTACGGATATTACTGACATTTCCATGTAGCATCATCCATGTGTTCAAAATTGTTTCTGAGGCATACAAGCCGATTGGATATGTTCAGGGTAGGCAATGCACCTGCCTTTGGCGATCGGCTTGACGATGATGACTCGGTGCCATATTCGCTTGCTTATCTCGAAGGGGCGCAAAAGACTGTTGAACATGGATGTATTTTCCGCTGAAGAAGCTTTCATGATGAGCAGACCTAACCTAACACTGCGAAGCCGGACTTCATAAAGGCATCGTGAAACTCTGAACTGGTTTGGAACATTGACATGACTTGAGGCACATCCGAGTGAGCATATTGTAACGATTCCAAGTATGTAGCACAACGTACCTGAAGACGTTTAAGAAAGCAAAATCCTAATCTTATAGTCCTAACTACAACTTGGCGGCAATATTAACATGCACAGCCTTGATATTCGAATAAGCCGCCAACCCAGCCTCACCAAGTTCCCTCCCAATACCACTCTGCTTAACACCTCCAAAAGGAATCCTCCAATCACTATCATTACTCGAATTCACCCAAACCATGCCTGCCTCAATCCTCTTGGCGACCTGATGCGCGCGTGCCAGATTCGTAGTAAACAGCGCACTACCCAGTCCAAACTGTGTGTCATTCGCCAAGTCCACTGCTTCATCCTCCTTGGAAAACTTGGTCACCACGACGAACGGTCCAAAGACTTCTTCTTGAAACACCCGCATTTGCGGTGTCACATTTGTGAAGACTGTTGGTTCAATGAAGTAGCCCTTTCCAGAGGATGACTTGAAGGGTGCGCCGCCAAGCGTCAAGTTTGCGCCTTCAGATTTACCGATGTTGACAAAATCCAAGATTCGATCATATTGAGCTTTTGTGACTTGCGGTCCTTGGAAAGTCGACTCCTCAAAAGGATCACCAACCTTGGAAATCTTCTGCACCTGCTTTTTAAACGCAGCCATAAACTTGTCATAGATCCCCTCTTGGACAAGAATACGACTAGTAGCTGTACAAACTTGACCCTGGTTATACATAATACCAGCATGCGCCCAATACGCAGCAAGTCCAACATCGGCGTCGTCGAAAACGATGAGGGGGCTTTTACCGCCTGTTTCGAGGGTGATGTTTTTGAGATTGCTGCTGGCCATTTTCATGATTTGTCGGGCTGTGGGTGTAGAGCCTGTGAAGGCGATTTTGTCTACGTCCATGTGTGATGCTAAGGCTGCGCCTGCGATGGAACCTAGACCGTTGACGATGTTGACGACGCCAGGGGGAAAGCCGGCTTCGATGATTAGGTTGGCGAAGTAGAGGATTGATAACGGGGTTTGCTCGGCTGGTTTGAGAATCACGGCGTTGCCGCATGCCAGTGCTGGACCGAGTTTCCACGCAGCCATAGCAAGAGGGAAGTTCCACCTGCCAGAATGTGAGTTTATTTCCAAGAAACAGTCAAGATGGAGAACTTACGGAATGATTTGTCCGCAAACACCAACAGGTTCACGAATAGTATACCCAAACTTATCACCCGTAGTCTCAATAACCTGACCAAAAACCTTATCCGCAAAACCAGCATAGTATCTCAACGTCTCAGCGACTTCAGTGACATCATCGTTGAGCGCAACGGAGTAGGGCTTTCCATTGTCCCAAGTTTCGATCGTCGCCAGAATTTCTTTATGTTCTTCGACTAGCGAGGCTAGCTTGTTGAGGAGTTTACCGCGTTCTGTGCCTGGGAGATCCCGCCATGATGGGTTGCGGAGGGCGCGACGGGCGGCGCGGACGGCTTTGTCGATGTCTTCTGAGGAACCGGCGTATACGGAGGTGATTTCTTGTTCGTTGCTGTTATTGTTAGCATCCAATTCCGTGGTCGTGTGTATGGGAACGACTTACGTTGGGTTTATGGAAGCAATCTTCTCTCCATTCGAGGACTTTACCCATTCATTGTTGATGAACAATCCGGTGGGCTGCTTGTAAGTTCGGCCATTTGGCGCAGTGAGTTGAACGTCTAGACTCATTGTGGATGATGCTGTGGATGTGGTGATGTTTGGGGTTCAGAATCTGGGGAAATCAACCGAGGAGAGTTAACCTTGTATACCCAGCAGCTGTCCCAATTCGTACAATCAACGCGCTGTCATTCCTTTGCCGATCATCTTTATCTTGATGCGCGTTCCTGGGAGCGGCGGGTGAAGGACAAAACGTGAAAAGTATTGCCCGTTTTCGGTTTAGTGGATATGTCCGGTTCGGTGTGGGGAGATGCTGGGATACCCTGCAGACAAAGATGTTTCTCGTGTCCAGATCGGGTAGTCGTTTTGCACAAGATTTAAGCAGTTTTGGGGTAACAAAATGCAAAGATTAGCATCGTGGATACAGCATCGGTGTTATTGTAAGTGGAGTCTGTTGGAGGTTGTTATCTGGGGTTGTTGGTTGATGACTCCGTTACAACTGCCGAACATCAAGTTTGGTGATGTTGGATCACGTCGTACGATGGCTGCTAATTCTACAAAACATTGCCTAAATCTGGGGTATCACGGTGACTCAGACGATCTATCCCAGATGGGGTAATAAGATAGGACAAAGATACAGTGTAATTTAAAGAGACCTCCTCCCACATCCCTTTCATTCTCTCGTTCAACTACCAACAGCTATCCATCTCATTATGATACACCCACAATTCACTGCCCACTCGCCTCTCCTCCTTGCCGTTGAGTCGCACTACCATCCTTATGAATATCAACATAATTCGCCCGCTCAGCCCTCTGCGCATAAATGATATTCCCCTGCGCCTCCTCCGTCTCAAGATACGTAATCCGGCCCTTGACAACCCAAAACACAAGCGTGATAACCAACATAATTCCGAAAACGGCAATAGCGTAGTTCATGTCCGCCACGGAGGGGTTCGGCGCGCCGGGGAAGAAGAAGAATACCGTGGTTATCGCGCAGTATACTACTCCCACCCAGTTGATCACCGGCCCGAGACGACCTAGCGAGAATTCCCCGGGTGGCAGTTTGTCGCGGCCCACGAGGAGGAGCGTCAAGATGGGCATGCCGTAGGATACTGTCAGAGCGATGGTGCTGACACTCAGAATGGCTTCCAGGACTGTTGAGGCGAAGGTGTAGAGGATGCCGATTAACGCCATTACAGCACCTTGAAGCCAGAGCGCGCGAACGGGAACTTTCCAGGTTTCGTCGACGCGAGCAAAGTATCCGCTGAAAGGCAATCCACCATCTCTCGCAAAACCCCAAGTCAGACGGGAAGCGGTAGTGACGATACCAATACCCTGTCCAATACCGTTCACGATGAACAGCGTCAGGAGAACAGTTCCGCCTTGAAGACCGACAGTCTGTTTGAGTAAGTCCATGAATGCGAGACCGGTGGTTGGATCGAGGTAAATGCTCGAGTCGACCATGCAGAATAGGCAGACCACCATGAAGATGAAACCAGTGATGGCGCCGATGGTGACGGATAGCCAGATGACTTTGGGAATGTTTGTTCGCGGCGAGGGAATTTCTTCAACGAGATGAATCGCTGCATCAAAAGCAGTAAGTCCGTACGCCGCTTGAACAAGACCAATGAACCAGGTAACGCCATCCGGCCAACCAGTCTGGTTAATCCATCTTCCAAACACAAAATCCGCCGGTTGAAACTCCAAGTCGCTCTTGACACCGACAGAAACCAGCATCGCGATACTGATAATAAAGAACAAACTCGCAAAAGAAATTCCGACAAAGTTGTTGAACCAGGGTAGAATCTTGTCCTTTCGACAAGCGACGATGTTGAAGACTGTCATCAGAAGTGTGACGCCGAGGTAGACGAGGAATAAAACCCAGCCTTTGTCTGCACCTGCCCAGTCTGGTTTGAACAGGACTTTCATCTTGAGCATGAACTCGCCCATAAAAGCGATTTGAGATGCTGAGAGAGTGATCCAACCCGTCATGTTGATCCACGCGCATAAATAACTCGTAAATCGTCCGGCAGGTGTAGGCCAAAGTCTAGAGATCCAATATGCTTGACCAAGGGCAGTAGGCATGCTACTACACATTTCTCCCAGACTCACAGCAACGCAGATGTTACAAACAAACACCAAGACCAATCCCCAGAGAATGGCGATTGGGCCGCCTGCTGAAAGACCGCTGTCGATGCCTTGTGCGAAAGTGCTCCATGTTCCTAGGACAGAGAATGCCAGAGCGAGCATACTCCACATGGAGAATTTGCGGGTGAGGGATTGGTCATGGCCGAAATTTGCGAGATCTTCTGCATCGCGGATTTCTTGCGAGGTAGGAGGGCGTTTGAGGGTTGTGTTTGTTTCGACGTCCATCGCGTGTTTGATGACCGCGTCTTATGACGTATGTGTATGAAGGCGACGGGCAGCCTGGATGAAGTAGAAAGGTGAATCCAATGATGAGGATGTGATGGTGGTATTGGAGAGGGGAAAGGAAATAAAGGGCCCGACACGCTGCTTATATCCAATTTACGTCGGCGACCGGACCACCTCAGCTCTCTGTGTTACAGAGAGATAGGTACAGTACAGTATTGGGCGCTGATTAGGTATCTCGTACGGATATTGGGAACCAGGTTTCTTTATCGTGTGACAACCAAGCCGAAATACTGTACAGACCTGCTGTAAAGAGCGTAGACCAGAACCCAATTGCGCCCTACTCCTCACTGTAATCAAAGGGTAACCTCCCGTGGCTGTGGGAGAAAAAACCTGGTTGCGATTGAAAAAAAAGGCGCGCAGAGATAAGGGTGTGTCACTGTTATCTGCGACCCCAGTCCATACTGGTTCTGTGCGTGCCCTGCTGAAGAATTTTCACTGCGTCATTGTCCATTTTTTACGGACACAGTCAGTGCATTCATTCTACACGACGCGACAAAACCATCAATAAAAGCATCAATTGTCACAAGTTCAGCGATGTTTCAAGGTGTCATCCGGGGAAGAAGAAGAAACGTCAATTTACCCCATGGGGAATCACGATTGAATGGCATTCCATTACGTGATGAATTGAACAGTGATGCAAGACAATGATCTTCTATTCCTTAAAGGGACACAATCACGTTGTCGTTTGACCGGGCCGGTCATCATGGGTTGGGTGAAAGACAATCCTTCAACTGTCAGTGGCGAGACCTCTCTCGGTTATCTCGCCCTTCAAAAACCTTCAATTCATTGCCCGGAAACAGTTTAGTCTATGTGGACTGACAAAAGCTGAGAAACTGCTACCATAAACGGTTAGACAGACATAAAATGAGGGGAAAGGTGAAGCTAGATGGATCGGCAGTCAAGTGACGAGAGCCTCAGACAAACAATCCCCCCTTCCCCAGCCACTAGATAGCTGACGATAAATGCTAGATAACGACGAGATAAGGCAATTAGCGGGGCGGTAGAATGTTCAATGTAATACCCTTCTATGGATAGCTCACGGATAGAACTGCCGGACTTGGGAGTCATAGAAATGCAATTGTTTGACGGTTTTGGGGTAAACCGTTGCAATCTGGATCTGATCGATCTCGGCCAACTGTAATACCGTAGTCATGTTGATCATGCAGTGCAGTAAAAGATAGGGCGGACAACCGAAGCTTTCGTCTTACTTACAGGCGGAGCGGCAGAGAGTGGAGATGCATTGCAAGCGGAGCGGTGTCACGGAACGGCGCTACAGTGGGTTCTTCCATTGTTCTTGTCTGGACCTTTTTGTGTATAAGAAGCTGTCATCCTCAATTGAAGTTATTTTCCTTTAAATCATTTTGTCTTACAAGTTACACTCTTACTCAACACTCATACACAACAACATTTATACTACTAGACCACCAGGTTTATCTTGGACGCACCCGTATGGCACAGTACACAACTTCAAACAACAACCACAATGATTCCAGACACCTCTTCCATCGCCGGCTACACCATCTTTCGGGAAGAGCCCAACGATCCCGCTCCCGATCTGTCGTCAATTGAACATACCCATCCTCTCGGTAAGTCCCAATCACCACTCAATCCAACTACCGCTCAATTGTTCTCTTACTGACGCTTCACAGACCCCCTCTCAATTGATGAGATCCGTGCCGCGACAAAACTAATCCGCAGTTATGCATCCCCCAAAACCTTGAAATTCAACTGTCTCACCCTCCGCGAGCCCCTCAAGGCCGAGTACTCCGCCTTTAAGGCGCGCACAGGTCCTCGTCCCGCTCGTCGCGCTTTCGCAATCGTGATTGAGCGGGGATCTGGTCAAGTCTCTGAAGTCATCGCCAACATCCGCGACGGTAAAGTCGAAGAGTGGAAGAATGTCTCCGACGTCGGTCCTACTCTTACCCTTGAAGACCTCGACGTCTGCGAGCGTATCGCCCGCAAGGACCCTCGCGTGATTCGCGCTTGTGAGGAGCTGGGTATTACCGACATGGAGAAGATCTTTATCGATGCTTGGGCCATCGGCTTTGATGATCGATGGGGTTATGAGCGACGTCTTCAGCAGGGTTTGGTGTATTATCGTGATTCACCCAACGATAACCAGTACGCCCATCCTCTTGACTTTTCCGTCGTGCTCGATACTGAGAAGGAGGAGGTCCTTGCTGTTGATGTCCGTCTCGTCAACGGTGAACGAACCAAGATTCCTCTCACTCAGCATAATTACATGCCTGAGTTCATCGGCGAGAACTACATCGACGGTACTCTCAAGCCCATCAACATCACCCAGCCCCAAGGTGTATCCTTCCGCATGCGCGGCAATGAAATTTCCTGGGCAGGCTACAAGATGCACATTGGCTTCAACTACCGCGAAGGCATCGTTCTATCTGACGTTCGAATGGAAGATCACCACGAGCATCGCGAGCGCACTCTCTTCAACAGGATCAGTGTTGTAGAAATGGTCGTTCCCTACGGCAACCCCGATCCTCCTCACCACCGAAAGCACGCTTTCGATGTCGGCGAGTACGGAACCGGTCTCATGACCAATTCCTTGAAGCTGGGATGTGATTGCAAGGGTGCTATTCACTATCTTGACGCCGTCATGGCTACTGGTGATGGTGACCCAGCTATTATCAAGAACGCCATCTGCATCCACGAAGAAGACAACGGTCTTCTCTACAAGCACACTGATTACCGTGATGGAAGCGTTATCTCTGCTCGAGATCGAAAACTCATCATTTCCCAAATTATTACAGCTGCCAACTATGAGTATGGCTTCTACCACACTTTTACTCTCGACGGAACATATAAGCTTGAGATTAAGTTGACGGGTATGTTAAATACATACTGCATGCACCCCTCCGAGACAGCCGCTCCCTACGGTACCGAGGTAGCACCCACCATCAACGCGCACAACCACCAACACATCTTCTCCCTACGCGTCGACCCCGAAGTCGACGGCCCCAACAACACAGTCGTTCAAAACGACGCGTTACCTTCAGAAGCAGAAGTCGGATCTGCCGAGAATCCCTACGGAAATGGCTTCTATGCGAAGAACACCCCGTACAAGACTTCCAAGGAAGCTTCATCAAATTACTCCCATGAGACACAGCGTTCTTGGGCTATCACGAATCCCAACAGCATTAACCCCTCCGCCAAGAAGCCTGTCGCCTACAAGATTCTCAACAACAACTGTCCTCCCCTCCTCGCCAAACCCGGCAGTGTAGTCTACAACCGCGCCGCCTTCGCCCGCAAGTCCCTCTGGGTAACGCCTTACAAGGACTACGAGATTTTCCCCGCCGGCGACTACGTGTGTCAATCCACAGGCATCGAAAACCATCCTCACAACTCTAATATCATTGACTGGGTGAATCGCGACGGCAACATCGAGAACACGGATATCGTATGCTATATCCAGTTCGGCCTTACGCATTTCCCTCGCACGGAGGATTTCCCTGTTATGCCTGCTGAGCCTGTTAGCGTGATGCTTCGCGCGTCAAATTTCTACCAGAAGAACCCTGGTTTGTGGGTTCCTCCTTCAGCGCTTTGTGTTGATGCTGCGAGCAAGGATGCTTTTGGAGAGAAGAAGGAGGAGGGCGGTTCGTGCTGTGCTGGAAAGGCTGGGCCTAAGCTTTGAGGCGTTTGAAGATTAAAATTGGATAGCATTGCATTTGTTTAGTTATTTAGTTAATAGGTTACAATACCAACGGTTTCATGACAATTTCGAGTTTGGACGATGTCTCGTTCCTGTGCCATTCGTTGCATCTGAAATTCCTTGATAATACACCGTACAGAAAGGACTGAGTACCTTGTTCTTGATAGGACTCATCACAACTTGTTCCCCCTCAAAACAGCAGTCAACCCGAAAATCCACTGTTTCTCTCAGAAGTCAAGCCGAGCTCAAGTCTGTCCCACCTTCGGCAGATCAAGTAACAAGATTCATGACCTTGAGCGGAGGCGGGTCCGCGCGGGGAATCTGCAACTTTCCCAATCAAGGTATAAGTGACGAATCACAACATGAGGGGTCGACAACTCAGACATCAGGGTCATATGATTGTCGTGAGTTACCGTATTTAGTAATCCGCATATGCGTGTTGCTTATCACCTTGTTGGTTGAAAGTGAGGCTGTAGACGGAATACGTTTGAAGCGGGATTTGAGGTAAAGGCAGATGATCTGAGATGGGAACCCCTCTATCAAGATGACGATAGCTTCACAGAACTTTGAACGTGGTTCTCAATTAGAATAAGGTAGGAATCAATGTTGACCAATGCGTTGCTTTATCATGGACACTTTAAGCAGCAGCAATAATTCCAAGTAGATAGCTTCAAAGACGAGATCCCCAAATATCCTTCTCCCCAAGCCAACCCCAAACATTTGCATCACCCTCCTCCCAATTACTCGTCGAAAATCCCTTCGTCGGATCCTGAAAGTCCGGTCCCGGATCATTGAAAACCTGCACCTGTCTCGTATTTCCCTTTCCAACTTCCAAAACCGTTCCTCCAGGGTGTTTATCACTCTCCACGCATTCAAGCATAGCTTCAGCGCATTCAAAGGGTGTAACCCACGCATCGTCTTGACTAACGTTCTTCAATTTCTCGGGGTGTTCTGTCCAGAGTGGTGTGCGTACAACGCCTGGTGCTACGGCATTGACGCGAATGCCGGTGGTTTCCAAGTTCCAGAGACACCGGACGAAGCCTGTTATGCCGAATTTGGAGGCGCCGTACATGGGTGTTCGGAAGGTGGGGATTTGAGCAGCGATGGAAGAAATGTGAATCACACGCTTGGGATTTTCAAGCGAAGCTTTCTGCCCAGTACCGTGCAGCCAAAACGAGATTGCCATTTGCGTTGCTCTAATGGGATGCGTGAGGTTGATATCGAGTAACTTATACCCATCGCCCTCGGGGTCGTCTTTACTTTCAGGTGATCCAGGCGGATGCCAGAAGTTAGACCAGTTCGGTTCATAGACGCCCGCACCAGGACAAATGATGTCAAAGTCGTCAAATTCCTGGACAGTAGTACGGAAAGCGTTGGAGAGGTCTTTCCATGAGGTCACGTCTGTTTTGACAAAGATTGCTTTGGGAGAGGAAGTGTGCTGAGTGGTAAGAGCTTGAGCTTCGGGACGGAGGGAGAGGTCTGCTATGACGACGTTGCAGTCCTTTGAGAGGAGGAGTTTGGCAAGTTCATAGTTGATTCCTTGATGAACGTCAATGCCTTTTTTCGAAGAATGGTGAACGGTGAATGAACTGACCTGAACCTGCTCCAGTGATAATGGCAGTTTTGCCAGAGACGGAGAAAGGCTTGGCTTGAGAAGACATCTTGAGCAGGCACAGATGGATGGAAATTCTCGCAAATTAAATTGATTTTATTCTATGTCTTCAAGAGGAAACGACAGTGAAGTACATCAAGCCAATATATATCCAACTCTCAGTATCAGATCAGTCAGCTTAGGTGATCTACAAGCCCCGCCATCGGTCTTCTCAATACCGAGACCCCCACTTTTCCTCTCCTCGCCTTGATCACCTCTTCCGTCAGCACTCTCGGCTTGGTTTCCGACTTCAAATCTTGTAATCCACAGCTGACGAAAGCCTCCACCACGCAAACTTACTATACATACAGCTCGGCTCAATAACCTTTCGCTTTGACTTCCTCTTTATTCACTTTTCAAGACGGGGGACAATGCGTTCTTTTTCTGGCTGGTAAGAATTGCCTCACTGGGATGAAATGGTCGCTGATTGACGTGGTGATAGTGAGACTTGCAGAAGCAGAAAGCTCAAGTGCGATGAAGTGAAGCCGATATGTGGAGCCTGTACGAAGAGTTCGAGGGAGTGCAGTTATTCGAAAAGATCTGTTTTCCGACCGTTCCAGAGCTACACCGGACCATCGCGGAAGGATGTATTTGACCAGGACCACGTTTGGGTCGAAGTCCCAGATGAACGTAAGTACAGATGCTTCAAGTTCTATCTTGTCGCTAATGAGATGGTACAGTTCACTTCGTTCATATAGAGGATCCATATGCTGAAGAGACAGTACTTGATACCACTATCGAAACGGAAGACACATCTCGGTCATCATGTCCACCGGCCGAGTTCTGGCAAGAGCAAGACTCTATCACTCTAGCTGAGGAACTTCAGTTTGACTCCAGCATACCTCCGACGCCTGCTCATGACGACTATGGTATCACTTCAAGGCTGGCAACACTTCATCTAATAAAGCATTACAAAGAAGGACCAGGAACATGGTAAGTCCCCTCGTCCTGATCGCCACCATCAAGTCTGACAAGTAAGGTTCGACATATTCGACACAGGCTGTTATTTCTCTGGCAAAGTCCCAGTAAAAGCAGCTACATCTCCTCTTCTCAAATCCTCCATCTGCGCTATATCCGCCAAGCACTTATACCGTCTCAACAAGACCAAACCCCATCCATCCTCCGATCGATGGCTCTCATATGACTGGCGCTACGAGTCAGCAAAACATTACGACGAAGCAATTAACCACCTAAAAACTGCAATCGATCTGCAATCTTACGAGAATGACCTCAGTGAGAAAGAAGATATGCTAGCAGCTGTCGCGATCCTTTGTATTTATGAACTTATGAATGCGCCTGGGACAGCGTGGAGGGCACATTTGAGTGCACTTCCTTTGTTTCAAGATACGGGTGGTTCACCGGTTGTAATTCCTAGGACGGCTATACAAGGTCCTATTCTCTGGAGTCTAGCAAGGCAAGATTTACTTTGTGCCTGTAAGTTTCTCATCTGATTATATAATTTTGTAATCTGACAGCTAGTAGTCATCAGCGAAACACAAACAAGACTGGATCTGAAGGATGTCCGTCTCTGGCAAAACGCCGGGCTGGCAACCACGGAAGACGGGAGTCTAATGCCCTTCAGTCCAATCGACATTCGAACATCAGCCGATATTGAAGAGGATACCAAGAGTAACGAGTTGACGTGGCTGATTGGTAAACTATTGAATCATCTGACTTCAGGAGATGCTATAAATCCGACGGACTATGCGCTACCACATGGTCAACGCCCGACTGTTGGTGTGACTCAAGAGCGGTTGTTAGAGCGCTGGAAGATGCTTCTGTCGGAATTCAAGAAGTGGTATGAGAGTCTTCCTTCGACATTTACACCCCATGCAAAGACTCCTTACCCGACCAGTCCACAATCTTATTTCACGGCCTTTGAGCAAATTTGGTACGAACTCCCCATCTGCGCCGCAACAATGCAAAACTACTACATGGCCATGATTCTCCTCCTCGTCAACCAACCCCAAGAATCCACCTTTATCCGCTCTACTGTCTCGGCACGATTAAGCTCCTATCGAAAGATCCAAGAGGATGTACATCACTATGCAAAAGAGATTTGTGGTATCAGTCTTGCTGATCCTAGTGATCCCGTAAGAGCGAATTCTGTACAAGCTTTGTTTGTCGCGGGCCAGGTGTTTTATGAAAAGGGTGAGCGGGAAGCTGTTTTGAAGTTGTTGGCGGATGTGGAGAGGGATTTGGGGTGGACTACGAGGTTTCATAGGGCGAAACTTGTTGATGAGTGGCCGGGGATAATTGAAGATGAGAATTATGAATGATGGGTTCAACTATATACGAGACCAGCCTTGTGGCTGACTGCAGTGAACTGAATGAATCGATGTTAAATATTAAATATACAACCAATACCGGTGCCAATTCTCTCACTATCGATGGTCCCAGTCATTTCAATGAAGGTTACAGATCAACATCGCAAACTTTTGTCAGGGTAACGTCATCGAAATTGAAGATGACACTACTAAAGTCTCCAGTACCAGTACACACAACCTGGAGTGACAAGTTCACCTCGTCGAGATCCTGGAAAGCAGGCCAGAATCCCGTCGAATGAGCATACATATCCGATGGATCGTTGGCGAACACGGAGAGCAGTCGACTGGTTCCGATCCTGGGTATGATGTAACAATTATAGCTGCCAGAATCATTATCCACCCAAGTAATACGCCAGCGGAAGGAAAGTTGGTATTCGCCTGCTTTGATGTTGTGTAAGGTCTGCGAAATCGACTGGGGCGGACCGTTATAGACTGTTACTTCTCTGTATATTGTCAGTATGTCGTGTTGTTATTTGTTGGTATGTCTTACAGGTTGTTCGGATTGGAAGGGGTGTAATCGCTTTTCACTTGACCATCATGTATCCAAGGGGACCCGTCGTTGTTGTCGTCGAAGCCTGGGTTGACAACGACCTGGGTCTCGATGCAACTTTCCGCTTCGATAGTGGTGGTGCTTGCAGCAAGGGTTGTAGGAGTCTCTTCGATCAGGGCGGAGGAAGTAGTAGCATCAGCAATAGCCGTGGTCTCAGCCAGAGTAGTCAGGCTAGTCTCAAGGATCGTCGAAGACGAACCCTCAGCAGTAGACGTGGTCTCGGTTGATAGTGTTAAAGAAGTCTCGACCAAGACAGAAGACGTAACCTCGGAAGCGACAGTCGACAAGGCCTCGCTCTGGACAACGGAAACAGCAGTCGATGTCGCCGGCTTACAAGGACTAGCATCAGCTCCAAACAAGCCAGCAGCGACAACGGCCACGGTGAGGATGGATCGGCAACCCATCTTGAAGGATAGCGAATGAAGGCGACTGGAAACAGCGCGAGTTTGAAAGAGTGTAAGATTCAAAACTGGAGTTTTCTTAAGTTTCTGTTTTTTTTTTCATGGGGCCTCCTATTTATTCTAGCTGAATATTGTTGTTGGTTGTGTTGTGAAAATGGGTCTGGGCTGATATTGCCGGGCTAGTGCCAATAGTCACCCAAACTATTGATGCCAAGTCGTTTGCATTTTATTTCCACGGCGGACTAGAACGGTCTACGCAGGGGCTTAATAGCTGTAAGCATAATTTTAGTGAACTTCTTTTCTTTCTTTTGTTGGTCGAGCAAGTAGGTGAGGGAATGACCTTCGCCATTGCCCTCTAGACTAAAGCTGTTCCATTTCAGCTGGACCAACATCCAAAAAGCATTTTGCAGTGTATCCTGCTTATCGGGAGCATCACTTATTAAAAAGCTCTTATGCAAATCTTTAATATATAATTAGTTAAGTTAAGCTTGTAAAACTTCTGAGCGGGACAGTCTTCAGCTAGCTGTTTGGATGCTCCGCTGTTGGAAGGGGTGAGGTGATTTCAATGGTGGACGTGGAATTACAGCGTTCGCGGTGACTATTTGTCACTTCCATACCATTATGTACTCTTATTAGCGACAAAAGAGCTCGTATAATTGGAAATGTCTTACCAACTTCAACTGTCAGAATGACAGTCAACCTGCATAATGCAAGATTCTCTATCCTTCCAAATTCTAGCCGGAAAGAGAAAAGTATTCATAAAGCATGCAGTAATTCTGGCGATGCATTGTGTTCGTGCTCGGGATAGTTACCGATATAGCTATAATCCTGCTGCCTGCTTGAAGTTGCACCTCGCCTTGATAACCATTTACAGAACAACAAAGCTTAAACTCAAAAACGACCTCCACATATGCAGTGTCACGTATCAGGCCTCAAACCAAGGAACCCGATATTTCACGACAGAGAATATGCTGATCAGACCTAAGATGCATAGTTATAAAATGCCTCGTAACATCTAAGCCATCATTATATATCCACTACTCCCATCGTCCTTTGTACGACCCCATTCCAGCATTCCAACTGTTCCAAGCATTCATATTTCATGATGAACCGCCTCAAAGATAAAGTCTGCATCGTAACAGGCTCATCCTCCGGTCTCGGCCGCTCCATAGCACTGTCGTACTCCTCTGAAGGCGCGCACCTCATCTGCGCAGACCTCCAACCGCATCCCCGTCCCGCCAACATCCAAACAGAAGAAGCCATTCCCACCGATGAACTCATCAGAAAGAACGGTGGCAAGGCAATATTCGTCAAGACAGATGTCACTAAGGTCAAGGATGTTGAGGAACTGGTAACTCGGGCTGTCATCCAATTCGGCAGAATCGATGTGTAAGTCATGTCCCAAGAGAAGATACAACAGCTAATAGGTCAGCTTGGTAAACAACGCAGGAATTTCTCTGGAAGCGGGCCAGCCTCCTGTACGAATCCACGAAACATCCGAAGAGCGCTGGGACAAGACGATATCCGTGAATCTCAAATCGATTTTCCTAACAACCAAACACACCATCGCCCAAATGCTGAAACAAGACAAGAATGAGGACGGAGATCGAGGTTGGATTATTAATATTTCTTCTATCCTTGGTGTCGTTGGTGGCTACACCGTTCGTTAGTCTACCTTCCAATCAGGTAGATGCGTGCTGACAGTATAGCTTCATACGCCGCCTCAAAAGGCGCAGTCACGAATCTCACCCGTTCTGTGGCGTTGGATTACGCAAAGGATGGAATTCATTGCAACGCGATTTGTCCCGGCTGTAAGTCGCATAATCCGAAGCCACCGCCCAGAGCTGGTACATCGGATAGACTAACACGACATCCTACAGACACAGAAACAGCCATCTTTGCAGACACCATCAAAATGCACAGCAAAGAAGACATCCGTGCAAAACATCCCTTGCACGGGACAGGTAAACCACAAGACATCGTCGGCGCAGCTATATTCCTCGCTAGTGCAGAAGCAAGATGGATTACAGGCGTAAACCTTCCAGTCGACGGTGGATATACAGCGCAGTGAGTAAGCGCCACCAGGACTACGAGCTCAACCATCACTTCAATGAGGATAGCCAAGTCAAGGTCACGATCATTTAAGGCATATGGAAGCAGCAAGACTAGATAAACAATCCATCAATTTATCTCAATTCAGCTAGTAAACCCATTATCATCCATCATCTACCTCATACACTAATACAATCCCATCGCTATGATGTTTTAAAACGTTCCCTTTCTACATGCTATGCCCGCTGCCCAGTATAACACAATTCCAACCCAAGACGCAAAGAAAATGACAAAGCGAGAGTACAAAAGAGAGATTGACAAAGGAAAATGTTTCAAAAGAGTGCCGACGATCACGCTCCTCTATGTTGAGGTATGTCGGTGATGCCGTGGTGTTGTTTTGTGTTGACCGATCTCTTCATGAGGTTGTTAGTGGTCTTGTTTGGTGACCCATCTCTCCGGAGATGTCTTAATGGTCTTGTATAATCGTCCACCAAGTGAACAAGTTTCGCATCAAAAGCAAAACGCCCGTAGTAACTCATGGTTGAAATCAGAAACGCCCGTACATGTATATCAAAAGCCAAGTCAAGCATCATATTCATGACACGTGCAAGACCTCCTTCAACCATTCAAGGAGTCACGAATCCGCAGACCCATCGCTCTGCGAACTACTCCTCGCAGCAGCAGAATTCAAGTTCTTCCTTCTAACAATAGAGCTCCTGTACACACGTTAGTAACACACCCTGAGTAACACTGGGTAGAGGGGACAAACTTACAATCCCTTTCCTCCATCTCGAGGATCCCGAACGATGACAAGCTCCTGCGCACGCTTGGGATCCTTGGGTCCCTTTCGTCCCTTGGAACTAGACCTCACAGCCGCGACACCTCCACCGTTGTGGATCTGTGCCACTAAGGCAGCGATTTGTGTTTCGAGAGAGTTCACCTTGGATGTAGCTTGCTTCTGAGCCTTCTTGGCTTCATCGAGTTTCTTCATGAGATTGTTGTTCTCGGTTCTCAAGGCATTCAGAATAACAGCTTCGCGCTCCGCGGTCTCGAGTTTCTTGTTCAGCTCGTCGCGCTCGGCAATAAGGGTGGCGATCTGCTCCTCGGCAGCGGTGAGCTTGCCCTTGAGATCATCGCGGTCGGTAGTGACTTCGTCAGCCTTGGCTTGGAGAGCGGTGGCTTCTTCTTGGAGGGTGGTGAGCTTCTGGGTGATCTCGTCGCGCTCCGCGGTTAGGGTGTCGACGCTGAGTTGCAGACGGCCGGCGTTTTCGGCGGTGGCTTCGAGTTTGATGGTTAGATCGTGGTGCTTCTCCTTGAGTTCAGTGTGCTCGGGTGTTTCGGCGGCAGGGGCGGGTTCTTCGGGGGCTGGAGGGGCAGGTTCTTCAGGTGCTGGGGGTGCAGGTTCGGCTGCGGGCTCGGGAGCTGGGTCCTCGGCCACAGGCTCAGGAGCGGGCTCAGCAGGAGCTTCCTCGGGTACAGTCTCGACTGACACGGGCTCAGGTGCAGGGGCAGGTTCAGCTTCGGGGGCAGGGTCTTCAGGAGCAGGAGCAGGAGCCTCAGGCTCGGTGGCGGGCTCAGCAGGAGCTTCAGCAGGTGCAGCCTCAACCTCAGCCTCGACCTTCACCTCCTCGGTCGCAGGCTCCTCCTGAACAGTCTCAAGAGTCTGCTCAGTCTTGGCAGTAGCATCCGACGCGGTAGTAGAATCGCTGATAGTGCTGATGCCACTAGAGATAGTCGAGATAGAGCTGGACACAACACTACCCGCATCATCCCTCAGACTCAGATTCTCAGACCTCAAGCCACTGACTTCGACAGACAGTCTCAGAACCTGTGCCTGTGAGTCATCCTGTTGACTCAGAAGACCCTTCACCTGCTCCCTCAAACCCTCGCGTTCACCGTGCAACTTCTCGTACTTCTTCTTAAGCAACTTGCGCTTCGCCTCCATCTCCTCCATTTCCTTAGCAACACCCTCCTTCTCCTTGCTGATGGACTCAATCTGCGACTTGAGCGCTCCGTTCTCTGAGTCCAGACCAGCAATTTGGGCCTCCTTGGCCTCGGAGTCCTTGGCCCAGGTCTCCTTGTCCTTCATCAGATCGTCGATTGTCGCTTGGAGTGTTGTAACCTGCACCTCTAGAGCCTTCTTGTCGGATTCAAGGCCGGTGAGCTGTTCCTGGAGTCGCGTCTTGTCGGTGGTCAGATCAGAGATTTGGTTGAGGAGGTTCTTCTTGTCCTCCTCAAGACCGAGCTTGTCCTTGCTGAGAGACTCGACTTGGCCCTTGGAGTTCTCACTCTCGGTCTTGAAGCGGTCGCGGTCGACGGACATCTCACCGAGTTCCTTGGACTTCTCGACGAGGTCGGTCTCCATGTTGCTGACACGGAACTGCATGGACTCCTGCGAGATCTCCATGGTGGCGATGCGGGCTTCGTAGGCGGTCGCCTGAGACTTGCGAATAGCCTTGATGTCCTCCAGCTCGCGCTCCAGGTTGATAGCCTTGGCTTCGAACTTGCTGTTGTTCTGCGTAGCCTCCATGCTGTTCTTCTTGAGATCCTCATAGTTTCTCTCAAGAGCAGCCTTGAGTTCACGGTGCTTGGTGAGATGGTCCTCAAGCTCCTTGACCCTGTTGCTGAAAGCGGCCTCAGTCTTGATAAGCTCATCGCGTTCGAGAGTCAACTTGGAGACGATCATGTCACGCTCCTTCTTGGCCTGGTGGATGATCTGATCCTTCTCCTTCTTGACCTGCTCGATAGCGTAGTCACGTTCCTTCTGGAGCTTGGCGATAGCCGAGTCACGCTCCTTCTTGGACTTGGCGATGGTCATGTCAAGATCCCTCTTGGCCTTCTCAGCAGTGGAGTCACGCTCACGCTGGAGCTTGTCGACGACAGAGTCGCGTTCGCGCTGGATGCGGTTGACCATCTCATCGCGCTCACGCTGAAGACGGTGCAGCTCAGCGTCGCGCTCCTTCTTGGACTTGGAGATGGTAGAATCCAGATTCTTCTGGGCTTGCTCCACAGCGTGGTCGCGTTCGCGCTTGAACTTGTCGACGTTCTTGATGGCTTGGTCACGCTCGTACTTGAACCTGTCGAGGACCTGCTCGCGATCCTTCTTAACCTTGTCAATCGACATGTCACGGTCCTTCTCGAATCGCTCCAGTGTGCGACGCTGCTCGTCGAGCCTTGTCCTTGTTCGCTCAAGCAGACGAGTCTGCTCTTCGAAGTCGGTGACAAGTCTATCACGTGTAGCCTGAGCCTTGTTCCTCTCCTCGCGGAGCTCATCCTTGTCAGTCTGCATGTTGGACAGTCTGTACCGAGCATCACTGAGATCCTTGTGCGTCTCCTTCTGCTTCTCCTTGAGGGTCTTGAGTTCCTTGCGGAGGTTCTCGAGCTCAGCCTGCATGGTCTCTTCCACATCGTGGCGTGAGCGAGCTCGAGGTCGAGAAGGAGGACGTTCAGGCTGAGGAAGCTGACGTTCCTCGGGGATGCGTTGAGGTGGAGGTGCAGTCTGCGGTTGTTGCTGGATCACAGGTTGGACGAAGGGTTGCTGGATGGGCTGGGTGATGGGAGGGCTGATGGGAGCAGTGTATATGACTGGTTGGGCGGGCATGATGGGTTGGGTCATCATTGGTTGAGGAGCGACAGCAGGTGCTTGAGCCATCATTGGTTGGCCAGCTGGGTGCTGAGTGTAGGTGGACGACGACGATGTGGTCGTCGTCGTTGTGTTGGAGTGGACGAGGGTGCCATTAGCCTGGTTGGTAGCCGGTTGCTGGATGGTAGCTTGCTGGGTGACCTGCTGAGGCTGTTGTGTGATGGTCTGCTGCTGCTGCTGTTGTTGTTGCTGTGGTTGAGCATTGACGAGGGCCTGTTGAGCAGTAGGCTCAATGTGAATGTGATAGGTGCGACCACGACTTCGTGATCTCTCCTTGGTCCTCTCCTGCTGACGCTCAGTCTGACGTCCAGAAGATCTCTCCAGTTGACGATCCTCCTCAAACTCAACCCTCTTCTCACCAGGACGAGACTGTTGTCTAGAGAGGGCACCAGTCTGACGAACAATAGATCGTGATCGAGTAGGTGTCTTGGAGTAGTCATCCTCACTCTCACTCATGACAGTAGTAGCCCGTGTGGAGACGGAGACATTGGATGAACTGCCCCATCCTAGTTCAGATGCAGAATCCCAGTTGTCATCAGACATGTACTGAGCTCTGGGTGAAGGCTCCGGTGATCCAGTGTCCTGTGTAGATCGGAAGCGCAGCTGAGGAGGCCGAGGTTGGAAGGGCTGTTGAGGTTGGAATCCGAAGCGACCAGACTCCGGTCGTCTGTACTGAGGTGGTGGTGATATGGACGAGACGTCACTGGCTGAAGAGACGGTGGAGACCTCGGATGGGGCAGTGGTGGCTTCGGAGACGGTAGACAGACCATCATCATCTGGTCGACGAGATGGTGGTGGACGAGAGACTGATCGGTTTCTTGTGAGGGCAGTCGACGTGTTGACGTTGTTCCTTGAGTTCCTTGAACTGTCGTCCGAGTTGTTCCTGGGCGGGTTACCCCGGATTGTGAGGGCCATGGCAGTCTCCTGCTGTCTTTGCTGTTCAAATTGTGACAGCGGATCAAAAGGCCGACGGGAAGGCGCCGGCTTTGTCGCCGTCTTCTGTGATGATTTCCTCATATTGAATGAGACTGTTTGTGTGTGTGTATGTATGTGTCGTTGATAATATTAAAGAAAAGACGAGTTTATTTTCTTTCTCGCTCGTGGGTACAAGGGTCCGTGGGTGATGTGATCGGCAGTCGGCGGTGAGGATGGATGGGTGATGGTGCACTACATAAATGGTGAAGAGGTCACAATAAAAGGAACAAAAGAGGCCTCGCTGGATTAATGTTGTTTTCTGTGCAGAGCTATTCTCAGAGGGAAAAAAAGAGAAAGAAGAAGAAGAGGGAAAAAAAGGAATCAGCTCGGACTGGAAATAAGGTGTGCAGCCGCCAGTTTTGTTCAACCTCTTTTTTGCCTTGATCTACAGAAAGAAGACAGACCGGGGGACACCAGAGCCCGAGCCAAGCCCAACCCATTCTGAGAGTCTTCCTCTAGAAATCAGTTGGTTGATCCACTACCAACCACAATTGCACATTACATTGGGCACGGCCAGGCGCAGGACAGCTGGACCAATGTCTACCGAATCGGCTGTGACCATGACGCGTGAAGGCATGATCCCTGAACGGCAGAGCGGGAACAGAACAAAAAAAAAAAGAGGCCCCTAGTTTAGTTGAACAAGGTCTCGATTGGACTTGACGCGGGGTGAGGCTAAGCTCTGACAGTTGATTCTACAGTAGTCTCAAGTGGCAACTGGCCATGTGGACAGGCGTGGTTGAAGGGAATTATCCCCGGTAAGTCTAACAGGTAACAGTAACAAGCGGCAGGGGTAGAGGGTCCTCCCCGGCCCCTCCGCTGTCGAAACAAGGCCGAACGAAAGATGTCTGTGCAGTGACTAGCTAGTCACCGGAGAACTAAGCGATAACCTCTTTTCTGCAAGAAAGGGGAGAAGATGAATGCAAGACTCCATACCGCTGTGTGTCTTACGTGTACAAGACCATACCAGAAATACATACATTACATTTACATGACAATCTCCATTTTGTGCAGAAAAGACTTTTCGCTTATTTTTGCCCTATTTATTGTCCACAGGAAATGCAATGGATCTATGCATATAGTGTCCTGTCTGTCTCCATATGTTGTGTCTCTAGACGTGATTGTTCTGCGTGATTCTCCTCCCCCACAACTCAGCATGCCCAATCATCAAAATCAGGGCATCCAATAGCTTCCGTCTCTACTGATCAGCGGCTTGGGCCTCTAAAACTACAGGGGGGAGTCCCTGTAGTTTTTGAGGCCCCATTCCACCTTAGGTCCGTCGGGCTGCAACGTTTATGTGGGGGTTTCCGATTCGTTCGAGAAGGGTCGTAAAAATGGAGTTCTTCTGCACAGCACCAGAATAGAGGCACCAAGAGAAACTCAAGTGAGGCAGAGAATTCTTTGGACAGCATTGAAGAGGGAATGTGAGTAATAGATATACACGAATCCCTTTGTGACTCACTGACAGTTCAGCTAGAATTGGCTGGCTGAGCTGGTTAGGCGCGTAAAAAGCCGCAGGTCAGGTCAGGTCGGGAAAACAGGCCCTCGCTTAATAAATTTGAGGCTATTCACGTCCAGACGCTGATCACTTCCATCTACCGTATCGCTATCAATCTCGGCGGCTTCAAAACCCCGCAAACGGGGGTTCCAGTTTCAGATCGACTATGCCCAACCTCTTCTAAGCCCTTAACCAAGGCCTCGGTGATTTTGCATTGTAAATTCGAAACGACTATGGCCTCGGATGTCATTTACTGTGGCCTCGAATGTTGAGGAGGCGGGTAGTAAGCTGAGGCTCAGGCGTCTAGTCATCGCCTGTTAGCTGGCAATCGTAGTCATCGCAGAGCCACAATTAACAGCCGTAAACGCGCTGTACCAGGAGACAACAAGGTGATTCCCAGTGACAATCAACCTCGCCACAAGGACATTGCCGAAAAGATAATCGCGGCAATGTCAATAAAGCTTATTCCTTGTCTTGGTCATGTGGATCGAAATCCAGACCGGACAATACCGAAAAAGCTAGATCAATCGAGAACGGTTGAACAATTCATCCTCCATGGTCAAAGCTGAGCTCGCCCCTTCATCTCCACGATAAGCGCTGCAAATGGCCTCGATCTCATCAGGAGAGTTTTGCTATGTTACGCGTGTGCATGAAGCATTTTGTTGCCTGGGCTACAGCAGGAGCACGAGCACGATGCAGCATAGGTACAGTAGGATCGTGAATGTACGGAGCATGTATGTACAGTAGGATCGTATCACAGTCACACGCACAGAAAAACAAAAAAGAGCTCCGGATTTACTCGCCTGTTTTTGAGGCCATCCAGTCCTGGACCTGGTCTTGTCTCGCCCTATTATATGGGGAGTGATGACTAAGGTTGAGGAGACATGCACAATTGATATATGATCAGTAGATATCGGGATTCGCCTTGATATTGTTGGCGGCTGTGAATATGCCACGCAGGATGGACAACTGGAATCCACTATACTACCTCGACAACTGTAAAATCAGGTGGCGGAAGAAACTGTTATGGAGAAGACGGAGAACGGAAAAGATGATTATTGGACTAAATACAATGCAAGATTATGCAGTACGATAGAGATTCAAAGCCACAGATAAATCAAGCCACATCGACAGCTACTCCAGGAACAATCATTCCCGTACTCGTCGGTCCCATATATCCCTTCCTAGCACTAACAAACCACCAAAGACTCACCAGAAACGTTAGTCCACCCCAGATAACGCAAGTATAATTCATACCCTCCGGTGTAGCTGGCAAACTATAAGGAAAACAATAAATGACACTCCAAATGATAAGATAAGCACAAGCAATGCCGTTGATGATAAAACCAGTGATTCCATGCATCTTGAAAGGCCCGTAGGTAATGTTCTTCCTTCCGCTGAGCAGGTTGGGAAGGATGCAGCATAGGAATGAGCAGCTGCAGAGTAAAATGAATGTTCCGACGAGTGCGTTGAAAGCTGTTGTGCTGCCGACTTGAATGGCGCCCAAGATAGTGACGAGGACAGCTGTTGCTAGCGTAGACCAGAGTGGCATGTCGAGAGATTCCTTAAGATGGCCAAAGACTGAAGGGAAAGGTGTAGCACCATCGCGAGCAAGAGCCCAAAGTGTTCGTCCGCAGGTGATGTAAAGTCCAACAACCGTCAAAGCAATACAAATCATAACCAACGACAACAATCCCGTAGCACCAGCCGCCGAACCCGTTGCCTGCCGATAGATCTCCGCGATAGGATACGCAGATTCGAACAGCGCGTCGTAATCGTTGATGGCGTACATGATAGCAATGAGATAACACAACCCAGTAACGAAACCAGTCGCTACTTGGAACAAGATAGCAATAGGCACATTCCGACTCGGGTTAGGAATCTCCTCCGCTAACTGCGTCGTAGCATGCACCGACCCAACAGAATAAGCTCCATTCAACATCCCCATCACAAAAACAAATCCATCAGGATATCCCATATCAGCCGTCCAATCCTTCCACACAAATGCAGAACTCGCATGCGGCGGACGACCTCCGTGGCCAGGCATCGCAGTAACTGTAACAACCGTGATAACAAAACCTGCAAGAATGATAAAAACGCCAAATTTGTTGAGGGCGGGCATAGCGCTGTTCCAAAGACAAACAGCCGCGCATGATAACCACGTCGTGATGATATACGTGACAAAAACATGCCAACTCTCCGCAACAAAACCATCGTGATTCAAAGCATACATTTGAACAAGCGTGTTGGCGAGAATACTAGACATACTAGCGCATCCAAGACACCAAGCAAGATAATTCCACCACCCCGCAAAGAACCCCAACACGCGTCCCCATTTCTTGCCCGGCGTGACAGAAGCCCAATGATACACACCAGCAGAAGATGGAATCGCGCTGGCGAGTTCTGCGACAGAGGCAGCGACGGTCCAGTAGAAGATTGAGACCACGATGAATTCGTATAACACGCCTGGTGGTCCACCGTTGAAGATTGCGACGAGGATGGAGCCGCCGATTGCGGGCCAGACGTTGCCGACGACAAGACCTACGCCTGCTAGGGAGAGGAGTGTGAAGTTTTGGGGTGGTGCTTCGACGTGGATATCGAGATCCCGAGAGGGTGTTTTGACAATGGCATCGTTGTCGTCATGGCCCTTGTGCATATCCATCTTTCGAGCGTCGTCCATGGTGTCGGCCTGTCAGGGAAAAGAAGGACGGTTGAAGTGCCAATTGAGGGACTTCAGACGTTCTTAAACGTCCCGAGCTCTCGGTTTCGACACTTTTGCCCCCGGACATTGTCGCATGTTCCTTCCAAAAGCGGTTTGGATCCCATCTCTAATCTACGTAGCGTCACATTTCCCCAGGATGTCTGTTATCTAACGCTACGGAGGATAAGGGTGGCGAGCTGTCGGCTGAACTATCCTAATAAGTCGATAGTTGGTATATGGCAAGGGACATGATAGCATTATGAGGTTCATTGAAGGGCTTATGGCTGGTCTAGATTGAGGATATACGAGTATGGCAATCAGTCAATTGTCTCCGGTAGTGAACGCGTCTGGTATCTGATTTTTTATCTGATAAGAACATCGGAAGTGGAGCTGAGTTCAGAGATTCTGGATCTGGGGCCAATCGTGCGGGGTAATTTCTGTTAGTCATCGCTGTTCTGATACTTTGAGTTCAGGGTAAGTGACGCGACAATGAACTCAAGAACTTGTCAAGGAACGCGTCCAATTAGGGTCGTTTATATCTGGAACATCGTTTTTGGTTTGTTATACTATCTCATTTACTGTCATAAAGAAAAGAGGAATTGTAAGAGTGGACTGTGGTAGGACGTTGTGCTTCTGTTTTATTTGTCATCGTTCTTTCATTGATTCCAAAAGTGTTACGAACACAGCTTCAGCTCTTCTACCCGAGTCGATGGCCATTCCAGAATGCCAACAGAAAAGCTAACACAAATGAACACATGTCGATTCACATAAACGGATATGGAAACATGTAACTATAGGATACCCGTCTCATTTACAGCGCAAACACTGTTCTTTGCTGTAATCCCAAGGTTTCAGTGATTGCCCTTATCTTATCGATACTTCTATCGATAGAGTATCTTATCTTGATAACGGTCATATCAGTTGGGAATCTTGTACAACAAAGCATCAGTCGATATAGATCTCAATCTATATCACAGTATGTCATGCATGTGTTGTGCATCTGCTGATTTGTCTACAGGATGAGCTGATGATCCCAATACTCAGTCCATCAGCAACAAAATCAACAACAACAAAAAGTGTGAAACCAGGCCAAATGTTACATACTATGTCGCATCGCCTATCCAACCTAGTAAGTATTGCCCATAGGCGCAGCATTCCAATCATTCTCAAATCGATGCCAACCACCATACTCAGGCTCACTCCCCATATACAAACTATGCACAACAAAATCATAGTGCCCATCAGAAGGTGTCTGCCCCCCACAAACATTTCCCCCCATAGCAACATTCAAAAGAATATTCATATCCCTCATCGGCCTCGTACCTTCCGGTATATCCCCCTTCATCACAGGTCTTCCATCAATATACCAAATCATTCTGCCCTGATTACCCTGCTGAAGCCACGCAAGGTCGTACCGCACAGGCCGATGCTGCATGTCGGGAATCTTGGTGCCAAGCACGCGATGCTTGTCCGGCTCATGGTGCTGTCCCCAGTGGAGACAGGAGTGATTCTCCATATCACCGTTCCACGTCTCCGCTATGTCGACTTCGCCGTCTGTGGGCCAGGAAAAGGGCTCCTGCGGGAGAAGCCAGAATGCAGGCCAGATGCCGCTTGCGCAGGGTGAGGTGAGGTAGGCGGTGAGCACGCCTTGGTCTCTAGACAAGGTCTGGCGACTTACGAGTCGAGCAGAGGTATACCGCTTTTCATTGTCAGATTCGCTGTTATTTGCGATAGCTCTTAGAACAAGTTTTCCATCAGGTGTACTTGAGACTCTGGTCAGTAAAATTCATGATATTGGGGGGAGGTGGGCTTACTGGAAGGCGTTTTGTTGATCGGCGGTGTAGTACTGTAGCTCCTGATTACCCCAGCCATCCGGGCCGTTACCGATCTTTGCGTCCCACTCAGCGGAAACGGGAGCATCGGGGCGGAATTGGGGCTGCCAGTAGACGTGGCCTTGTTCCTGAGGTTGAAGTGGATGAGGAGGTACAGGAGGCGGTGGAGGATATTGGTGAGGATCCTGCTGCTGCTGGTCTTGAGCTTTTGGCTCACCGACTAGGTTTTCGAATTCATTCTTGAGACGTTTAAGATGGTCTTTCCACGGCATGATGAAGATATTTGAGATAAATACTGGTTAGGGATTGAGGGGATGTGTTTAAACGAGTCTATATATCTTCAAGGGAGAAATATTCTAGAGTCTATTACTTGGCATGACGTCACGAGCTTGCGCGGTTTAGTGGCTTTGTGTTGCCAAGTCTCAACAGCATCACCAACAATAAATTATCACGAATGAAGCTATACAAACACAGCAAAAGGGAATAAATGATGGACAGTATGATGTTGTGGCAACATACTCAGTATTGCCTGACATTTTAGCGATCATCGAATCATAATGAATGTCAAACTTGGAACGCGATAAGAAACATTCGGGCCTTATCTATCGCGATGAAAAGAACGGTGAATCTAAAGGCCAAGACATTGCCTGATGTGCGATCAGATCGGATTACGATCCAGTTAAATTTCCTTGCTTCGGCAGACGCCGCTGGGAAGTATCAGATGGTTTTTGGCTATCGGAAAATTTTATTCAGGCGAGGGACTACGCGATACAAGTTGGAATGATTTACATGCCATTCAGCAAGAGTATCGTTGGATTGAGATGGTAATTTGGATGATAATTGAGGATTGAAACGCCATAAGATGCGAACAATTGGTATCAGAATAGAGCCGCGTTTCGTCTCGCTGTTGTGTCCATTGTTTCGTTTTTACGCGTCGCATCTCCAGTGGATGGCTTCAGTGGATAACCTCACTGAAACTCAGCACACGCGTTCGCTAAGACAGCAATGACCTGACATGTCGAATAAATATTGCGCGTAACACGGCTTCTTATCGGCAATCGAAATGAGACCCAGAATAGAAGTTTCAATTGTCGGGCCATGATGAGATTCTGGATTGGGAACATCTTGTGGTTTTTTGTGGACGATGTGCCGATTCTCAGCCTCCGGAAGATCCCGACCAGGGGTTCCGGCCAATTTTCACTCTCATGGCACCACCCAACGGCCTCGAAACGCCGTCCACCACGCCATGAAAACAGAGATTGACAATGCGAGATAGAGCAATGATATATAATATTCGAGGATATCTCTTGGTTTGGAAGGTATCTCTACAGTAATATTCACATCAATTGATCATTCAACATTGGTTTCTCTGCAATACCACATCATCCAATATGCAACCCATCCTAAGAGCTATGCCCGTCGAAAAGTGAGCCTCCCTTATCTTATCTGTTGTATCCATTCTAACAAATCAGGATTGTCCCTCTTCTCTTGACAGTCGGTAGCGCCACAGTTGTCGTAGGCGGTGTTCGCACGACGCTCAAGCCACAGACACGGTCTTTTGATAGAAGACTCACTTCATCATACAGCACAACACAAAGTGAAAAGGTAGCCCACCCTTATTCCTCATTATCTGAATAATAAATACTAATTTGTGTTGGTAGACTATGACAAATATGATCTATAGCACTTGGCTAGAAGACTAAACCATCAGAAGAAACGCGGGCGTTTTAGCGACATCACGAACAATACCTAATGCATATTCCACGACGACACATACATACAAGCGACACACATACAAGGGCTTAAAGACTTGCTGGCAAGATCAAAGCGAGACTATAGCCTATTACGATTCAAGACTAGACAAAGATAAACAGCGAATGATAGAATTTAGGGATGTTTCCCGCTTGAAACAATTCGCCTACTTGCGACAACATTCCGCGATTCGTTAATGACATTGTGATGCGGAATTGACAGCTGTGACTCACATTTAATTACATCGACCATTGTTTAAACTGCTTGAGGCAATTGCCGACTCTCAGCCGCAGCGGAATTGAAGCGCGACGGCCAGCTGCCGAGAGTAGCGCGTTTCAGCAAGCGTTTAATTTAACCATTATCTTGGCAACCTCTCATCGTTCCCATGAATACCGTAGCCGTTGTGATATTCGATGAAGTTTCTGTGATGACCAAAGAGATCATGACAAGTCATACTCCTGTGCTAACTTTATTCCAACCATACAAACTGACACTCTCCACCTTCGACAGTTGAGGTCGTTGATCCCCAAATCTGACGCCCTACCCCAAATTGGTGGCGCTTCAGTTTGCCTTGTCAGAACAGCTGAGCCCAAGTACCGAATTAGATACCATTTCCCCTGCCGCAGGGCTGAAAAGCCGTTCCGCATGATGTGGGTGTGATTGGATGTTCCGCGCCTCTGTAATTTCGTGGGATGCATTGGGGATGGACAGTGTTGATCAGGACGCTAGTATCAGGCAGTTGAGCTGAGTTGAATATGCGGAACGTGATGACCTTGAGCTGATAGCTTGCCTTGGGAGGATAAAAGAGTCGGGTTCTCGTGTTATTTCACTTGTTGTCCCAGCCAAGTTCCCATCCTCACCTTCAAAACACCAAACCTTCCAAATTAACTTTATACACAAACTCAAGCTCACACCATCCCATCATCCTCTCTACACAACACAGACTCAATGGCCGCCCAGACGCCAAACAACGGTCCCATCGACCACAATGACTTGAACGAGTGGAAAGACCGTTTCAACGATGTCCTCACCCGTCCCAAGGAGCACGTTAACTCCAAATCCCCCACGACATCTCAATCTTGGCAAAACAGCCTCTTTGCTTGTTTCAGCCCTATTGATCTCTGTGCTATAACATGCTGTGTTCCTTGCGTGACTTTTGGAAAGACGCATCATCGGCTGCGAAAGGGCGGGAATCTTGAGGGTTATGAACCTATCAATACTTCTGTACGTTCTCTCTATCCCCAAACCGGGGAGATATCAGTTGCTAACGTGTTTGCAGTGTCTCTTGTTCTGCGGCTCCACTTGCTTTGGTCTTCACTGGATTCCCATCGCTCTTCAACGCGCTGATCTGAGGGAGAAGTACAATCTTCAGGGAAGTTGTCTTGTTGATCTTGCTACGGCTTGTTGTTGTGGGTGCTGTGATTTGATTCAGCAGGACAAGGAAGCTGAGTATCGGGAGGCTCAGGGTGCTGGTTCTACGGAGGGTTATAAGGCTAATGAGGGAATGACTGTGCCTGCCTAAGACTGTCACATGAATGGGAGCGAGGCGGCTTTGAAGTAATTAGTAGTTGGCTGTCTCTTGTACTATGGATGATACCCTGCGATGGATTAATGGATTGTCTGTAACAGATGGCATTGATAGCAATACCCTTCACCACGTGATATTTGTGCACAGAGTCTTGCCCGCGAAAAATATCTCATCGTCTCAATATCACTTTTAGGCATCGATCACACCGTCGAGAAGCTTCTGGTCACAAAGAAGATCGGATTGCGCCCTAAGATTGCAAAGTGCCCAAGAGATTTCTAGTCGCAAACTAAGTTCAGTCATGGAGAAAAAGGTAGTCGCAAAGTAAGTTTCGGTCGCAAAGAAAATTTGTAGATCGCCTGACATGAAACACTTTCCCGCGTTAATAAAAGTCAATTCATGGCTGGCTGTTGCTTCACGGGGCTGAACGTTATTGTAGACGATGACTCTTTATCTCATGATTGGGTGCGGATCTGCCCGCAAACGTACCCCGTAAAACGTGACGATTCCCCACAGAAAATTTGGCATCTTCATTCCCCCCTTTACAGCCGCACTAACCTCTTTTTGTCACCGCATTCAACTTTCTTCAACGACATACCGACAGGTACCAGATAGAGTAGGTATGGAATCTAATGGAGACCAGATGCAGGATGCTCTGCAGTATCTAATAAATCCTATGGATGCGGCGCAAATATCAGATGGAATAGATGGGTCAAGCCACGGTACGCCTTTCACACTCACCATCATGTATACACACTCACATAGTATAGACAATCGTCCTCCAATTCCTGGTACAAGCAGTGAGATATACACATTCATCGACGAAGAAATCGTTCCATCAACACCACCAAAATTACACCCATATCTCCTCGTCAACATCGGCTCAGGCGTGTCATTCTTCCAAGTAACTGAAACCGAAACAAAACGCATCTCCGGCTCTTCCTTCGGCGGCTCAGCACTCTGCGGTCTTTTAACTCTGCTCACCAGGGCACGAACCTACGAGGATATGCTTTCCCAGGCAGAGAAAGGAAACAATGCAAATGTGGATAAACTCATCGGCGACATTTACGGCATGGACTACAATAGAATCGGAATGAAAATGACCGCAGTCGCATCTACCTTTTGCAAAGCTTTTAGCCTAGAGCACCGAGCTGCGCCCGAGGGTGAGAATGGTGCCGATTCGAAAACCTTTTCTGATGCGGATATTTGTCACTCGCTCGTATTCGCCGTGTTCAATAATATTGGACAGCTTGCTACGCTGCATTCTCGAATCCATGGAAATCCGGATATTTACTTCACGGGACCGTACGTGCAGAATTGTCAGTTGCTGGTCAGGACGCTTTGTATTGCTGTGCGGTATTATTCTCAGGGGGAGAAGAAGGCTCATGTCGTGGTGGACGGGAACACGGTGTGAAGTTTGAAAAATTCTGCTTCATCACGAGGATGGAAAAGGGCAGAGATGAAAATTCTAAAGGAGCAAGAGGACTGCGCCATGGTGATAGATCAATGGCGTGTTATTGAGTTAAGGCAGGATAGAAGATCGAAGAATACCATTTCATCAAAAGGACAGAATAGGGGATGGTATCGGAAAGAATGAAAATTCTAAAGGAGTAAAGGTTTTCCCCTACAGTAATTGACCAATGCCGTGTTATAGAACTGTGTCACCAGTACAAAAAACCTGTATTAAACGTCCGAACAATGGCCGCAACGACGCCATCGGAGAGAAGGAATTCCTAAATGTTGAAAACCTTTTGAAACAAAAGAAAGAAGAGCATTGGGGACATCTACAGATTAACTTTGATGTTATTGTATATAAATCACCCCTTCCTCCCCTGGCCGTAGACTTTCTTTCATTCATTCATCCATCAGTCTTCGCAACGCAAGTTCTCATTCTTCTTCGTAGCAAGCCTATTCCCATTAAACAATTCATTAGACATTTATCTATTGTCTAAATCATCAAACATTTGTCTATACTATCAGACACTTGTCTTTACTCTTCTTCCTCTTCTTTTCTCTCCTCTTTGAGATAAACTTTATACCTACATCTCACTCACTTACACCTTCTTCCCGTCCCCTTTCTACAGACACTCTCTCCCTTCACCTTTGTAGACATATCCTCCTTCGATATGTCCTTCTATGGTACCTACGCCGGGGCGGACTTCAACCTCTTCGCCGAAGTACCTGACCTATCTGGCCCTGCTCCTGCTACTGCTCCTGCTGCTGCTCGTTCCCCTGCTGCTGCTCGTTCCCCTGCTCCTGCTCCTGCCCCTTCCCCTGCTCCCGCTCCCGAAATGGCGTCACCTGACAACGCGGCTTGGGCGAGGTTACTCGCTCCGCTCCAAGCATATCCCCAAGCCGTATTCCTGATGCCCGAGGGTCAGGGAGCATTTGACGCTGACGTCTTCCACGAGGGCCTCGAACCGCAGGTGCTCGGGGACTTCTTTGTGGCGGACCCTCAGCTACAACATGATGAGGTGCCCCCCGCTAACGGAGAACCGTCTCCCATCGAGGGAGACAATTTGGAAATGAATCAGGACATGGACATTAATGGCCTCGACAACGACTTTCTTCTCTTCGGTGATCCTATCGAGGGCCACCAGCCCTCTGACGACACAGCGTCCCCTGAGGAGAAAGCCTCCTGTGCCGACACAAGCTCCTCTCCCGACACGGAATCCCAGGCACAGGAGAGGCCCGCTCCCCAGACTGCCTCGGAGCTCACCGGCATGCGTCTTCCTTGCGTGCCCGTTCAATATGCAGAGAGGAACGACCCTGCCCCTTCCCCTGCCGGAGCAGCTGAGGCACTGGACACTCCTGTCCAGATGCCAGCGCCCGAAAATGTTGACGAGTCTCTTCCCGACGATGTGCCTGCCGAGAACCCTCTTCCTGCCGTCGCTCCTGTTCCTGTGGTCATGTCTCCTCCTCCCATGGCTCCCGAGGTTGACGAAGACCTCATTCTTGCTGCCTTGAACGACCCTGTTTACGTGTCTGATGTGCTGGCCGACGCAGATGCACATGTTGCCCAGTTGAACGCCAGGAACAACAATCCTGTTCCCGCGGCTGGCAATGTGCCCATCCCACAAAACAATATGTGGAATGGCCAGGGCATGCAGCCTCAAATGAACGGCATTTTTCGCCCTTCCCCTGCTGGCAATATCCCCACGCCACAGGACTACTTCACCGGGATGGCAGGACAAGCAGGCATGGAGCAGATGGCCCTGCGTGCCCAGATACAAGCTCCTTATGCTTCCGGGTTCAACCCTTCCCTTCCATCTAACATGCCTACCTTTGTCATGCACCCCCCCGCCCCGAACTTTGCCCAGCCTGGTGTTCAAGCCGGCACTCCCCTCAACTCTAACTGGGGTATGCAGAGCGGCCACCTTCCCGCCCAGAGCCATCACCAGCTGAACGGGCACATACGCCAGGCTGGGCAGCCTCTTATGCTGAGCGTTCCCCAGCAGTATCAAGCTCCCCAGTCCTTTGGACAAGCTGGACCTGCCCCTCTCGTCAACGGGACTTGGAATACAAACGCACAAGTTCCTGCGTTGAATGCCCCCCGCCAGATGGCTCCCGCCAACCAAATGGTGAATGGTATGGGGCAGCATCAATCCTTCCAGTCCCTTGGCCAAGGTGCTCCTGCTCCTGTCTTGAACGAAGCCAGGAACGCCTCAGCTCCCATAAACGGTATGTTTCAATTCCCCACAGTCGATTCTCCAGAGGTCTACCGGTCGTTCTGCCAAAGACCCAACAGCAAACCAGGCCATCAACTTCGCGCATATTGCATCGGATGCAAAGCCCCTATGAAGCAATTCGGCGTCCGATGCGACACTTGCAAATTGATGCATGGGCTAGCGCCCAACCTCGTGGGTCGCTCGTGCATCGCCTGCAAGAAAGAGCTTGAGCCTGGCACAAACAGAATCTTCTGCGACGAACATCACACGGGGAAGTACCAATACACCGATCGGGAGAAGGAGACCTTTCGGGCAGAGGGCATCTGCACCGAGTGCAGGAAGGTTGACGCAGAGAACGGCGTGACTTGCAAGAACTGCCGGGAGTCTAAGAACCAGGGGTACAAGAATCGAAAGGACGAGGCCAAAAGTCAGGGCATTTGCCAAGAGTGCAGAAAGCCAAATCCCAGTGGCTGGAACAAGTGCGATGATTGTCGGGAGAAGGACAATGCCAAGCGACGAAAGAGGCCCACTCCGGAGAAGGAAGATGGTATGAGAGGAAAGAGGCCCAGAAAGGCATAGGCATTGAGCAGAATGGTGATATCTCCTGTTCGACCTTGAACTTAGAGGTTCACAGTCGAGGAAGCTATTTCCAATCGAGCTCTGTGCGCTGTGCCTTTAGGCTGGAATATTATCTGTTGGACATAAACTGTCTAAATTATTGTTGCTTTAGGATGGGATATCCTAATTGATGGGCACAAATTGCCTAAATCATTATTGTTTTAGTTTAGCCGGAGTTATTGGGAATTGACAGCTAATCACACACACAATCTTTGCATGGCCACCCGTGACATGATCTTCCTTCCTTCACCCACCAGAGATGCCTCACATCATGACATTACCCTTTCCCAACTCTACTACAATGGGTCTTTCACGTGAGATGTGATCAGACAAGGTTTGTGCAGATATTATGACTTCTTTGCACACGCATAACCTTTTTTTATGCGCTGCCCTGTACATGAGGTTTGGTCAAAATGCCTTCCTTGCTTCGATCCGGCTCTTTTCCCTCTTCGTTCCACCCACATCACCACGTGAGATGAGAAAGATACCCGCAATGCGTACTTAATAAAACAACACTTTTGATCACACGAACGTGAGATGCGTTCGTCTTCCCGACAACAGAAGGTGATGGAAGATGCTGCCACGGAAGTATCCTGTTCACCGTCCAATGACGCGCCTTCCAAGCGACGAGTTTATCTTTGTTAAGTTCAGAAGGTGCACCTGTCCACTTCAAGGTTTCAGTAATGCAAACTCACACAGAACAGATAAATAGGACAAGATGGCTCCTTCCTCACGGGCGCACTCAACTTCTCTTCTACAAAACAGTCACCAAGATGAACTTCCCAACCTTCCCCGGACAAGACTTGACCAACAACAACATTGATCCCACGACGATCCCCGAATTGCGGTCTATCAACAGCTCTTCTATTAACAAGAGATCTATCAACAAGAATTCTACCAGCATGAAGTCCAAGAATAAGTCTACCAAGAAGAAGTCTACCAAGAAGAATTCTGCCAGCAGCTCTTCCAAAACAACTCACCCCCCTCCCAACAATGCAGCGCCCGAACAGCCGGCCCAAGGCCATTCCATTCCCAACCCAGACGAGCCTGACTTGATCGATTACACGACGCATGAATCACACAAGTCCTTTACTGAGTTGATGGCTGATGCTCCCGATTTCATGAATCTTACAGACAGGGTCATTGAAGAGTACAGGGATGTTGCTCCCACTTTCTTCGATCAAGCGGAGGCATATCAAGCGGAGATCGACAGAAACCCCCACCTGTACGGTCGTGACGATCCGGGTCTTGTGGAAGGGGCAGGAATTCAGGGGTTCCCCAACGGCCTCGAGCCGATTGCTGAGACCGTCGAAGACCAGCCATCAAACCAGCAGCAGCCGCCTCTCCTTCAGACGTTCGATCACCAACAGACAACACAGAGCAATGTATATAACCCTCCGAGTGGCAGCAGCAGCGGCGCGCAGCCTTCTAATTAGGAGAACGGAACTGCAGCCAACATTGATCCTCCCGCCGCTCCCGCTCCCGCACCTGCTATCGAAGCCGGACCTTCCCATCGTGCAGCCCAAGCACCCCGAATTTCCGAATTCTACTGCTTAGATTGTGGTACAGCGCTGGAACCAGGAAGAATAGCGCTGCGTTGCAGCGGACATCGTTTGCCACGAGGCAGATATTGCATCAAATGCGGTCAAGCACACGTCGAGGCGCCGCGTGTGGTCTGTGACCTTCATGGGAAGAAAATCTTCGAAGCCCCGCAAACGGAAGAACTGCGAAAGCAAGGCTTGTGTTATTCATGTATCTGGAACGAGAAAGAGCTTAAGGATTCGAGAAATCCTAAGGGCGCGCGATATTCCAGATGCTCTGTGTGTCGGGCCAGGATCAATGGAAATAAGATCCAAAGAAAACATGGGTGGCTCTAAGGGAGAAGAAGGCTTAGACTATAAGTACTGAGGTATCGACTAAGGAATGAAAGAATCATAATTATTTGTCTAAATTTGCATCAAATATCCTAAGTTCTTTCATCACTTAGGCTTAACCAAGGTGACGATTCAAAGTCATTCATTTTGACGGGGATAATTGTTCTGCGTCCATATCAATCGGGCGTCGGCATTTGACTAATCGGGTAGAAGCATTGCCTATTGTAGTCGTGCTTCGGGATGCCCGATGCCGAGTTTGTCATGATCTGACTCGGTGACAGCTACCAACAGCTTCAACATCCTGGCCAACACTGTGATTCGTCTGTCAATGGAGAAGCTGAGAATCAAGCCCTCAAGATTGAGCCATGCGAATGGCGACGGTGCAGTGAGAGTTGATTGCAAATGACCTAAGAGATAAAATAATGTGACCATTTTATGCGAGTTTAGACTGATCTTTAGACTAATTATCCCGCCATCCTAGATATTAGAGGAGAATGATTTTGCTACCATGATGCCATATCGCCACTGAATTGCATATATAAGTTGTACAGGCTGTCACCAGAGATTATCCCATTCCACCGACAAGCACTAACCAAGACAAAAATGGCCCACGTTCGTCGAACAATATACTTCCTTTCCCAAGTCTCGCTCTCACCTCCACTCCGCCTAACACGTCTAACAACTCCTCCATCCCAAGATTTCTACTCCCAATCCTCCCCCAACAGCGAAATAGCCCACAACCTCCTTGTCCAAGCACGAGTAACTTCTCCAAACTACATCCAACTGGAAGACCAAAAACTACACTTCCTCCGCTCCGAAAAACAAAAGGTCGCAGTGTGCGATACTTCAACTTGGACGTTTACCAAGCATGAAGTTGCGATTGCTTTCGATACGCTGATGGATCAGCCCGTTTTGCCTCCTGCGGGTGTGGCACAGGCTTTGTTGACGGCAGTGGATTTGAAGTCGTTGGGAGAGCTTTGGGCGCATTTGGGTGATGCGACGCTGGAGAAGAGGATGAAGAGTAAGCGGGTGAGTGTGGAGTTTGATGATGGTGGGATGCACTGGTTGGATAAAGCTGTGTCGCATGATAATGTGAACTACATCCACCTTCTCTGCCAGATGCAAGCCAGTCAGAAGATTATGGACAGAGCGTTTGGTATCGCCTTGTCCAAACCATCTCTACGGGCGATGAAACTGCTTCTCAGCTTCGGAGCCGTGGCTTCTGGGTTTGGAGACACGATCAATGATGAGATCAAGGAACAGAATTTTGAGTTGGTGGAACTGCTGCTATCGGCTCCTAATTCTATGGACGATCAAACATGGAAAGAATGCCTCGATGAAGAGTTCTCTAGAGCTGAGGCTGGAGGCTGTTTGTCGATATCGTTTCTTCTACTTCTTCTCTCCAACCGCCCAGGTCTGGCTTCTGACACGCTCTTGCTCGGCGCTCTTCGACTACACAACGTCCAAGCCACAGCAATCATCCTAGCATACGGAACCTCCAATGAGATGTTTCTCAGCATACGTCATCAGGCATGCGAGCTCGTATCACACTGTCAAGACGACTATGACCGATTTATGCTGTTCAAGCTCCTCTCCGATTCCGACCTCGTCGAAGACAGCTTGCCTCTCCGCCAGGAACTCGTCAAAGACACGAAAGCACGTCACATCCCACTCGTCAAACTTCTCGTGCAGGCGGGCGTTGAAGTAGTTGCAGCCCTAAATTGGGCTGTCTCTTATGTTGATATTGAGTTGATCGAGATTCTCGAATGCGGAAGTCGGTCTTCTTGATGGCGAGGTCTCGGAATGTCGGAATAATCACATTTAAGTTTTATTCTTGTAGCATCATAACTCGTTCTTTTATATTCTTCCCCGGCATAAGGTTTAGGCAACTACATAAAATGCCTTGCATGCTTTCTCCTAGTTATTCTCTTTTCCATCCACCACCATTAAACATATTTGTTCATAGCAATCACCTTTTAGTCGATGCTTTAGAGCAGGAGAACCTTAGTTCCCAGTTATTCTGCCACTCTTCAGTAGTATCTAGACTATGTAGTGGAAGAGGGTTTGGGCACACTGAGTTCTCCCAATGCTTTCGCAGGCCCGATGTTTATCCAATTATCAATCTCCCGTTGCGTCGCAACGGCGATAACTCCCACCATGCCAAGCGCGTTCGCGCCAGCTTCTTTGTTAACAGCTGCACGACGCCTCGGAAGAACGATCATCCATTGCTTGGTGACCAGCATATTGTGCGGGATCGCAGCTCCACGTGGAAGCTTCTTTGCGTTCTCAGAAAGCCCTGCTCCAACTTCTGTCGCTTTTCGCAAGAGGTCTTGATAGATACTCAGCAACCCCTCTGGTGACATGTCCAAGAAATTAAACCGATGGTAGAACCACTGAAAAGGTACATCAGGCTCATTCCCATCTTTATCATCCAGAAAGGCTGCGAAGCTATCCTTGGGCTTGGGTATCAACTGCATGTGCTTATGCAATCGACTACACCCTCCATCTTGACCACAGTTGTAAAACGCAACATACTCATTACTCTGACTGCTTAGAATACTGTGCAAGGCTTGCCAGTCTTCTCGATTGAGTGCCTGGTACTGTCTTTTGTGTCCGTCCTGAGTCAAGAGCATGAGATGCGGCCTCGCGTAACAAAACTTGTTGGCGGCGAGAAAGTGAGTGTCTCCGATGCGGCATATCTCATAGTCCGCAGTATCTATGTCGCTCCCATCCCGTTTCTCCGCGAATGCATTGACGTCGCGTTCGGGATGGGGGACATTTGTCTGGAAGGTTGGTTTCTTTGACAGAGCAGACGTGAGAAGGAATTGGAACTGGGCTTTTCTCAGTGTTAACATTCGAGCTACAGTTGGAGTTCATACCTTCAAGCCATCGTCAATATGTTCAATGATCTGCTGGTGGTCATCATAGAAGACCAGACCATTTTCAATCAGTGAATTGAACTTTTGCAGAACCGTCGACTCGGTCATCGTGTAGTCCGTTGCGTGGTGGGTGCGTTAGTAGTTAGAGGGGTTTAGGACGCGCTGGGCGGGGCGTCATGATGGCACGAAGACCCCGGTCTCAGGATTCCCTGATTTCAAGACACGGGTGAGACCGACTAGAGTAACGCCACTGCCGCTCAACTTGGTATTTTTATTGCGATCTTCATTTCCGACCTTCAAAAGGTTGGAATCGCGTCACTTCTCATCGCTGACACAAAGCTCACACGACGCGTTATTGTGAAACATTATATATTGTAGCAAGACATATTAACCCCCCGTACTTCAGCTATGACGTAGTTTTGAGGCGCTAGAATAAAGTACACCGAGTCCCAGTGCAAACTGACATAGAATATTTGTACTACTCAGTCTCTTAGGCTGGTCCTCAAATTCTGATTGAACAATGGTATACTTCTTTTTTCATGTCAATGTCTATCCTTCAGACGCGTCTATATACTTTAAATCTTGCTCGGGTTCGACTATATAAACGCGCCTCTTGCCCGAATACCTCCCATCATATTTCCCTCTTCACATCTACATCTTTCACAATCGAGTCTACTCAACTGCCCGAGCAATAAAGAGCACCTACTACCTTTTCATCCTAAACACAACCAATATGCAAAAGAAACATTGTTACTGCGCTATCTGCGGCGTACCATGCGGTCGAGTGATCGATGAGATCTCGGATGATGAATACTCCTATTGTCCTGACATTCTCAAACTTGATGACATCTACTGGATGTCCGATGTCAAGCTTTTGACTGTGAACCGGAAGACTGGAAGGTAAGCAAAATTCTTCCATATGATATGGATGTGGATGTTAACTGAATCAGGACCGCCACTTGCAATGAACCCGAGCACGAGGGAGGACGGAATTTTGGCCATTGGAGCGAATCACGCGTCCTGACGCACCCTGATAACTTTGGAAGAGGCGTTATTAAAGTGTACGTGTCGTTATGTCAGTCATTGGTCAAATCACTAACTGGAGTAGATATCGAATTACAAAGGATAGACCACCCGTCATTCCTCTGCATCTTTCTTGCCTAAAGCTTCTTCAAAAAGCATCAAAAGACAAAATCAAACTCAACCTTCTCCATGCAGCCCTCTCAAGGCGATGTGTAAAGATATATGGCATGGATCCCCTTGCTCTGAATTATGACTACGGTCAGGCCAAGAGATTTCAAACAGCCGGGAACTGGCGCGTGGAGAAATTCTCAGAGTCCATAGTCATGGATCCTATCGAGGTCGATGGGACCATAGTCAATGGGATGCTAGATGAGGCTACCAGAGATCCGTCTACTGAACCATCACCAGAAGACGAATATTGGAAGAGCAATCTATACGGTAATCATGGGTGGTTCACCATGTTCCTCCCCTCTGAAACACAGCTCAAGAAGCGTTCTATCAACTGGCGCACTCTGCACTTTCTTATTCAGGATCTTGGCAACGACAAAGGTCGACATGATTCTACCAGGACTCGCCTCCAGTTTCGCAACAGAGCGCGTGTTTGGCTGAGTCTGATGGAAAAAGAGCGACTGATCAGTTCCTCCACAGTCCAGAGCAAGATCAGTCAGTTTTTTGTTCGTCCTCACTAGGCCTGGTGGTTCATTGAAGGATCAATGGATTCGAAAATATTTATCTATCGCCCATTCAACCTTTTTCTTTTTATTCTATCAACCGTTCTCATTCTTATATAAGCCGACCTATGTTTGATTGAACAAAGAAAAAAGAAGAGGAGGAAACAAAGCATCGAATTCTGCGCTCCTTGTGTCGACATCAACAAACGGCTACGCCAGGACTTGAACCCAGAATCTTCTGATCCACTCTCAGACGCCCTTCCATTAGGCCACGCAACCTTGCATTCACGATAGCAAGCAGGGAAATGGTCCTAGTGAGCGACTATATACTCCGGTTACCGTTCTTGGATTAGTCCCAAAGGCAACCTGGTCTTTCACACCGGCATAAGGATTGAGGGACAACAGCATTCGTATAAAGTTCCTCTCAAGGGTCTGGTTAAGGCTTGAGACTTTCCAACTCCCGCTTGGTTGTCATTCCTTTTGTATTCAATCACTTGAGGGCATCACGCTTGGTGCTCTACGTAAAACCCATGTTTCGGTATTTATTTCAATTTGTATGATTTACTTTATTCACGTCATCTTTACTCTGAGGGTCCTTCTCAGTGTTGGCCATATCCTGCTTTCCTGTGTCCATTGATGTTTGGAATTTTCTCTTCTTATCTAAGCTCTGTATCTGTTTTGAATATTCTCATCAAGTCACAAACTAAGAAGCGGTCAATTTCGATAGCAGATGGCATGGATATCCTTCTAAGTGCTTCTGTTACGTGATAAATGTAGATTTATTTTCGCTGCAATTTTGTTGCCAGAATTGTCCTCCGCTATTATCCTTCTCGCCTTGCATCAGCCAAAGTGACCCGGGTGAAACAATCACGACATCGTCTCCACAGATTGCCAATCGATGGTGCAACCAGCAAATTCAATGCATTCACTAGATGGTCGAAATCTCATCATTATTCCCTGTACCTCCTCGGAGATTGATTGAACTTGGTTCGGGCAAGTGTCTTATATTAACCAGGATAGGCAGTTTTCACATTGCCATCTATCGCGATGTGCCACTCCGTGACCCAGGTTACTACGCAAGGCATATAAGGGGCCCTACCTAGCTTATTGGCCCCATTTATCGCGATACAACCTTTTCCAGGGTGCTGGGATGATCAAAAGTTGTTTAAATATTGTGTGGTGGCCCGGAATTGCATTGTTGTACATCTTGCCGTCGAATTCCTTCATCACTACACAGTGAACAGGCTGCATAATTCGACAATGTCGCCTCAATCACCTACCATCGTTCCTTCGTCTGGAAATTCCGAGCCGTACTCTGACAATGGCAGTATCAAAGCGAAAGACAAGGTAGATAACAATGGATCCACCAACGATTCTGTGCCTCCTACAGCGCCAGCATTGGCAGCACAGCAGGGTCAAAGAATGGAATCAGCAATGGGCGACGCAATTCTTCGATTTCTCTGAATCAGAAAACCACGAAAGGACGATGTCTACGACCTCGATGCGGTACGAAATTTACATATCCATGGTATACCAAAAGTCCTAACTCGAACTAGATCGCTACGCAGCCAAGTATTTGGGACTCGCCAGACCTCGAGCGATACAAAGAACTCTATATCCACCCGGAGTGGGAGAATTGGTCAGCTTTTGATCCCAACTTTCGCTGGACCTGGCGTGAAGAGAATAAAGTACGACGCAAAGTTGACTGGAAGATAATGGTAAGTAGCGTCTAACAACAGTCATGGAGTAAGACTAACGTTGGTAGATCTGGGTTTGTGTCATGTTTGCTGCCTTGAACATCGACAGGAACAACATTCAGAACGCTGTATCGGACAACATGCTTGATGATTTGGGTATCACGTAAGGTGACTATGTAAGTTGCTCTTTGCCACAAGCTCACCCCAATGGTACTGGGAGAAGTACTTATCTACTCCAGAACATCGGACAAACCATTTCTCGGGTCGGCTTTCTCGTGGCCGAGTTACCTTCCCAGCTGATCTCCAAACGGTAAGTCATAGAACTACCACGACTTGTTCCGCTGAGTTCACACGTTACCAGCATTGGCCCCGATATGTGGATCCCAATCCAGCTTTGCCTCTTCAGTTTCATTTCAGCTATGCAATTCTTCTTAAAGGGCCGTGCATCTTTTCTTGCTACCCGATATTTGATGTAAGTTTCTTCCAAGTCGTGGCGACTAGCCTTACTAACTTCACTTCTCAGTGCCACATTTCAAGGTGGTTTTATTCCGTAGGTCACATCTTTGCATGAAGCATCCTATCGTGTGTCTGACGAGTCACAGCGACACAATTCTCTACCTTAGTTACTGGTACACTGGCACAAGAGTATGTTGGCTCGGATGAGAGCTCACTCGAATTACCACTGACAATCTTAGCTTCCAATCCGACTAGCCTGGTTCTGGAGGTCATCTCAACTTGGTATGTGATCAGGCTATTGTTGAAAACGGATACTAACAAGAATGATAGTGGACATAGCTGTTGGTTTTGCAGCTGTCGGTCTGGTATCTATGCGAGGATTGCTTGGATATGAAGGCTGGAGATGGCTCTTCCTCATTGAGGGCGCCTTCACGTGTGAGCACTCGATTTACCTTTGAGCCGACTTTCTCTAACATCACCATAGTTCTGATCGGAATCGCATCCTTCTTTCTGATGCCTCAGTCACCTGCCAGGACTGAGAGTTTTTGGTGTCCCAAGGGTTACTTCAACAAAAAGGAACAAAAAATCATTGTCAACTCCGGTAAGCCGATTAATCGCCACGGGTAGCGTCCCCTTTCTAATCCGCTCCAGTTATTCGAGATGACCCTCAGAAGGGAGGCATGAATAACAGACAAGGTCTATCTATCCGACAAATCTGGGAATGCACCAAAGACTACGACATGTGGCCTCTGTATGCTCTCGGCTTGCTTTTTGGGCTGCCCAAGTACCCTGTCAACCAATACCTTACCCTATCCTTCCGTGGTCTCGGCTTCAATGTCATCGAGTCCAACTTGTTATCGATTCCGTACATCATTGGATCCTGTATTACAATGCTGGCCATCACAGCCTTCAGTGAGCTTATTAACAACCGAAGCTTTGTGTCTATGGCGGAGGATGCATGGTTACTTCCGTGCTTTGTGGCACTAATCGCCCTTCCAGATCCGATTGGCCCTTGGGCTTACTTTGCAATCTCGACTGTTCTGCTGTCATTCCCTTAGTAAGTTACTTTACAGCGGAAGGCTGACTATTCTAACAATACTTAGTACTCACCCGATTCAAGTCGCTTGGACCAGTCGGAATGCTGGGTCAGTACAAAACAGGACAGTATCTGCATCGTAAGACGACCCTTCATTATCCATGACCGCTGCTAACGACCTCTAGTCTTTACAACATGTGGGTTCAAGTCAGTGGAATGATTGGGGCCAATAGTAAGATTTCAAGTCTGCCTCGAGAGATTATTCACTGACAATTTATAGTTTACCAGCCTGATGATTCTCCACGATACTTTAAAGCAAACAAGGGCCTACTTGTTATTTGCATCTGGATGTGTGTAAGTATTACTATTATTTCATACCGCGCTTGAAGGAAGCTCACATTTTATTAGCTTATCCAATACCCAGGCACATTCTTCTATTACAGGTGGCGGAACAACCAAAAGGCCAAGAAATGGGATGCAATGACGCCAGATGAACAGCACCAGTACAGGACAACTACCTCTGATAAAGGCAATAAGCGGTATGGATCTGTTGTTTAGTATCATGACCAGTCAACTGACTTTTAAAACCAGGCTCGACTTTCGCTTCGCTACTTAAGTGCGGGTGTATTGCCTGAAAAATGATGGGCTTAAAATGAATGAGGGGGTTATAGCTCAAACACTAGCAGTTATATTCAAAAATGTCGTGACACGGACAGAATTGAATGAGTCTCTGCGCTAGCAAAGACTTTGTCAGTGTCTTCTTTCGCACAACACAGGTGATCACACTCTATGGCTATGGATCTTACTGGTTATCTAAACTTCCTGGTCAGTAAAAAAAGTGGGTTCAAAATATTGTTTGGGTAGCGTGTGTCTGTTCCTGGTCCAAGCTAGCTACTTGTTTAAATCAATCATCACTGTGCCATGCTGTCCCCCTCAACTCGAAGTATTTTCACGCCCTTCCATTGGGCCATACAACCTCGTATTCGCTATAACGAGCAGGTGGTTCAAGGGAGCATCTAGACTAGATCCTTCGGCTGCCGTTCTTGGGTTAGTCTCGAAGGCCCCTGGTAATGGACCAATGGCACAGAGCACACAGTCTGACCACCAGATCCTGCGGTCTCGATGGTAAGAGATAGGATCATAATGACGAATAACCTCGTTTTGATAGGCCGTTCAGATCTCTGCTTACTGTAAGCACGGCGTATTGCGCAGGTGAGGTATAAGATGACAGATATGTCTCTATCCTTAACACGCTCTTCTGGCCATTGGCATCTAAACTATACTTCCATAATGGCTTCAACTCAGGGCCAAGTTCGCATTGCCATGCGCGATGAGTATTACAATAATCACTGCGAGATCCAGCAAGCTGCTGTAGAAGCAGGACTTGGATTGATCCCCGACTTCTCAGGCCGTGAGTTAGACGTGTATTTACTTTGATCATGTTCAAGACAATACTGAGCCGTACTAGAAGACAAGCTCGTCGTGGTTGACTATGGATGTGCTCAAGGAGCCAACTCGTGAGTCCAAAGTCCAATCATAGACCCGTTCCGTAATAATAGTTTGCAAGCATCGAACCTATGAGAAGGGTCATGTCTAGTCTCCCTGAAAACGCCACTGTTTCTCTCATGTTCGAAGACACACCTTTCAACGATTTTGGAAGTTTGGCAAAGACAGTCTCAACCCACTTCGCCAGTACTAGTGAGAAGGTCTTCATCGCACCTAGCCTTGTCCCTATCGGCTTCTATCAACAAGTCGTCCCAGCAAAATCCGTCGACCTTGGCTTCACATGGTCATCCTTCAACTATCTCGAAAACACTCCAACCATCGCTCTCGACGCGACGGCCTCACCGACTGACTACGCCATCGCTCGCCATAAAGCCCTCGCAACAGCGGCTCATACTGATCTAATCAAGCTGCTCAAACTCAGGGCCAAAGAAATTCGCGAGGGTGGTTATCTTATCGCTGCTATCGGCGGCCAAAAGCCTGAAGGGGAAACCCGACCTTCGAACCCAGGCGGGCATATCCTGCAAGCTGTCACTATGCGGATGGTGGGCGAGGGCAAGCTCTCACTTCCTGAGCTGATGCAAATGGCCTTGTTCCCAAGCCACGAACGTACGCCCGACGAAGTCCGTGCTGCACTTGAAGACGAAGCCGTGGCACCACTATGGGAAGTCGAGGTTTTCGAATCCAAGTTAATCGTGCAGCCAGCTTGGGAGGGTTACAACAATGCAGCCGACTCCGAAAAAGAAGAGGCTTTCAGGAAGTATGCAACTGTGGTAATAGAAAACTTGGTGGCCGCGGCAGGATGGTTCTGGATAGATATACTGAAGAGATCAAGAGGTGAGGAGTGGAATGGTGCGGTCGCTTGGCTGAAGGAGTTCACTGATATGGGTGTTGAAGAGATGGTGACGAAGCATCCGGACTTTAAAGCTGAGATTTGGTGGAATTATATCAGGTTGATAAGAACTAGTAAGAGGGTCTAGATTGGTTTACGGTTGCTCTATAGGGAAGGGAATAGTTGTTATTAGAAGCCCATTGTGGCTGCACTTGGTGCCAGATCTCAATACACCTTCAAATGAATGAATATGGACTGAGGATTGATTGTTATTTACCATACCTGTGCTTGATACCAAATCATTCCTAGTCCATGGTGTCGACACCAGTGCTACACTGCGAATTCCAAGAACACCAAGGGACCACGAGCTTGGCCGCCATGATCCTTAAACTAGATCCGCTGAGTGTGATGTTGATGATTGGATATCCGAAGGCCACTCTCTGCTCCTCTTTGAATAAGAAAGCTTGCACCCTCCTCGTTAAAACTCTTTATGGCATAGTCCAGTGGCTTCTCACCTTCATTATTGCAATGGTTGATGTCCGCACCAAGACGAAGCCAAGCGTCCAACACGTCATCCTCGGCGTACATTGCGGCAAAATGTAAAGGCGTGTTGCCGTGACTATTACGGGCATTTATGTCCATCCCGTGCTTTTGAAAAATATTGAAACAGTCATCACGACCCAAGTGTCTCAGTTGGTCTCTCCGTCTAGCCAATTGATGCAGCATTGTCTCGCCCTTTGCGTTTGCCGTGTTTGGATTTGCCCCATTTTTAAGAAGGACTTGAAGTACCGGAACATAATTTTGAAGTATAGGAATGCAATGCAGGCATGTATTGCCTTCGTTGTCTTCAGCGTTAACTTTTGCCCCATGATGGCAGAGGAGGTCAATCTTTTCGACGTCCCCAAGCTTCACAGCTCTGAAAAGACAAGTTTCGCCGTCATTCCTTCGTGTATTGATATCCACGTCTTGTCTGATCAACCACTCGAAGTCTCCAAACTCAAAATGATTCGTAGCGTTCCAGAAGCACGTCTGGCCCATATCATCGCAGTGATTAATCCTAGCTCCATGGCGTATCAGAGTCATCATTACTGCCTTCGACCTGGCATAGTGTATGGGGCGCTTGCCAGTACTATCCGCAAATTCAGCATCCCCTCCTTTCTTCAGTATGACGTCCGCTACCGCCTCATGATCGCGGTCTAAGGCGAGTTCAGGTATTGATATCAAACCAGAGTGGCTGGGAGTCACCAAGTTTCGATTGAACATGATACAATTAGCATCGACACCCCGTTCCAGGAGCAACTCCACAATATCTGCATGACCATTCTCTACAGCCCGCAAAATGATTGAAGTGTCTCGAAACTCTTCTCCGAAATCCACCAGCCACTTGGCTGTGTCAAAACTGCCGCCTTTTACCGCGTGTATTAACAACGACCATTTGTTATCCGTTTCTGTGGAGTCACCACGTTGGACGAGTAGTTTGGCAATACCAAGATAACCATTCTGGCAAGCCCAAGCAAGGGGAGTGCGACGTTTACCACTAGAATGAATCCTGGACTTCATTCCTTCCATAACGTCTATTCCGTTATGAAGTGGAGAAGATAGCCCTAGAAGGGCTAAGACACTGTCCCTATGTCCTCGAGCCATGGCAGCTATGAGAGGGTACACATATCTCTCTCCATCACTGGCCAAATCTATGCGTGAGTCGGCTTTAAGCCGCGTCCGGATCAAAGACGAATATCCACCATCCGCGAGTATGTACAACAGTTCTGCTTCTGTAGTATACCTGCGAACTTTGTGTTTTTCAAACCCATTGAAAACAGCAATCCAAGTACGGATTCGGAACTCCCCCATAAACCTCTGTTGACAGTATCTAACAGCGGCACGGTTTGCATGATATAAAACGAACTGACAAGCATACCCCAGGAAGGCGTAGTTCTCGATACCCCCACGAAGCTCTTGAATAGTATCTTCAGAGTAAAACTCTGCGGGCTGATTCCCAGTAATCTTCCTTATGAAAATCACGTAGGATCTGAAATAAAAATTGCAGCAAAGGTTCAGCTTGTTGTGGCCAAAGCTTTCCCAGTCAGTTTTCAGCTCCGGCCATATCTCAGCAAGACCGTTATCCTTGACAAGAAAGTCACGAACGGACTCGTGAATGAACTGAACTATCGGTTGCTTCGATTTAGTAATCTCAGCAAGTCCTTTGGAAGAGCTTACGACACTTTTGTAAAAGCAGTCAGTAGCGTCACTTGTATGAACGCTTGGCATATCAGAATCCGCCAGTCCTTGTACTGATAGCCCGGACCAAAGAGCGTGGTAGTACTCTGCTGGTTTCAGAGGTCTTTTACTGAGAAGAATCCAAAGAAGGCATAGTTGAAGCTCTTCGGCGTTGGCCTTGTCTCTTCTAAGAATGTCTTTGAAGAGCTCGCTCAGGCCATTGGGCACTTGTTCGAGTCTATTGCGAAGGTTAAGTCGACCACGACGATTCTCATCATTCAGTACGTCAACGACCAGAACGACCCACAGGAAGACCCCAGATGCTTTCACTAACATCCTCTCTTGGAGTTGTGCAACAAGAGCCGGGTCCTTGATCCGAAGGTTGGACTTGATGTAACTCTCCAGGTCATTGGCATGGCCCTCTTGGTTCTCAACAGTGAGGCGCATACCCCGGTCAATATCGATGTAGGGGTAATGCCGGCTTGAGAAGCAGATTCGAAGGTTGACGTCATTCTCTGTGCATGTCTCTGCGACTTGTTCGAAGAAGCTGACTAGGTCCATGACTTGTTGTTCATCGCACTCGTCGAGGGCGTCGATAAAACATGTAAGTGACCTTTGATCAAGTTTCAAGACGGCACTGCGGAGTAAGTCCTTGAGACAGTTCAGCGACGGACAATTGTTTTGGTTTTCGGGAAGAATATCAGTGTCGTCCAAGACGCACTGCAGATCAGGAAAGCCTTTGAATAATTGCAGTAGTAGAGAGCGATACATGCCAGAGATAGTTCTCTCCAGGGTTTCACCGCGGGCGTTGAAGAAGAAGGATGCTGTTAAAACCTGGTTCTTCTTGTCCTTCTTCCTGGTCTGAAGGTAGATAAACTTCATGATGGTGGACTTGCCAGCTCCCGGTTTACCACGTATCCAGAGGAAGCCATGATGTTCCGATACCTTTGCAGGGTCTTTCCATGCCAAGTAGTCTTCATGTTTTAGGAACCAGTGGCACGTTTTTGAGTGAGCAGCCTTGATGGTTGTCTTTCGAGCATCTATTGCTTCGAAGTTCAAGGCCTCGAGTAACTGGCCATGGCGTTCCGTTGAACCCGATGGTCTTTGTTCCGCTGGCGCTGAGGTCAGAGGTCTGATACAGGAGGTCATATTAGAAGATAATCTACTCACCAGTGCTCAAGATGTGATCAGCCTCTCTATCTCGTGTATCCTGTCCTCTCACTTCCAGAAGCTCATACGCGTAAGCAGCTGCAGTTGCAGCGGCATATCGCTGCCAGCCTTTAGCCTTGTGAGAATCCGAATAATCACAGATGCCACGAATGGGCAAACAAGATTCGATATCCATCAATCCAGCAGCTTCCATCTCGAAACACAGAACATCAAGTTCACTAGCGATTTTGTCTCGGCAAGTGGCATCCTTCATCACCTGGTTGCTGGATGCGATGCCCCCGTAGTATACGACCGGGTCGGTAGAGCTTCGTGTCTTTCTGGCCTCTAGTCTATCTTGATCGCATTCGTCGCAAGAAAAGTCTGGACAAGGATGATTGTAGGATGATTCGAAAAGCCGATCCGGTTCCGTTGGCAATCCATACGCCACATGGCCCTCCATCTTGTTTTTCAGAATGGTCGGTACTCTGCTCCCTTCCAGCTCATGTCGCGAGCGCAGATTCGAGATGACAGTGAGGATAGAAGAACCAGGATGCTTGTAAACTCCAGTACGCTGCAGCTCCCCATTAATCGTCTTTCCTAGATCATATTGCATAACCCTCGTTCCGACGACAACATCTCCAAGTCGTATATCTGCCTTGGTAGGGACACCGCCGCCAATACCAACCATTAAACAAACGTCGATGTTTGGAAAAGTCCGTTTTAAATTGCTCATAACGATAGCCGCGTTGTTGGTACCATATGCTGAAGCAGGTAGACAGGCTATGACGACGTACTGTTTTTGAATAGTCCCTAGAACATAGGAGTTGCTATCTGTCTTTGGGGGGCTGTCGTGTTTTTCGTCGAGCATTGCGCGCGCTGCTGCCATCTCGATGTGAAGCGCGCACATCCAGGCTACGGTGTAGCAGTCATAAGAGGTGAGTCCAGAGCGAGGCCTTTTGTTATGGTGAGATAACGTGATTTCATTGTCCTCAAATGCGCGTCGCCGAGACATCTTGGTGCGCGTGTTTGAACTCGGGGGACTTGGGTTGAAAGAATGTTTGCTGGAGGACAAGAGTGAGATCAATTGGAGTTTCCAGCTTCGTCAGCGGAAAAAGAGAATCAGGCTGTGCCCCAGACCATTATGCCTGCAACTCTGCCTCACGAGGGCTGTTGGTCGCGTTCAACCAATCAAGGTTGGATATACCCATGCAAGCCAGCTTAGCCAAGACCAGGCCTGATAAGAAATCTCAGCCGTTAAAAGAATAGAAATCATTGTTCGGGCACGACATGCGAGAACTCATACCTGTACTGATGGGACTGAACGTAACCTCCACAGTAGGATCCCTACTAAGTGCACTGAAAATTAACGACATGCATAAAAGTAGTGAGGTGCTAATTGTACTGAAGGGTGTACTCACTCCGCTTGAAAGTCTGTTAGCGGTACTGAATGGAAGGATAAAAATGTACTTCTTTCTACGCTGTTTGAAACTTCAAACCGAGTAGTCGATCAAGGTGCACTTAGGAATTCGAGATCGTCAAGTCTTTACAGCTACACCAGTTACTGTAGATTACCTGTTGTAGCTATCATTTTAGCTGCTGTCGCTAACTGGCGATGTCGCTTATCTTTAGTCGCTATCATAGTCTTACAGGGGACTCTGCCATGTAACCATCAGTACCTATACTGCCCACAGTTTGATCGGTTCACATGGATTAACTGAAAACTAACAACATTCTAGAACTATAAATACTACAAGATTGAAATACTGTATGCTTGAAGATACAGGAAAAGATAAGTGTCTTTTTCAATAGATATGTAAACTAGAGTTTTTGCTTATACTTTTTGATAGCTAATTATATACGTGAATCTTCATCAAAATCGTATCGCCAACTATGATGATACCATGTGTCCAGGATCTATCACAGAACTAAAACGGGTGGACAACCTCATTTGTAATGAGATGATCTCGTCTTCGTCGACAGTATGGGTTCCACCCCCTCACTCATCGCACTTATAAGTCATGAAGGCAGCCCTAGATTGAAGTCAGTATCAAAGTCACAAATCAGGCAAAATGAAGGTGGCTTACTCAAACATCCAGAACCCATTGTTTCCATCAGATCCCGAGGTGCACCCGTTGATGCCAAGGTTGAGCAAATCTCGGCATCGTCCACCAGTAAGACCAGTACCAACTCCCGGAGTAGTGGTCTTGACCATAAAGGTGAAACTTCCCTTTCCAGAGGGCGCATTGACACATGTTTCTCTCTTCTCGTACCTATCGTAGACGCCGCCGCCGCCACCACGGTAGCACCATTCGTTTGCGGCAGCAAGGGCGTCAGCCTTGTCAGCACCCCAAGGGTGAACAATGCTGCTTCCGTAGCACCTCACAGTCTTGGGAGGAGTGTACCCGACGGTGTGGGTACAGACGTAGGCATCTGCCCACATGTATTCGCATTGGTCGCCGACAGTGGGGTTCCATTTCTTGAACTGCTCAAAGCTGATGCCGAATTCGTTGGTGATTGCAAGACACACTTCATTCTTTTGGACGAGGTAGAAGCGGTCGCAGTCCTTCACCATGCCGGGCTGGATGGGGAGGGGGGTTGTGATGCCATTGTCACCTGTTGTGGATTCAATGGCTGTGGCTTTGAGAAGGACCTTGCTTGGCTCCTTGGCTGTGGCGTCAGCTGGGGCGGCGAGGGAGAGGCCAGCGTTGGCGAGGAAGAGGGAGGTGATAATAGAGAACTTCATCTTGATGGTTGAAACGATAGACTGTATTGTTGTGGATGGTTGTGAGCTGATGAGAAGAGGCAATTGTTCATGGAGAATTGGGGGCCTTTTATATCCATCAAAACTGCATCAGGTCACCATCGTGAAGTCTTAGCCTTGCAAGGCAAATTAGGCCACCACTACTGTGCCTCTCCAAAAGTCCTCAGCCTAATTCTCTTCCTTCCAATAACGAAGATCACCGACGTCGCATGGCGTGTGGGTAGTCGGATGATAGTACCGGTGATTACCTAGTTGAGATGTTGCCGTGAAGGTTAACGGTTAGGCTATCCGGAGGAGAGTCATTTCAGTGAGCTGTTTCCTCTTTAGCGTGCGCTAAGATCTCACTCGCTTGTGCAAGGTCCACTGTTAGCCTCAGCCACCCGCTGTAGGGCTACAGGGCAAAATCAGGGACCTTTCGGGACATCGGAGACGCTATGAGTACCTAGGCTTTTGACCAGTGGTTTCGACATTTCAATCCATCGATGTATATCTAAACTAGACGATCCACGAATGAACATTTTTTTCTCTTGTCTGTGGCTCAGTATTTGTCTCCGACTGGAGAAGGCGGACAGCAAATTCTTCCAGTGCTCTCAGCCCCAGGCAAACGATCCACAGTCCCTGCACCTAAGGAAAATTACCACCTTGGCATGCGGCGTAGTCCACTCACAACGTGGCAGTCTGTCCAAAAGGTGCCGTCGCTTCCTTCAGTTCTTAGCCTATACGAAGTTTTCCGAGGAAAGTCACCCATGTTCTAGAGCGCACCGCTGGCTGGCCTCGCTCTAGACTATAATAACCTTTACTAAGTAGGTCAGCATTGCGAGGGATGTGACGATGATTCAGTGCCTGCTACGTAAGAGTAACGTTACGAGATAAATAATTGAGGCTGTGCTCTCAACGTAACAACGTGGGTTCAGTTGAGCACTAAATATCGTCGCTTCATATTCATTAAGGATTTAGAGCGATGACATTGGGGAAACTGTCTAGCTTGACAACATCTTACAAGTGATATCCTACTATCTCGGCAACCTCCTATCATCATTTTAACATCGAAAAGGCATCGAACGACCAAGAGCTTTATCGTAATTCCGACTAACCCCAAAAGTCAAACAGTCTAAAGCCACCTCTTCTATCGTAAAAGCCCCGAGTTCCTCATCAACTCCTTCGAGCTCTCGATCGAGAGCTCAAGCCCCCGCATCAGTGCACCGAACTGCTGATCTTGTTGCATCCTGTTCCTCGTAAGGTTCTGTTGCATGTACTGTCCTAAGCGTTAGCAAATATTCCTTTCATATAGAAAAGGTCAACATACTAGTTCTGGGTCGATCCATTTGCGTTCTATCTTCTGCTTATTCCTCACCTCAACATTGAGAAGCTGAACGGCCGCAACGACAAAGTCAACACCGCGTCTATTCCTCTTGTCTGAGGAAAGGAAGAACTTTAGTGCTGGGCCTGTTGGGTATGCGAATGGTAAGTCGAACTTTACAGAGTGGTCCGAATGAGTGGGTCTTCCCAAAAAGGGACTGAGGTACTCTTTCGTTGCATACTGCAGCCCTTCCAGGATCCCTTCTTTGTTCATCCACAGACGCACAGTCTCTAGGCGGGCGCCTTTAACTTCCCATTTGTATTTGATATAGTGGTTTCCATCATCGTCGTCACCGCAGTGACAACGGAATCGGTTCCCTTTATCACCATCCCACACGTGGACCTCGGTAGGGCTAAAGCTTGATGGTCTCGAACCGTCGGCGAAGTGATGTGTGATTGACACTATTGGGAGACCTGGGCGATATGTGCGGTGGCAGATGGTCGCTTCGACAGTCTGAATAGGTTTCGAACAGTCTAGCCAGGCGACTCTCGTTTGGTCAGGAGCTGTGATAGTGCCGTAGATTGGATCGATTTCTTTCATGGAAGGCTTGTGGGCGGGACCACTAGGACACCAACGATAATTATGAGAATCAACTTCTGTATCCTTTAGGGCATAGCCTAGTGAAATTAGTCCATCACGAGTGAGAACACCAAATGATAGCAAGGTCTCCTTCAGAGCGCCATAATTAGTCCAGGTACCATAAAATCCCATGACACATTGCCTCTTGACCTGGTCAACAAGCGCTTTCGCGTCCGGTCCATCCTTGCCGATAATGATCTGTCGTCCATGGGTAGTAGTGAGCCGCAAACCTTCAACCCGTTTAACGCCGGTGGCGTAGCATTGAACGATGACCTCACCCCTCTCAAGAGATAGATATTGCATCGCCTGCGAGGAATAGCCCATTGACCGATTGGCCGAATATCTCCTAGGATGGAACCAGACCTTGAAGAATTTAAGCTGAGGGTCAATGCCAATTTTATCCACGCTATGATTTTCAACAGTGTCGGAATCAAATAGAAGGGTTTCTGTTCTCATGTGGGGGTCTGGTTGGCAAGGATAGCAGGGCGATACTTGAAGGTTGCCCCGTGGTACTTCCTTTGCCCATAGGAAGTTTGCAACTTCAGGATCTGTAACGTTCGATTCTTGTCCTGGGCTCCTGACTTCGGGGTTGAGTCGGTGAGTGGATGCTTCGATGGGTGCCTTGTCAAGAGGCTGTTGCAGTAGCCAACGCTATGTAAAGGCCCTCCTGCACTCCAGACGCCAGAAAATCCCACGATGAATGAGTCACTGTGGTGAACGATCGCCTTCTTTTGGCCGCTCATGTCTCCCATCGCCACTGTCTTTGCCTTGAAGAAGTGAAACTCGATACCCACGACTCGACGGTGGCGTGGTCCATTTATGAAATCTAGCGACGCGCTGGTTGTGAAAGTCAGGCCACAAAGCCAATCATCCTTAGGAATTTCGAGTAGTTCAGTCGTGCGGAAGATCTCTGGTGAACCGATAACGATTTCCGTCTGTTCCGGTTCATATGCTATGCCTATACCGGCAAGCACCATTTCATCCGTCCAGAAGACCTTGATAGATGGCTGTGCATCGATAGCATTGTCAAGATTTTGCAGAAGTCCGATAGCTCCGGGTTTTGATGGCCTCTTCGGATCGAACCATGCTAGCTCAGACATGTAGCCAGGGAAGGCATCTGTAAGAACGTCATTCATGCTTGATTGTCCAGGAACGAATTCTGCTTTGGTTGGATCCAACATAGAGCTTTGTGCGTATACCTTCTTCCCATGCTTCTTCTCAGACGCAAGTTCAGCTGGAGTAGGCAGCAAACTAGTCGCCATCGCACAACCCTCCTCAAGAATCTTGCCACATAGAAGACCCACACGGTATCGATTCATGATTTTTTTCAGCATCTTTCACCTTCATATCGCCAAACTTGCCAGTAAAGTCCACCCTGTCGTAGAACCGGTACCAGTTAGGAACAGTCTTGGTGGAATTTTTAGGAAACCAGCCCGTGGCCCATGACAACTCAGCATCAGCGTAGAACTTGTTTCTCCATAATTCCGCATAGACCACGAGGTTTCCGTTTTCATCTTTCTGAAGCTTTGTTGGGACCGGGTGGCTCCTGAGTCAACGATCTCCAGCTTGCTGCATGTCCTGCATCATCCGTTTACACTCTTTTGGTGAGATGTCATGCGGATCACAAAAGGCAAAGTCATTGAATTCTCGGTTATTCAAACCATAAGGTCCTTCAATGCAGTCGGTAGAGAAATCGTGTTGTAGTTGAAGATCCTTGGGCATTTGCTGTTTGTGTTCGCGGTTCATGAAGTGTGCCTGCAGTGCTTCGTACAGAACACGATTCACAACATCATTGTGTAGATCTCGCTGCGCTAACTCGACGAATACCTCGTAGCAAGCTCGATGAAGCGGAAAAGACAAAACATTCGTGAGAAATGTATTGTCATATCTCAACAGGTTAGTTTTCGCTATATATCAGATTCTCTGGGTGTACCTACACTCTCACTTTTACATCAGGAAACAGTGTCTCGCAAGCATTCGGTTTAGCAGAAGTCTGATAGTAATGAAAGCCTGTATCCCAGTCCTCCTCGAAGCGTACAACGTCTAATTGGCCCTGTTTTCGGCAATCCAGTAAATGGTGAAGGACGTTTCAATAGCAAGGATGAGTCGGAATTGAGTGACTATGCTTCAGTTGCGTGGTTCAACTGCGGCAGGCCCCTCAAGTCGATAAGAGTTACATTCTGCCATACGAGCAACAAGGAGCGAATACCTATGACAAGCCTAGTGTCCAACTACTCAGACGGCACGAGCAAGTCTATAGGCCCGACAGAATTCAACCCACCTCTGGACCCTGCCTTTGGGGGCGAATGGTGTCCATGCCGGCTAAAGCTCGTCACTGTACCTGCTGTCATGATGAAGTCACCACACTACAAGCATTTTGACTGGGACTTGAACAGAGCGTATCTTACGGGCTTCAAAGTCTATACAGGAAAATATGGGGACATCGAGCGGTTGCGATTTCTTGCTTCTGACGGAAGCAAGACTGACACCCCGGGATATCGATCAGGCTATAAAGAAGAAAAAGATACAGTTGAGTTCAAGGACATCCGTGATGGATTCTCGCCTGCTTTGAAGGTTTGGTATGATCACGCCGGTGGAGTTTTCTTTGGGGCTCGGATTATTGCGGCGATACAGGTCATGGAGATTGAAAAGGGACGGAACGATGATCTGGTTGAGTCTTTTTCTGGGATGACAACTTGAAATCGTCCTCCTAGCAACTTGAAAATCTATAGAAATGATATATACATGGGTATTGTTTGAGAGGTAACCAGGTATATCTCACCACGTGTCTGTGTTTGCATAACGCGACTTGTGTCGAATATCATAAGTGACCTTGCCAAAGACCTGCCGTGAGGAGATATGGTGTAATCAACGACAGTGGCGTCTTGGGAGTAAACAACGCCACATTGCCAGGGAGCCATTTAACCCCCAAATGTGTTGATCAACAGAAGCAGTGCCTAATTTAGAGAGCTGAAAGAGTGCAGGAACAAGATGGCTGGAAATTAGTGGTTCGTGCGCCAATCAGTGTGACTCCCCTCGTGTTTATCTGCAGTCAGCGTCTAAAAATATAAAGTAGGCGACCAGTCACAGTCAAAGCGAAACGAGGCTCTGTGTTACGGCTTTAAACAAAATATTTGCATTCCCCCGCTTGGCAATCTTGTCACTTCTACTGCATCTTTGATCTCGTGTTCAGATGTCTTACGAGTCGCTTCCAGACACGCTCCGTGGCGACCACGCGGAGTCTCAACATACAGATCACAAGACCTCTATCGCAACAAATTGGCACAATGGACCCAGCACGCTTCGATTGGGTAGATTTGAAACTATAATATCATGGTCTTACGATATTGTTCTTACCCTGGCGCCCGCATGCTTCTTCGGTAAGTGCCAGACAACATTGTAGAGTGGTTCCTCGCTAATTCAACATGCCACCATAGGTCTGGCATTAGCCGCACTCCGTCTCGACCATCAGCCAATCTCCTTATACGGCGAAAGGGTTGTGAATCTGACTATTCTAAGCCCATCAGTCTACCCCATCGTCTTCGCAGCCGTCGCCAGTCGCTTCTTCAAGAATCTGGCACGTTGGCGTCTGGAGAAGCGCCAGGGTATCGAATTGGCTACCCTTGAACAAGTGTTTGGCAGCCAGAACCTTGCCGGTGCTGTTGAGCGGCTCCTTTTTGTTCGCGCTAAGATCCCCATCGGAATTGCTATTCTTTTAATCTGGTGTTTATCACCCATCGGCGGGCAAAGCGCTGCTAGGTTACTGCGAAAGGAGGGCCTAATACAAAATGGAACCGTATTTTACACGCACGCTGCTTCGCAGGATTTAAAAAGAGTAGCTTCGGAAGTCAGTCGATCGAGCGTTACTGCGCTCTACAGTACTAGTTTCCTGTCATCGTCGTCTATGAAGAAGAATCTTGTCGATTTCTGGGACTGGCCGCGGATTCCCCAATGGCCAGAGAACGCAGACCCGGATTCAACGCGCGCCATTCATTTGGATGATATTGCTAGGGGCAAGGAGTCTTATGCTTCCCTTCTTGGCATTCACATTCAGGGTTTGGACGAATTCAATGCAGAAGCTCAGTACCAGTTCAGCGTGGAGTCTTTATACCACGATATCTCATGCAACGAACCAGAGGTTGGGGTCTACTTGAACAACACGACAAACAAGATACCCGAATCCTGGAGCAACATGACTGAGTTATTTGAGCCGCCGGATGGCATTCCCACTTCCTTCGCCGCCCTCATCTCCAGTCCGAACCTAACAGACCTCTATCCGAACCCCGAAAGCAACCCAACACTGTTGGACGACTTGCCACCCTCCCACCTGCTATACGCACTTGTAGACATGTGGATCGAGTTCGAGAATGACACGAAGCCTCTGACGATTTTCAACTGCAGTATCCATCCCGTTGTTGTAGAAACAGACATCGTGTGTAATTCATCGGTCATCTCGACGAGCTGCTTGGCGACGCATCAGCGCAAAGCCAAAAAATACTACAATTCACAAGACAATCCTTACACGGCCCTTATGACCATCCTGTCCCAGAAAGATATGATACACCGACAATGGAGCGCCGCTGAGGGTATATACAACCGGCTTCTGACCCCTCAATATATAGCGAACACAGAGAGGTTTCGGTTTACATTCGATGACGGCTTTAACAAGAAGTTGTTCTCGACTCGCATGACAACAGCCTTCAATACTTTTGTAGACGCGACGGTTTACTATACGGATCACACCTACGCTTCCTTTCGGCTCCAGCCCGGCGAGGACACCCTGCCTGGGACAAATAGAGGCTCTGCAATGAACACCACTGAAGCAGTAGTCAAAAGCAAAGAAGAAGTTTATCGTGTCAACAAGACATGGTTGACGATCCTCATCATTATCACGGAGATTCTAGGTCTCTTGGGTATTCTGGGACTTATACTGCAATTGTTCATTCGGGGACCTGATATACTTGGCTTCGCTAGCTCTCTCACTCGTGAGAATGTATACATGGAATTACCACCTGGAGGATCGGCGCTGGATGGACCGGCAAGGGCTAGAGCGTTAGGAAGCTTGAGGGTGCATTTGGCGGATGTCAAGCCGAAAGATGAGAAGGGCTATATCGCGTTTACACCGGCTTATGCGTTCAAGCAAGATGATGAAGAAGAGGAGGGGTCATGGAAGGATTTAAGTTCTAAACGACATTATCAGTAAGGATGGCGAGGAGGGTCTTGACCGGCTAAGACCTACATCTGGAACTATAAAGGTTGCAACAGTAACATATTGTAAATATCCACAGAGGCGTACTCAACAAAATAACGCTTTTGATACCACAGCTGCTGTTTCTATAGATGTACAATAACTATCGCTTCTCGTATTTATCTTAAAATGTATTATTATATTCAAGAGATGTTCGTCTTACATAATTGCTATTGATATATTATGATTTCAAATTGGCTGTGAGTTATGATTCTCATAAATCTTCTCTCCGTCCGCGTTGAACATGGATGGTGATGTCGGCAGCCAAGAGATAAAGCCAGGCCAATTCTGGAAAAGTCTCTTCCGATACCCAAAAGATAGGTTGAGAGCTCGAAAGTGGTGCGGCGGCTAAGGTACGGTTATTGATAAGAACACTCAGGCTCCACTTCATTGCCGGGGTAGATGACCCGAGAGGTGCCGCCCAGGTTGACTTGAGAGGTGCTCCATTTTTAGACCTCACCTGAGAGGTGCAACCAGACATATGATTGGTTCAAACTACGTCATGTATGGAGCACCTCTCGGGTCAGCTTGGGCATCGTCTCTCAGGTCATGTACGAAGACTGAAGATACAAAGGCTGTTCATAGTGAAACACAATTACAAATTAAAGCTTCGTAGTAAGTATTCTTTTGTCAAAAACGCAAAGGACTGGTAAAAGAGACAAAGGTTTACCGTTTCTGCTGTTAAAGATCAACATGCTTGAGCAAGTGAACCTGTGAGAACACCACCAACAGCACCTGCAGTTTTGGGACCGCATCTAGAGGAATCGGTAAACTTAACCTCAATATAAGTTCTACGAAGCTGCAATACAATCGCCTTTATACTTGTCCAGGGATAACATCTACGTCACAAAGATGAATTTGTGTAATGTATGGCACAAATTTCACTCTCATCATTACCCTAGACGTATGCTCCATATTAGCAGCCCGTAAGCCAGTACCTAAACATATCCCAACAGGATAAAAGCCCCATCACAGTCACGTCTACAGAGTATCAGTTCAGCTATCAATCTCTTACCGATCTTCACCACCAAAACTCAAAATTATACTTTTCATCACCGATCAGATAAACCGATCTCGGCATTCCCATCGTCCATTTCCGACGGATGCTCCACTTAGTCGACGGTTAGATCCGCCGCCATTGGACATAATCTTATCAGATTTCCGAAGGTCCGCTTTGTCATGCCATGTCACAAGGTCAGAATCAGGTGTCACATTGCTATTTCAGGCACCCAGCACCTGCACATGACAGGGATTCCTGTAACAATGCGCGAAAAATGATACCCCTGTTACCTGATATTTGTTTTTCTGTTTCGTGATTTTTTCTTTTCTCTTTTGCATCTACAGTCCTCAGTTATTTTGAGGGATACTGAGACCATGGCTTCGCCTGAGACAGCGCCTCTTTTAGGCGGTCCCGGCCCAAGTACTCTCCCGACCGCCGAGACAACCACAACTGAAAATGTCCGCCCAGCAAACCCAAAACGTCTATCCGCAGGCGTAGCCCGCATGGCCCTGATATCCCGCTCCCTCACAAACACCCACCAAATCTGGCTCTTTTCAGGAATCTTCCTCGTCGGCTACGCCTACGGCCTCGAATCACAAACACGCCTCGCATACCAATCCTACGCAACATCCAGCTTCGACCTCCACTCATACCTCTCTACCATCAACGTCTTGCGAAATGTAATCGCGGTCGCTGTGCAGCCTAGCGCTGCGAAGATAGCGGATGTTTTTGGACGGTTTGAGGTTATTGCTATAAGTACTGTGCTGTATACGCTTGGTATCGCTATTGAGGCGACGGCGGGGAGTGTTGAGGTTTTTTGTACGGGGAGTATTATCTATCAGACGGGGTTTACTTGTGTTGTGCTGCTTTTGGAAGTTCTTATTGCCGACTTTTCATCGATGCGAGCGAGAGTGTTTTTCAGCTATTTACCCGCCATCCCATTCTTGATCAATACGTGGATTAGCGGAAACATCACTTCTGCAGTCCTGGAAAAGACGAGTTGGCGCTGGGGTTTGGGAATGTGGGTGATTATATATCCCCTCGCTTCACTGCCTCTCCTGTCATGTCTCTACTTCCTCGAGCGAAAGACCTGGATAGGTGGCAAAGAAAGTGAAGAAGTTGCTCTTCTATCTCTCAAGACGAAGAAAGGAAGAGCAGATCTTTTCCATCAACTCGATATTATCGGTCTTGTTCTTCTCGTCTCAGCATTCTCACTCATCCTTGCGCCTTTGACCGTTGCAGGCGGAACAGCAAGTCATTGGCAAAGCTGGTACATCATTCTACCTTTAGTGATGGGCGTTTGTTTGATGGGTGCATTCATCACATGGGAGCAGCGCGGCGCGAGACATCCGCTTATTCCATTCCACCTTCTTCGCGATAGAGGAGTATGGTCAGCTCTCGCTGTACGAAGTTTACTCAACCTGGCATGGTGCACACAAGGAAATTATCTCTACACGATCCTCATCGTCGCATTCGACTTTTCCATCGAGAACGCAACACGCATATTATCATTCTTCTCATTCTTCGGTGTTATCACCGGTGTTCTCGCCGGCCTTGTTATTTTCAAGATTCGACGACTGAAGTTTATCATTGTTGGCGGTACACTTCTTTTCATGGGCGCCTTTGGACTTTTGATAGCATATCCTGGCGGAGCATCGGTATCGTCAAAGGATGGTATTATCGCGGCGCAGATTCTGCTTGGTGTGGCTGGTGGTTTCTTTGCTTATCCGACACAAGCTTCCATCCAAGCTTCTGCGTCACGAGAACACGTTGCGATCCTAACAGGTCTATACTTATCCTTCTACAACGTGGGAAGCGCGTTTGGAACATGTCTCTCCGGAGCCATCTGGACACAAACTCTCTACAAATCCCTCAAGCGAAACTTGGCCTTCCAACCGGATGAAGGTCTTGCCAAGGCGATTTACAACAATCCTTTCTCCATCATCCCTGATTATCCCGTCGGAACAGAAATTCGAGATGCGATTATCAACAGTTATAGTTCTGTGCAGCGATTGCTTTGCATTGCGGGTATTTGCGTCTGTATACCCATGATTATATTTGCATTGGCTTTGAGAAATCCGAGATTGTCAGAGCAACAGATTCAAGATGAGGATGAAAGCGAGGACTGAAGCATTTTAGAATTATAGATCATTTAGATGCATATAGACAAATTGATATAACGCCAGCATTTACTCTTTAAGCACCTTGTTCCCACCGTTTCTGCAACCGTCCAAGCATCATCTTCACATACTCCACATCCGTGACATCAGGCACATTCCTCAAAGTGGCACTATCCTCCCTCGAAATCTCCGTCAAGTAATCCAAGGGTCCAGTCTCAGCTTTTGTAGAAGCTTTGTTACCGTACTTGCTCTCAAACCAGTCTAACAGCTTGATAGGAGGATTCTTGGCAGGGTCACGATCAGAGGAGCGCAGACGGTCCATCCATTCGCTTGTTGGGAGGGTTTCGAATTTGAAGCCTGCTGCTTTCATGGCGGGAAGCATCTGCTTACCCCAGTGGAAGCGTTGGGGATGGAGGATGTGGTAGACTAGACTGTAATCTGGACGGGATGTGGTGGATAGGTCGAGGATTGTTGATGCTGCGAGATCAACTGGTAGCCAACTCATTTCCTAGTCATCATTAGCATGTTTCGCCAAATCGAACGCGTCTGGGACTTACCTCGTTCAACGCTGGAAGAGCACCAAGCGTAACAGCAGTCTGAATCATCAAAGGAATACCCTCAGTAGTATTCCACTCTCCAACCTTAGTGTCACCAACAAGCTGTCCCAACCTCAACACCCTCGCCCTAGCACCTGCCTTGCATGCATTACCGGTGATATGCTCAGCAACATATTTGGATCTAGCATACCCAGTATGCTGTGCATGCGCCGGACTCGGTACTAAGCTTTCCTTCACCTCTCCAGGTCTTGGTGTACCGCCAGCTGATGAGACGGACGAGCAGAAGAAGAACTTGGCAGGTTGAGGAGTCTTCACATCAAGACTTAGCTGAATAAGGTTGTGCACTGCTCTGATATGTTGATCCTCAAAGCTTTGAACTGAAATGTTGAAGTTTACGGCCCATGCGCTGTGGATGATGGTTGTGAGTTTGCTTTGGAGCTCGGTGATGTGGGATTCGCTGAGACCGAGGTCTGGACGGCTGAGATCGCAGGGTAAAGCAAGGACTTTGCCGCGTTGCGAGTCAGAGAGCGTGAGAGAGCGAGTTTGAAGGGACTTTTCGAGGCGGTCGCTGGCGGCGTGGTCGCTTGAGGCGCGGACGAGTGCCCAGACTGCGCCGACGTGGGGTCGGGCTGTTAGTTGGGCGAGGGTATGTGCGCCGAGTGCACCGGTTACACCAGTAAGTAGCTACTCCATTAGCGTCCATCACAACTCCCAGTAGAATGTCAAACTTACCACAAGCTCCTTCTCAGGCTGACCAACAGACCCAGGCACATGCGGTCTAAACGAAGAATACTTCTCAACAAGACCCTCCATAATCTTCAACTGATCCTCCCCCTCATCCCCAGCACCACTCCTCAATCTCTCCAGCTGTCGAGCCAGTAACTTGACATTACCAGTTTCGTACAGCACATTCTGTCCGAGAGAAGACTGATTGCCTCCGAGGTCAATTTCTCGCTTGATGAGACTCCACATTTGGATACATTGCAGACTGTCCACACCACCTGCGAAGAAATCTGCTTCTGAAGACTCAAGTTCGACACCGCATTTGGTCTTGAGCTGTTCCAGAAGCCAGTTCTCCAACTCTTGACCGGAAAGGTTGAGAGAACCTGCTGTTTCGTCGGTTCCTTCGTAGCGTTTGTACGCAGCGTCAATCTCCTTCTCGAATTGCTGATACGTAGGAACTCGAATAAACGTGCCCTTATCAGTCTTGGGATACACCACATCCGCGGAAACGACAAGAACCAACTCCTTCGGAATTCTTGAGAAACTCTCCGCTCGTGAGTTAGCGTCCTCAACAGAAGGCCAAATCGCTTCCAAAAACTCCTCGTCAGACATTTCGTTCACACGATCAGCCTTAACGATCAGAATTCCAGGATATGTCCTCCCGTCTCCGAAAACAATGGCTTCTTTAACGATTTCTTCTTGACGAATGCGTCCTTCAATGGGGAGAGGTAGGACCTTTTCGCCATTGATTAGTGTGAAGCGATCGTCTAGGCGACAGGCGAATTTCCATAAATCAGGACGTGTTGGATGACGGTGGAAAAGATCGCGCGTGCGGAATGAGCCTGGTGGATCGTCGGAGTTTGTGGTGCTTTTTGAAGGAAGGCCGTCTAGGGCTATGCATTCGAAGAGGCCCGGGGCTACTTCGTCGAAGGTGGTGTATGGTTGGGCGGGTGGGAGGATGCGGATGTAATTCCATGCCTTATCGCCTTCTGGACGTTGGGAAGTAGCTAATCTTCCAGTCTCAGTTCTATGATCGTCAATATCATCTCATTTAACGTGGGGAAAGTACTCACGCTCCATAGTTTCCGCAGAGGTTAACACCCCGTTCAACAAGTCTATCGCCCAAATCATCAGGACATCCACTGCCCGCGTACAATACCATCTTCATATCCACCAACATCTGAATCCCCTCCTCACTTTCAGCAAGAAGCTTAATAACATAAGGCACACAGTGAAAGATCTCAGGCCTGACAGCTCTAAGCTGCGCCATGACCGTTTCTCGCGTAAGTGGTAGGTTGTAATTCGTAAAGTAAATCTGCTTGCCGGAGTAAATCGATCTGAACACTTCGTAAAAACCATGGCTGTGGAAGAATGGCGATGTGAGAAAGCCGCGCATGTTCATGTGCACCGCAAATGCACCAATACAGCTTCCATTGGTAAGGTAAATGGGCTTTGGTAGACCGGTTGAGCCTGAGGAGTGGATTATGACTGCTACTTTGCGAGATTCTGCTTCGGGAGAATAGTCTCTTACAAAGCGCGGCGCATCATGCCTGAAGACATCGTCGGGTTGGAATAAAGGTAATATCTCCAGTTGGCGATTTTGTTGGACCTCTCCTAGTACGGGATGGAAAGTTGGTGTAGTGAGAATAATGTTGCAGTCTGCTAGACTCAAAAGTTGTGTAATAGCAGGACAAGCAAGACGCGTTGAGATGAGAAACGCCGAATAGCCGAGACGGTTTAAAGCGACAATTTGAACGATGACGTGAATTCCTGATTGCCCTAGCATACCGACAACAGGCGCTTTCTCGAGAGTAGGATCCTAACAACTCACTGTCAACTCACTTTCATCATAGTAAGATCAAGATACGTACCACAGACTTGAGTCCCAGACTCAAGAACCTCGCAACAGCCGCATCAGCATACCGATCAATATCAACAGCACTATGCTCCCTAAAATCATCCACACCCTTCTCCGGCGCTCCGAAAACAACTGCATCACCAAGTTCCACCGCACGCCGGCGGATCATCTCATCGAGCGTAAACAGCTTTGCCTGCGAAGGCTGCTGCGGCTCGGGTTTCGCCTCAGTGAGGGTATCATGTCTGATAGTCATATTTGCGGTATTCGTTACACTAGAGAGAACCATTGCTGTTGTTTGTTAATTGAGGAGATATATATCGCTGTGAAGGCGGATATCTAGGGGTCCACTTTACGATGATCGTGGGTTTTGGGGGACGGAAAAGTGAACCCCTGCAGTTTCGGAAAAGCGGTTGGGAGGCGGACACCAATTTTGGGTATGGTTTGGGGTCGGAAAAGTTACGTTGTTGTGGGGAGATACAGTGCCAAGGTATCCGGTTTGGGGTTTCCGTTGATATAGAATTGCCGTGATACCGATATTTGGTTAGATTGGCGGTTATCTTTCACTTTCCCCGCGACACTGCACGACATATAACGGAAGCGAGAGATCGGCAATAGCGCCAGGATGCCGAAACTTACATCTAGCCAATGGAGAGGAATAGATTGGCATCAATCAGTCTTATCCGATCATCAGCCACATGATAAACTGCAACTAAATGAAGAAAGTCAGGTTAGTGATAATCTCATCATGGCCCGGACGAAGCGGTTGGCTATCTCAGATATGAGATTGCTTCTCGGGTTCAAGCAGGATGCTGTACTTCTAAGAGAGTCGGGTTAGCGATAATCTCATCATCTCGCTGATGAACCTATTTCAGCATTTAGTAAAAATCTTATCATTAAGATGACGAAGCGGTTAATCAGGTCGACGATGAGATCATCACTAAGTTGTCTTTCTTAATCCAACTAACTACTGAAATGGTCGATCTATTCATCCCTTACATGATGCGATTACAACTAAATTTAAATTATATCCAATTTTGACTTGCAGCATTTAGTAGAAATCTCATCATGGAGATGACGAGTCGGTTCATCCGGTCGATGATGAGATTATCACTAACCTGGCTCTTGACCTGGGTATTGAAGTGGCCAATGGCTTCGTCATGTAGATGATGAGATTATCACTCGACTCTAAACCACATTACGCTGAGACATAACCTATCACTTTGGCCCTTTGGGCTCCTTTATTTTTCTAGATCATGGCCGTAGACAGCTCGATAGGTGATCGATGGACGAGATGTTTGAACCCTATGGTAGTACTCAGTATATCGTTTCTGGCTTGAGATTCTTCCCAAGCTCTATCATGGTCTATAAGTCTATGTTCCTCTTGGGGTCTATCATTCATAAGTCTGTCATAGGCCATTTCTTTCTCTGTATCCGTCATCTCTAAGGCTTCATTGACCTCCTGGCAACCCAAAACTGCGCATTATAAGCACTCGTCGTCAGCGCCAGATCATCAAACCCATAAGCAGCCTGCATCCCCCTGACATTCCTGCCCTCAATCGTCCTTTCACCCCATTTATCATCCGTCTCCAGAAACTCAAATCCCAACCCCTCACACACGATCAAAATCTCCTCCAAACTCAACTGCACAAAAGGACCAGTTCCATACAATAATGGACCGAGGTTAATCCAGTAACCACCCGGCTTAAGCACCTTTTTAATCGTGTCGAGGTAACTCATCAAATTGCGGGCTGTATCGATGAAGAAGTATGTTACGACTACGTCGAATTCGCCTGGTTGGGGGAAGACTGTTGTGAAGTCGCCTTCGATGAGGACGACGGATGTGCTGTTGAGAGGTGTGTCGGGGAAGGTGAGGGGACGGAGTTGGTTGGAGTGTGTTGAGTGGTGGGACCAAGAGTCGATGAAGGGGTGGAGGGAGTGGCTGCTTTTTGCGCGGTTGGTTTCGATATAGCGGTAGGCTATGTTCATGTACATTGACCATTCGTTGATGGTAACATCGAAGCCTAAGAAGTTAGCAAACCATCCTAAGAAATCTCCAATATCAGCTTACCTCCAAGGTCCGCAATATCATGTCCCAGCCTTCCCAATCCCGCCCCTGGGACAAGCACCTTAACAGGCTTATCACCACTCCTATCAGGGAACAGTTCCTTGAGTGTTGTGGTTAAACACTCAAACGTAGTCTTCCTCTCACTCTCACCAGTCTCAGTCCAATCCCGAACATAATGCTTCAAAGCCTGTGATACAGAGATCTTATCAGCCAGCCTTCCAGAAGCTTCAAGACTCTTGATATGCTTGTCGAGTTCATCTTGGCTGATGCCGTAGAATACCATGGCGTGTCGCACGATTTGTGTGCAGAGTTCTTGGTTCTTTTTGAGAAGGCTGTCTATACGGGTGAATTTCTTGGAGTATTGAATAGACTTTTCGAGGAGCTTAAAAGGTCAGTATTTGGTAGAATGAAGTAGGATGGGGAGATTTACTGATTTCTGAGCTTTGGATACGTGCTTATAAAGTCCTTCTAGCCGATCGAGCTCAGCTTTTTGACGCTCATAGTATCGAGAATATCCATACAATGCATCCAACAAGCGATGTCTAGAATGATGCACATTCCAATTTCCCCATCCTCTCGCCATGGATTTATCCAATTTCTTCTTGGCTTCGACATGGGTAGGTGTATTTGGTGCACCAAAAATTTGATCCAACGGTACGATGGCATCTTGCAATGAGCCTTGCTGTGAGTGGCGAGGAGTCAGTTGGGTGTTTCCGGGATACATGGTCCTTCGGATGACGATTGATGCTGTAACTAGAAGGAGTGAGAGACAAACCAGGTTGGGAATGGAGGCCAAGTCAGGATTTGAGGCGTCAACCTTGATGTTCTCTGCTGAGCATGGCGGTGTCAAGAGCCCTAGGAGGGCTATCAAGTGTAGTTTCATGGCTGCTGTGAATGTGCAGAGAATATCACCAACAGAAAAGAGGGCCAGATATCAAGGTATTTAACCGACGTCAATTGGCCAATCCACAATCTCAAGTAAAAAGAAAGCACCAACCATTCAGGACCTTCATTTGTTGTCGGATTAAAAGTTTCCTGATTTGTTTCTTGCGCCGATAAGTCAGCGATGCGATAGTGGGGCCGGGTCCAGTTTTTAAGGTGAGGACCTTGATGGGCATGCCAAGACTGCCAAGATTAAATATTGACTCCATGGATTGACTACAGGGACAGAAGCAAGACGAGAAGACTTTTTGGGGCAGCTGTCTCTGTTTATCGTGCCTTGTATGGAGTGGTTGGAGTGATTGAACTGGATGAGCTGGGGAGATGGGGAGAGGTGATGGACTCGGTTGACTTACACCAGAGAGGCATCAACACCAAGAGACGATAGAGCATCTTCACTCAGGAACAGAGTCAGCTAGCATTCAAGTTCATTCGCCCCTCTGTCACTGTCCCCGTAGTTAATCCCAATCCTTCACACCCCCACGCTGACCTACTTGCGTCCTTTGGTCGACCAACACTCCCTGTCTTGCATTTGCCCGAAGCTCTTAGTCCGCATCTGCCCATCACTCCCAGCCCTGGCAGTGGCAAGCATCCTTGGCACAAGCTACTGTACCTCGCCATACCTTGTCTAGCAGCGCGGCGCATTTGTTTATAAAAATTCCACTCCCTTGCGCTTTCGTTCCTGCATCTTCATCTTCACTTCACTCTCAATCGTCAATCCTCTTTGTAACGTAAACACTCTCTTTACAAACCATCAAGATGAAGACCAGCACTTTCGCCGTCGCCCTTCTGGGTCTTTTCCCCGCCGTCTTCGCCGAGACTCTCGCGCCTTCTCCCACTGAGTCTACCGGCTGTGAACCTCACGGTGATCACTGGCACTGCGAGGCTGCTCGTACCGCTGAGGAGTCTCACGCTGCTGGTGCGACTGAGTCGCTTGCTCCTTCGCCTACTGAGTCCACTGGCTGTGAGCCTCATGGCGACCACTGTATGTATACCCTTCTACAGTATTGAGTGTTTGCTAATTGATGTAGGGCACTGCGAGGGCGCAAAGTCTACGCTTGCTACCGAGGCTAAGGCTACCACCGAGGCCGAGCACGACCATGACCACGATGAGGATGACCACGATCACACTGGTACCGAGTCGCTTGCTCCCTCTCCTACTGAGTCCACCGGCTGTGAGCCTCATGGTGACCACTGGCACTGCGAAGCTGCCAAGACTGGTGCTGAGGCAAAGGCTACCGACGATGACCATGAGCACTCTCACGCTTCTGGCGCAACCGAGTCTCTCTCCCCTTCACCCACCGAGTCCGTCGGCTGTGAACCCCACGGCGACCACTGTAAGCATCCTCTTGTCCATCATCTCAATCACCCACTAACTCATCACAGGGCACTGCGACGGTCCCGCCACCGCTGCTGCTACTCCCACCGAGAGCGACGCTGCCGCTATCACCGACAGCGGTGTCGGCGCCCAGATCATTCCTTTCGCAGGAATGGTCGCTGCTGCTGTCCTGGCTCTGTAAGAGGAGTGCTTAAAATAGAGTGTCTGGGATGGTCTTTCGTGTCGACGCCTGGATTGCAGAGGAGGATAAAAAGACATGATAGATGTGTATATTCTTCTGAGGATAGATCATGATGATCATTAATTATGACTACTTTGACATACTCAATTGCGCTTTTGTTGTGTTGACGGTCTTGAACATGCTACTGTGACTTCGCTGGTGATTGAGTGATAGGCTGTAATTGACAGACTGTAATTGAGGTAACATAGACACTGTCATAGTATCACAAGACAAGTTACTCTAATAAACTCCGTTTTGGCAGATTGACAGCTGAGCCTCATCGTAACATCCCATCGTCGTCCAACGTCAATCGTCCGTAGTGTACCACCGACGGTCAAAACAACGTTTCACCCCACGCACGGCCAACTTATCCATAAACATAACCTTGTTTTCTAGTCCTGCATTAACTAACAAACTCTTATAGCCTAGCCAGTAGAATAAGCCCGAAATAAAGCGTTGGAAAATCTCTCATTCTGTGGGTAGGTTCTGCGTCCATCAAGGTTCTCACAACCGGTCATCACCAACTAGTGGAGAGATTCGCAAGGGTACCACTTCCTCGGAATGGGCTACGGTTTATCACCGTCGTAACCTTGTTTACAAGCTTACCTTGTTGCTCTCTTTTAGTGGCAGTTGGTGGTGGATTGGGGTATGGTATGGTGGGTTGGTTGGTGTAAGTGCGAATCCTCCGCTGAAGATCCATCCGTTCGTTGCCCGACTTGGTGGATAAAGACTTGTCTGTCTTGCCACTGGACGTATTGCAGCTGAAGAATCTTCACGAGTTCCTCTTCCGGTAGTATTCCCCGTAGACCAGTCGTCCAGTGTTGGGCTATCCAGGTAACCGGCCCCACGGTTCACAAGCCGGCCAAGCATCCGATCAAGTTTCACTGACAAACGAGGACCTTGATGTTCACTTGACATCTCGGCCGATTAACAATTTGCCCCCACGCAGATTTTCTTTTCCGATGGGCTGGCTTCGTGATGCAGACTACATAACCACCCTCACATCCCCTCCTTGCTTACTGTTCCCTACCGAAGATCTGTATGTCCACCATGGCCCGCGTCAAGACCTTCTTCCAAAGCCGCAAGGCAGCCATGCTCACTGGCGCTCTCTTGTTTGTAGTCGCTGTTTCTGCGACTGCACCGGGAGCAGCTGCTAAGAGGCAGGCGAGTAAGACGGAGACGGGCTTTGAGTCTTTGACTGGATGTCATATGCATGGTCCTACACAGTAAGCTACTCCCCTTCAACACCCTGCAACATCTACTGACGGTCGCAGGTTCTGCATGGCAGGTTCAGACGAGTACCAAATCGTCGCAGAAGCTTCAGCGACAGCTACTCAAGACCTCCCATCTTCGTACACAGATTGTCACAACCATGGCTCAGACACGTACTGCATGAACCCAAGCGGCGGAGAAGTCCAAGTCCTCGGCGAAAACGCCAGCGCTACTCAGACAGCTGCTAAGGAGACGGGCTCTGCGAAAGCAGACAAGATCACTGCTGTGTCGGATTGTCATATGCATGAGACGTCTCTATACTGCATAGGCCCCAGTTCTTCGGAGTACTACGTCCAAACTACCATTACAAACACGGAAGAGTATCCCGCTCAATTGACAGGCTGCCACAGCCATGGCGACGAGACGTAGGTACACTTGTCCTTGGTATCTTGTATTGAAGCTGATCATTTAGATACTGCATGTCCGACGACGGTGAAGCACCAATCCTAGCAGCCGAAGACGTTGAATCCGGCGCCGCTGATCCCCAAGAGGAACACTGCCATTTCCACGCAGGAGTAGAGTACGTCTCCGTCCCTCACCCTCTCTACCCACAATAATCTCACTTCAGCATCACTAACACTTCCCAGACACTGCGTAGGCGGCGGTCATTCCGAAGGTGGTGCACGATCCTGCACCCGAACAGACAGAGACTACAAGATCGGCATCCGAATCGGCATGCTCTTTGTAGTCCTTGTCGCTTCATCAGTTGGTGTCTACGGACCTATTCTACTCTCGAGGTTTACGCCTGTTAAGTCGAATCTGTTCCTTATCGTGTTGAAGCAATTTGGTACGGGTGTTATTATCTCTACTGCTTTTGTCCATGTAAGTCCCCTACCCCTCTCTCCTGTCTTTACTTCCATGGGAGGTTTGGGGAACAGTCACTGACTTTTGCAGCTCTTCACTCACGCGACAATGATGTTCGGCAACGAATGTCTCGGCGAATTACTTTACGAAGCTACGACTGCTGCTATTGTCATGGCGGGCTTGTTCATCTCCTTCCTGATCGAGTTCCTTGTTCATCGCGCGATGCGCTGGCAAGCTAGCAAGAAAGCCGAAACGGATTCTGTTACTCTGTCGCCTAAGGCTGTTGAGAAGGCTGAGATGGCGAATATTAGTATCATGGAGGCTGGTATCATCTTCCACTCTCTGCGTGAGTTCTTTTCCTTGACTGGTGTTTGAGTCAATTGACTAATGGTGACAGTTATCGGTATCACCCTCGTCGTGGCTGGAGACTCTTTCTTCATCACCCTCTCAATCGTAATCATCTTCCATCAACTCTTCGAAGGTATCGCCTTAGGAACACGTATCGCATCATTAGGCTACGGCGCCATGCCCCTCGCTCTGGGCCACTCGCACTCCCACTCCCCCACACCCTCGGTCGAACGAACAGGAACATCTACTGTCCCACTCTGGAAGAAGCTCGTCCTGGCCTCCGGCTTCGCCATCATCACACCCATCGGAATGGCCATCGGTATCGGTGTTCTGAATGTGTTCAACGGCAACGATCCTTCTACTCTCATCGCCATCGGTACCCTGGATGCCTTCTCGGCTGGTATTCTTGTCTGGGTCGGTTTGGTCGAGATGTGGGCTCAGGATTGGATGCTTGGTGGTGAACTTAGTGATGCCAATGCGCTGACTACTACGTTGGCTATGTTTGGATTGCTTTGTGGTATGGTTTTGATGAGTCTGCTTGGAAAGTGGGCTTAGACCATTGGAGAAGAAGAGAAGAAGAGGAAGAAAAGTTCGGTCATTTTTATGCGATGGTGGTGACATTACACAACTCCTCACTACCATCGCGGCTTTGATACCACTCATTAGATTAGACATAGAGTAGCATGCTACACCATTCGCTTCGGCACATATACTTAACATAGCTTTCCCATCGCGAGACGTTACGCGACACACTCAACTCATCTCAATTGATCCCCAGTGATAGCGCCAGCTCCAACCCAGCTCAGCTCGACTTCTGCCTAGCATTCTGAATCCTCTTACTCAAACTCCCAATGCTAAAGAAAATCCCAATCACACTCTCACTGACCCATCTAGGCAGACAACTCAAGATCCAAACCTTAGTCGCCATACCTCCCGCATAGAACCAATCCGGCGTACCTCCAATCAACCCACCCAGATACCCCTCACCCTTTAGCGCAGCAGTAACAAGCTTCCTGGCATAAGTCTCAGTCTGCATCGTAGCAGTACGCTGACTAAACGTCAATCGCTGCTGAAAGAAGTCCTCAACAGGCTTGTACAGTGAGTTCTGGGGAAGAGACCGGTGTGTGCGACTGGCGATGTTGGAGCGTACTGTTCCGGTGACGGCGTTCATGACACGCACGTTGAAGGGCTTGAGTTCCAGGCGGAGGGCGCGGGACCAGACGTTGATAGCGCCCTTGGAGGAGGAGTAGATGGCGCCGAAGATGTAAGGAACCAAAGTGGAAGTGCTGGAGATGTTGATGATGAGACCTCGCGCTTCAATCAGAAGAGGTGCGAAGATTTGGACCATGGACATGGGGCCGAAGACGTTAACTTCGTAGGTGGCGCGAACGTCGTCAAGGTCCATATCCAACGCGGGGATGGTATGAGTTCGGCCGCTGGGAATGTCAGTGAGGTTCAATTGATGAGAGGGAGACGTACGCGTTATTGACGAGAATGTCGAGACGTCCTCCGGTGAGGTCAGAAACTTTCTGCATGCACTCTTTGATGCTCTTGGGATCAGTGACTTCAAGAGGGAAGCAGCTCATGCCAGGACCTTCAAGGTCCTTGATCATGTCTGTGTTTCGCACGGTCGCAATGACATGGCAGCCTTCATTTCATTAGCTACCCATTCTTCAAATTCCCGATGATTGACTGATGGCTGACCTTGGCGATTGAACTCTTTGGCGAGAGAGTGTCCAATGCCTCCAGGTGAACATCTACACTCATTAGCATTTGTTCACTCAGTTTTTCTGCAATGGAGTTCTTACCCTGTAATCAGGACGTAAGTCTTTTTCTCAACCATGATCCTGACAGTCGACGTTCAAGTAAAATTCCTCGGTATGTTGGAGAATTGATGTGTTGAAACTGCAATTGAAGGTAATTGAAGTTCGTTCAATGAGGAGAACGTTTGTTACATGTGAAGGTCGAATGCGCTGTTCGGTGAAATCCGCGGGTCCCCGCTGACCGAGGCCCGCGGGGTGCACAGCCACAGTGAGCGGCAACAAGCCACATTTCGCTGAGCAGCTGTACAGAAGATGCTTCAGTCTGTTGGCTCTCAACAGATGGCGTGTCGCTATAATAAATACAAGACTCTGACTCTTTCCTTCTTTTAAATTGGCTATCATTTTCACTTTTTCTTTTTCGACGCGACATGAAGATCGTCTTTCACGACTGATCGCGATCACCAAGCAATGGCAAGAAGCCACTCAAATGAAGCCGATCAGTCCCATCCCCAAGCACACCCATTTCAATCGCGGTCGCCGCGGACGGAGGTATGAACCGGCACTTCAGCACCAGTATTAAGCTTCCATATGCCCTCAGACAAGCCGAATGGTCGTCCACTCAGCCTTAGCCGTAGCATCATGTCCATCTTCCATACCGGCTCTCTCATAATCTTCCCACCAATATGCAGAGTCGCGCAACTTCTGCTCAAACTTATCGCCATCGGCAGGGACGTTCTTCAAAATGGCGTTCATAATCGCCAGGCCCGCACAGTCCTGGCGATTGTGATCTGGTTTGTGATATCTTGTAAAACTCCCAACGCGCACGAATTCTCTCAAGCCATCACCAGCTCGTGGTCGCTCTTGAACTACCAGGCCCATGGTCTTCGGATCTTTCCATATACTGAGCGATATTAGAGGTATAATGAAGCACGTTGGCGTGAAACTGTCGCACGATTCTAAAGGTGCCGTGATTAAGGATCGAACATCACCATGAACTCGTGGGTATGGCAATGGGTACATGAAGCCATCTGTGTACAGGTAAAAATATTGTTGGTTACTGGTGGCTTCAACGCCGTTTGGGTGGTACTCAGGGCCGTCTAGCTCTGTGTGTTTAGCTGGAATAAGAAGACCAGATATATCCAATGATGCTGATTTGGGAAGACCGTAGATATCGCTTCCTAGGAGCTCAAAGTTGATGTTACGCAAACATGCCACGGGACCTCCTTCGTCAGATACATCATGGTGCCAAACGTCAAAAGGCTCGACCGTCCATCGTATAGGTCCTGGACAGGCAGCCCATGACCATGAAGGAACGATGTTATCAGGACAACGATTGAACGATCCCCTGTTAACCTTGACGTCGTCTTCAATCCAACGCTGGGGGAAAATCATGGGTTGCCAAAGGAGATCTTTGATCCAGTGAAACCTCCGTAAGCCAGCAACATACTCAGTGGTTGGGTCAACCTTTCGCTCGACTTTTCGATAAGAGTAAGAGCCATTTCCCTCGGGTAGCCCGTTTTCACTCGAAGTGAGCAGGAATCTTGCGATGCCGGATACAGCGAGTAATCTATCTCTCTCGAATGTCAAATCCAGTCTCATGAACTGAACCACAAGATCTTGCCAAGTCGAGCTCTCGCTCTCTCCGTTATCAACGAGCATCTTTCGCCTATAGTCACTTCCGTGTGGAAGAAGCCCATCAGGTTCAGTCTCAGAGGATATTCTGCCATCACACTCCCAATACAATTGATCGTTCCCCAAGTGCAGGATCCTTGGCGATAGAAGCTGCTCTTGGAGCACCCATCCCCGTCGGTTGAGTGGCGTCTGACCAATTGTCTCACGCAATTCCCTATGGTCGTGGACAAACAAGTGTCGATCTGGAGGTACCAGGCCGTTTAAATTGTCAGTATTCCATCGGAGAAGAGCACGAGTGTTCCGAGGTCGTAGAAACCCATGAGGTGATTCCCAACCTATGCTGAAAGTGCAAAAGGCGTTTGCGTAGACCTCGATCATGGTGGCAGCTTCGTGAAGGAAATCATCCGCGGAATCTTGGAAGATGCATAGCGAGTCAATCCAAACATATCTGATGTCTAGTTTGCGGCAGAGGACAAAGACATCTTGGTAGCTGCGTGGCACGACGTCATCAGACTGGCCCATCTGAAAGGCGAGATAGTTGTTTCTAAGGAGACGGGGTGTGTCAGCTACCCATCGATGCGACAGTGCAACGTATTTGGAAAAGCTCTGGTGGTTGTTTGTCTCGACAACGGACCAGAATTGAGAGCCGTAGGTGTGAACGTCGATCAGTCGCGTAGGTATTATCGGATCGCTAACAGCACGTCTTTTTGCGACACATCTGTCACCCCCCTCACACATGGAGAGCCAGCCCTTGACTGTATTCACTGTTGTTTTCGAGCCCATGTGCCCCTCCAGAGGAATTCCAGCCACTACTTCTACAGGAGGTCATCAGTCACCTCTCATCAGTGTCCTTGAGGAAAATCACCTTGGAACCGCTGCTTCGTCGTTCTCGCGTAGGAAAATACTATGTTATCAGCGTCTCTTATATCCGCAGAGCAATTCAGCTCTATCAAGCCGGTGTTGCCCGTCAAATCGAGACCGTGGTGAAACGAGAGCCAGAACCCTGAGCGATTTTCATCATGATAGGAAGTCGCAGGCGAGTCCCTAATGTGACGCCAAACAACCCAACAGACTGGGCAGAAACTGTCAAGGGACTTGCAGAATGAATCCCATGATGAATGTATGAGTCCAGGGAGTTGCGGCAAGGTTTCTGGGATGGAGCTTTTGTCATTTCGGGCTGAAAGCCAGTCACGAAACGCAGTGACGCTACTACTGCTGGGGAAGTATTGATATCCATATTGGTCTTCCCATGTCTCTTTGAGGGTTTCTTGTTCGCGATGCTGTTTTGGGCGAATGTGGTGTTGTTCGAGAATGTGAACCAGGTTATAACACGGATCGCAAAGTGCCATCCTTGACTGAACGATCCAAGAGGTGGTGAAGAAGAGCGTTGGAACGCGGAAATGCCGAGCAGCTCGAGTGATATTTCGCATCCGCCTGAATGTTGGCTGCGGCCATTCCCCACCTCAAGGCGCACAGCTGACTACAGCTTCTCGAGGCTGACAGGGGAAGATAGGCCAATCAGAATCAGATGTCATTGCGGCGAACGTCGCATCATTTGCGGTACCGATCATGGGCGAAGGCATGCGACGCGATGGAAGCGCAACTTCAAGTTTGTGTTCGCGTTGTTAGATTGACGTCGGTGGAAGTTGAAGCGGGTGGGAGAAGAGATGGTGGGGCAATTTCGAGGAGAATGAAGCAGATAAGGAGAGGGAAGGCGAGGCCGTAGGTGAAGACAAGGAAGTCGCAGGACGGGAGACAGGAAATTGAAGGGGGTATTGCGACGAGGAAACTTTGATGTCGTTGAATGGTATTGCAAACCTGATTCGGGATGCGTTCACGCTTCGGATGGACGTCAATAAAAATTGGAGATTAAAGGAAGATGCGGATGGGAGACAATGCGAAGGGGAAGATAGAGAAGTGAAGGAGAAGATTCACCGACATCGTGTGGAAGAGAGGCCGATGCAAGAGATCAGGAAGGAAGGAGCTTAAGGCAGGAACTTGACGAGGAAGGAACCTGACAGAACAGCCACTGTACACATCAGCAACATCCCCTTCAATACGACAACTACAGAACGAATGAAACACAATTGTAAAGACTCAATATGTACGCTAAATGCCATCCGATATGTAAACGGCACACTATCCCAAACTCCAAGGCTAATACCTCATTCTATGTATCCCATTAATTACCTCAGCATCTCCCCGTTTGGCCGATACGGCGTCCCAGGCGCAGTCTGCGGCGAAACCATCGCCGAATCCCCCGCAGAAGAATGCAATCCATCTCTACTAAACCCATCCCTAGCATACGCATCAACAGGCGTAGACCCAGGCATCTCCACAGCAGCACTCGAAGTCCCATCCATCTCGAATATAGGCGCAGGCGCAGCAACAGCGTTGTCGGGGGGTAATTCGACAGGGCCGGCGTTGGGCTTGTATTGCGGTGTGTAGTAGCCTCCTGCATTGGGATCGGGTGTTTGCCAGCCGGAGGGTTTGGCTTCGCTGGGTGCGTATGGTGAGTTTTGTGTTTCGTAGTTGGGGAGCATTGGGTGGGATTCTTCGGCGTTCTTCTTGCGGCGGTGGAGCCAGAACCAGATGAATAGGCCTACGACTGCTGCGCCGCCTGCTGCTGCACCGACAGCCACACCGATCGTAGCGCCCGTTGTCAATCCCGTGCTTTCATCATCCGCAGCATCGGTTGTAGAAGCAGCAGCAGTATCACTACTCTGCGAAGCACTCTCGGTAGCACTAGCAGTAGCAGTACCACTAGCGGACGTCGTGCTCACACCATCATGCGCAGCCTGCTGGAATTCCTTTTTCGTAGTCTTCATAGGTGTTTGCGATTCCGAACACGATGTTTTCATCATATCGTACGTCCCATCAATATCATTAGGCGACTCCTTGCCAACACACGCTGCAGATCCAAGGATGAAGTCATTGTTGTAGTTTCCCAAGCCGCAGAGACAATAGTTCATTTCCTTCGAGTCGTTGCCGGTGCAGGAGGCGTCTGCGGCGTTTTTCTTGAGGCAGGCTTGGGCGCCCTTGGGGTAGAGGGAGAAGTCGTTTTCGAGAGCCAGTGTTGGCGTTAGAAGAAGAGCGAGGGTAAACCAGCGCGACGCCATGGCGGGCAGAGTAATTGGCTGGTAACGATCGTGTGTTGTTGTTGTTGATGGGAAAAGCTCAAAAATCCCTTGCTGACAGGTCGAACAAATTGGTGATATACCCGGTTTCAGCTCCAGCCACGGTAATCGCTAGATCTCGTAGCACCAGACCCAGTTAAAAAGTAACGCAATCAAACTCTAAAAGCGAATGACTTGTGTGAAAAAGCGAGTGTCGGATAATTAATTAGGTATATAGATGTTGTTTGAATCGATACTGAGTTGGAATAGGAGGGAAAAAAAGAGGAGAAGAAACAAAAAGAGGGAAAAAACAAGAAACACGGAAACTAGGCGGTACGTACAAACCCATCATGAAGTAATCGGAACACCACTCCCATGGATCTAATTTAATTGCGCTCGACGATCCTTTCGTCAGCACCAGTCCGGAACGAGTTTAAAACAGCCCCAGATGGTAAGATCGACCGCCCCATTAAAGCGCAGCACGGATTCATCTTAGACGTATCTGATTCGTTAAGAAAGTGCTAATAATAGGTGGACTGGTCGGATTGTGGCTTGTGATGCAGGGTAAGATGATGGGATTTATGGGAGTCATGGAATGGTAAGATGAAACCAGATGATGCTCCTGCAAGGCAGATTATCTTCAAGATCTTTTATTCCGAGATTGATGGGTTGGTAAGATGTTACAGCCCTATGGACACGGGAGGGGCTTGGCAGGGACGCTGATGCACATCATCTTTGACATATGCATGTTGGTTACATCTTGAACTCACTGATGATGCTGTCAGTCCGGAAGCAGCGATATTGCCGTACCACTCTTCGCCCTCCATAACAACTTTGCTGCACAGACGCAATGCTATTAAGGGTATCAATTCATTCATTATCATTCCCCAATTTTTAAAATAACATTTCCATCTCACATCATCATCAAGCGTTAAATCCGTGTCCACCTCCCTCACACTCATCCTCACCAATCCGTTCCTCCACCATCCTTCCTGTAATCCCCATCCTCCAAACCTACAACCATATCACAGCCGTCCAAAAACCTTTGCAAAGATCTCCCTAGCCTTCAGCAAATTCACCAAACAAATCCGCTCATTATCCAAATGCGCAGAATCACTACTCTGCCCACAAGGTAAATGCGCAGCCGGCGCACCAAATTCCTTCTCAAGGAATCGAATCGCGGGAATTGATCCGCCTTCGCGAATGTATAGTGGTTTGCGCGGTTTTCCCATCTTTGTCTTTACCGCTAGAGCATCTTCTTCGGATTTGGATTGGTCGGGTGTCTTATCGGGTGTTGCTTCGCCGGATGTCTCAAAGCAATCTTCCCACGTCTCCAAGATCGCCTTTTCAAGGGTCTGGAAAATCGCATTCGTAGGATCACCCAACCAAGGTTCTGCACGATTATCCACCGTGATAGTAAGTTGATTCTGCGACTCAAGCTGTTTGAATTCATTCTCAAGGAACTTTGTCAAAGCTTCAATCACAAGATCTACTTCCTGCCCCGGAACAACTCTCAAACTGATATGTGAGCTGGCGTGACTACTAACCAAACTCCCATCCGGTCCCGAAACTTTATACCGATGCAGCGTAAGATTCGGTTCGCGCCAGCGTGCCATGAGACTTTGCTTCAATCGATCCTCTGGTCCCTTCTCAGGATTACTCCGGATCAGAATCCGAGCGATATCATCGTAGCGCGCTTCTTCTTCTGGTGTAATAGGAAGAATACCGTCGTAAAAACCAGGGATTTGGACTTTATTGCCAGGACCTTTGAGTTTTCCCAGGATTTGGGTGAGGTCTGATAAAGGCTCGTTCATCATGTATGAACCGTCGACGCCGGAGTGGATATCTGGTCTGGGCGCGTCGACGCAGACTGTTGTGTGTAAAACACCGCGGAGACCATATGTCAAGCAAGGCACTTCGTCGTCGAGCCAGTAACTGTTGGCGAGGAGGATGTAGTCTACTTCGCCGATGAGATCCTTGTTTTTCTTGACGGCTTCTTCAAAACCCAATGATCCGAACTCTTCTTCGCCTTCGATTAGGAAGATGACTTCGTTTTCTAATTGTTGGTTCTCCATGAGATCGGTTACTGCGTATAGCGCTGCGATGATGGGACCCTTGTTGTCGCTGACTCCACGGCCGTACAAGTAGCCGTTGGTGCCCTGCATGGTAAATGGATCAGTCTCCCATTTACCCTTGCGACTATCGGCTGCGACGACATCGTAATGACCGTAGAAGAGAATGCGCTTTCGTGTCTCGGCAGCTTCTTTCTTAGCCGAGAACCTCGCGTAGACGACAGGATTGTGATGCTTCTCCGTACTAAGCAACTCAACATGTCCGCCCAGTCTCTTGAACAGCGCACCAAGGTACGTAGCGCCCTTGCGACAATCCTCCGCGAATTCCGGTCGTGAAGAAACGGTCTTGTATGATACGAAATCTCGCAGGGACGATAGCAAAAGGTTATCCGAAGCTTGCGAAACTTCCTTCTCTTTTGTGCCGCATTTATCGGTGTCGATGGACCACACAGAAATGTTATCGTCGTTCGCGCCCGTGATGAAGTATTGCTTGTTCCTGTAATTCGTCACAGCTGAGGCGAGGACCTTGCCCTGGTGAGCTTCCCATCGGAGAAGACACTGGTATTTCTGGGGAACGGCTCCGGAGGCGGCGTGTTGGTATTTGCCATAATGGGTTGTGCTGTATTTCTGCATCTCGTTAGCAAAATAGCATCATCTGCTAGGAGGAGTACTCACGCTGGCCCAACCATTAGTTGCCGCAGTCCACAAATACCCCCAACCCATTTGAATCGACATGATATCGCAGTCATGTGCCTTGATGACTCTCAATCGCTGCGCGGTATCAAGATCCCACAACTCAACGATACCATCAAGCTTGCCAGCGTACAAGAATGAGCTATCAAGTGCCATTGACAAGACTGACTCGCCATCGTCGGTGCCCAATGTCATGATTTCTTGTATACCGCCGCCAAGCTCTTCATCGTCCTCAACTGTATGTCCCAAGCTCCAAAGCTTGATCGTTCCATCGCCCGCACCGGAGATAAGGACATCGTCGTCGGTTCCAACATCGACGGTCGGACCTTTGGCCATGAGCATGCAGTATACATAACCATAATGCGCAAAGTTCCTGACACAACCAGAGTGCATCTCAAGAACATTATGTGCCTTGGGAATCAATCCCCATCGATCGTCGTTGCGTCGGGGTGTACTCGCGCCGCCGCCGACGGCCTTGGAATCGAAGAAGCGATGGTTTCGTCGGTCGGGATGTTGTTGTGATTCAGGCGACACTCTCGCAGTAACATCATTAAGCCCTACCCACTGAATAGTAGCATTCTGCGCACCAACATAAACCGTCTCATGCTGCGCACTATAAGCCGTACAAAAAATATCACCAACATCATACGATCCATAAATCTCGTACAATCTCGTCAAAGTTTTAGGATCCCAGACATTGATGATAGGATCTCCAGCACTGGAGAATAAGAGGTTTGCATCGGGTGATAGCGCGAGGGAAAGAACACTGCGCTTATGTGCTTGGACCCGTTTGACTTGTCGGAAGGTGTCGAGTGACCATGCTACGATTTCGCCGTCTTGTGTGCCGGCGAAGATGGTTTCGTGCTGAGGACTGACGGCGAGGGCGAGGATGGTGCTTGTGTGGGAGAGCGAGTGGACGAGGTCGGGGCTCGTAGCGGGATCTTCGGCGGCTTCGAGGGGGGAGAGGATGGGTGATGATGGGCCGGGGGACATAATCGGGGAGACGGTCCGTGAAGGCATTTCTGTGGTTGTTAGGTTGGTCGATTGACGATTGAAGGGAGGGGCAGAAGAGAGGAAGGAGGATGGGATGCAGCTTGATAAATGGATTGCGCTGCTAAGAAGAAGATTCCCAGTGGAAGGGGAGAAGCATAGAAGTTGTGATATCACCAAGTGGAAGGTAAAAATGTGGTGTTGAAGTTGTGATAAGGAAGGGAGTCAATGGCGGTAGCTCGAGTTCAGTGCCGAGACCGCTCACAAATTCGGCCCCAGTATGACGCGATCGCGCTGGGTCCCATTCAAGGGTCCATCCCTTGCGGCTGTCGCTCGCAACGCCAACAGCCCTAGAGAACAGGAACATGCTCTGAGTCAAATGGCGAGATAGAGGATGAGCATTCGCAATTAGGCTTTCTCAACGTTGAGAATCTTTGCTGTCTTCTTCCAATTGCTGTTTGGTAAAGTCAAAGGCAGCCTTCTGTCATGTCTGGGCTGTTATTGGTTGTGGCTGCGCCACTCGGACAGCCTTATGAGCTCACTAGCCACAATTTGTGTGGAAGCTACCCGGGACTAACCCTTCGGAGACATATTGATGGGGATTTGTAAGTCGACACACTTGTTTCTTGATGCAAGATGAAGCCAGAGTGTCAGAAGTGAGATGAGGTTGAGTGAGGTAATGAAAAGATACGAAAAGTTGCTTGTAATAATGGAGTTGACCGCTTGATCTTGATCAGGGTATAGTTGTAGAGGGTTATGCCGCTATCATCAAACGTTCACAGTGACATGAAGGGGATCATCACCAACAGGAAAGGGCACGGTGAAAAAGACACAGGGAACCATCAATAATAATTGCCAACTCACCATGTTCAGAAATCATCGTCTCTCCAGACAAACGCTTCTCATTCAAAAGTATCTTTGCGCAACCAACACAGCCATCGCCGTTCAGCAACGAAACGTCCGAAAACATCTTCACGTGGGTATAAACAATACAGTATCGACGAACAAAAGTGCAGAAGTAATTAAAAAGAGGAAGAAAGATGGAGTACCGTTCGGAGAATAAAGTAAAGTTACGACTACGGTCGAATAGCTAAGATAAGACATCCTTCCCCCCAAGCCCCAACAAACACCACCGGATGTAGCTTGTACCATCCCGTCCGTACCACGAGACAACTTTCAGGCATGGATGCTGTGTCTCGTCAGCCCCGAAAGTGTGCGACACCAAGAATAAACGTGTACGCATCTAAAGACAAGATCAAAGACATTGGCTCACCGATATTTAAGCCACCCCTGAATATGTAAATTGATCTGCTCTTTCAGCTGGGGTTGGCGATATCGGGGGACCGGGACGGCGCGGCGGACGGGACACACCAGCTGAAAGTGGGGGGTTGCAATCGCCGTTGGATCGGGATAAGGACCCTTGTTTAATGTCATGTCACTGCGATTCAGTCGGCGATTGTTTATGCTTGTTTATTTTTTTATTTCTATCTATTACACAGTAAAATCTTATATGTCCTGCTTCTTCATTCGGTGATGCATTGATTGGGATGTTCTTGAGGATAACGCGCCCGTAGTTCAGCTGGGGCATGATGTTTGATTGACGTCAATTGAACCCAACTCAAATTATGGCGTTTCTGCAGCGCATCGTACTAAAACCGATAGAGGAATGCTAACTTGGCGTTGATAGCTCATATTAATGGCAGCATCCGTCGGCGGAGAGGCAGTTATCGAAATCCAGGCTCAATGACAGCTTGTAAACGGAAGCTCCTTGGTAGACGTGTCCTCATCGTCGCCATTGATCGAGAGCGGCTGGGGGAGGATGTCGATAGGCTTGCGCCTTGAATCGCAAAGACGAGACAGCCCTTGGAGTCCCCGACCGCAGCTTGGAGGAGGAGGTTTCCAGCAGCTCCAGTGTTAGTGGGTACACGATACTGCGAATGTCATCCAAGCGCGCGACCTCGGGTCCACTGGTTGACTGTAGCTATGTTGGTGATTTGCTAATTGACTCGAGCTGGACTTTTATAATATGCTCCGAATTTTGCGGCATCGAGTGCTCGCAGCTCCTTGGATGACTCGAACGTTGCTACTAGAGCATCGATGTTAGAGGTGGTGTCTCTAAAAGCCAGCATTGCCTGAACAGCTAATACTGAGATCCGGCACTAGGTGCTTGGTATCATTTCGTATGGTTCTGCGGTTTTCTCTAGTATCATTGTCGAGACCGGTTATAACTCTTGGTCACTGACAGGCAAGCATGTGTACGCTCTTCGTGTTTGACCATGTGCATAAGTAAGGAGGATTCCAACATATACGCTTTTCCGCAATGTTCACAGGTGTGTGTTGGGGTTGGTGGTATGTCAGGATCATTTCTGATCCTTTCCCCCTTGAACGGACAAGTTATATATAAGGCCCATACACTAGTATGGACTAGAGCACCAGGCTCCTTGCACACCACGTTACGGGTTCAACGCGAATACATTGCATTCACCCTCAAACCCTGCCATTCGCGCGGCGAGGATTGTTAACAAAAACCCTAGACGTCGCAAGGCGGGATATATATATATATTGTATAGCTCAGCCGCGATTTGCTGTCTCACCCGATAGATCTCTTCTGGGATGTCGAACAGAGTATATATATAGCCATCGGGGCACCTTGGCCGTAGTATCAGGACATCCAGCGAGTCGTAGAACATATATAAGCATAGACAGTCTTGTAGGCATAAGCGCGTTCGTTGCACGTGTGTTTGTAGAACTGGATCCGAGGCCGAGGACTCTTGATGATAAACGGCAGGTCATCTTCGTGGATCTCGTTTCCAGGCGTAATGTCGTCGAATTCCGCCTGTAGTCGCAATGCCAAGTCGCGTCTCGCATTGGCCTCATCTCTTGTCATGATCCTCTCCGGGTTCCCCAAGGATACTCGTAGCGCAAGCATCTTCTCAGCATTGTCTTGGGTGACTGCCAGGCTAATCGGAGTAGGGCTCAACGGATGACATAGGTCAGTCGATACTCTGCCCGGTGGCGCGGGGGTGTGTTCGGTGGTCCTTTCGTGGAATTCACGAAAACCGGGATTTGATCGAGAGTGTCGTCAATAGTGCTAGACTCAACCGAGGATGTCTTTGAAGAGTCTTCTGACCAAAAGAAGTAAAGAGTATATATACTACTGATGTATGCCTCTATAATAAGACAGCGGTAAAATCCGTCCAAGATAGCATTGGAAGAGGGTGGCTGAAGAACATCGTCGGACCTATAGCCGATGGAACCGTAATCGAGTGAGAAAACCTGATCGGTGGAGGGTTCATCGGCACCAACTTGAAGAACGACAGGATAGTTTACAGACTGGGGGCCAGGAGCAGAACGGGACGCAGAGGAGACAGTTTGTCGCGTATTGGTAACTGCACCACGTGAATCTCCTAACCCAGAGGAAAACATGGCATGTATGGATTGTCCGCACAAAGGTTGTGATGTTTGATGTCTATCGAGTATCAGACTTCTGCTTTTGAAGAGCAGTTCAATGATACCACATCAGAGACCTTCGTCGCCTTATAGTAGTATAGACTTTATATGTTGAAGAGTGATATAATCTCGCGTGGATCGGATTGATACTGAGCAGTGAAGAGGCATATTTGTGTCGCCGGGTCATTCTGTAAGACTTGCTCTCGTCGATAATGTCTCCAACATACTCACTGCACTGATCCTGATCCTCGTTCGTGAGATCGACTGAGTACCATACCCCACAGCTGCCGGCCTTCATCTCCTTGTAGATGTGACCTCGAAACCTCGCAAGATATTCGAAACTTGTAGCTTCCAGCTGGGGACTTCCTTTGTTGGTTTGCGTCCAGCATTGTCACTGGGATCGTAGTCGTACAGAAGCAGTACAGACTAGAAGTATTGGTAACAACACACGCAGCGCTGTAATGCGACATTGCCCAGTGTCAGCCACTGAGATACGTCTTCGTCTCGTCTACCAAATTTTCGAATAGCCCAAGCATACTTATCAGCTTATACTTCGAGGGGATACCGTGGACATATATAGCCGTCGCAAACTCTGGAGCGTCGCGCTTAGCCTCAGAAGATCGCTGGACCTTCAAACTCTGGTACTGTTTTGTGTACAGAAAGTGCACAATGATATGTGCTATATAAAATATATGCAGTAGGCTCTACTTTCTCGCATTGCTGCCATTGTAAGGGTGTGTTTGGGACGGTAAATGAGCGAGATTGCGTAGGTATCCTCCGCAGCACCACCACCGCCGTCAAGCGTCAGGTTCTTTGCGTTGCTTCGGTGAGTAGAAGACTCTTCATGACAGATTCCACTTATCTGCTTCTCGGCTTCCAACGTCTCTTGGTGTTGGCTATGGCAGCGAAGTTCGAATCTTCCATCGTCGTCACGATCGTGGTGGTCCCACAAAGTCGGATTCATCTGATGACATCAACGTCGCCGAAAACCAAAGCAGCGTCTCATCCGTGTCTTCATCGCTATCCCGAAACCACATGCTGTGGGTGTCATCACTGTTGCTGTCGTCGCTGTTGTCATTGGAATCGGGGTCATCTTCAAGTTCAAGTTTGAACTCCTGGGAAGCTGAAGGTTGTTCGTCTCGAAATGGGCGGCAACAGTCTTGGGCCGTATATACTAAGCCCCTCCAGGGTCTTCCAGGTCCGGTGTACTCAACGACCCCTGCGAGTGCGACAATGTCCGGTGTCAACTCCGGAACTATCACTCGTCACAGGTACCTAGGTTCCCTTTGTACGTCCAGAAGTCGGCTTCCCTGGCGCGATGTATGGTAGCGTCTAGTGGAGCGTCAAACACCGATGCTGTAAAAGGATGCTCAACAGAGAGAAGGTGTCACTTGCTCAACCTGGAAGTAAATATGTCCGGCCAGACCTAGGTAGACTCGGTCGTCAGATGAACACAGGTAGCATAGTCGCTATGTAGACTGACATAAAGTCCATAGTATATATATATATGTATATATAAAGAAACGCTTTAATTCGTATGATCAACTGGTTTGTTTAAGCGCCGCCTGCATCTCACGAGTTGCAAGCGTCCGCTTGGCATGCGTCCGAGGGCTGGGCTGTTTCGGAGCGTTCGAGGATTCTTCTTACAGCCACAGCAGTGGCTCATCAGTGCTTCTGATGAATCGTAGGGGTGTGAGAAGGTATGTGGTGAAGGGTGTGTCTTATCAGGAAGCTAGCTAGGGCCGCGGGCCTGAAGGAGCTTCCACTGGACATAGTGGGGCGGGATACTTAGAGAACGAACAGCCTCAGCGGTTGGCTCTGAATGCGCATGCTGGATCCGTAGGCGCTATACAGACAAACCTGAGGTCAACTCAAGCGTTAGGTATACACCTGCGGCTTGTATCGCCCTGGTTAAAGGCACAGGACCCAATATATAGTAAGAACCGAGTTCACTGCAGAGCCAACTCTCCTGTTTAGAAGCCATCCACGTCGCGACAATTGCTTCTTTCGCTTGACAGTAGAACCATGCGTCGGTGGGCTTCCGGCATCTGAAGACCCAAGGAAAGATTTGCATCCCTGAACGGGCTACAGGAAGTGCTAGTCGTCCATGCTGACCTGTGTGTTGACTGATGAGAGTCATGAATTGCAAACAATGGCGCTGTGCCCCCTGGTAGGTTGATGATAAGGCCCTGAACACAAAGGAGGCACGGCGTATCAGTTAGCTGGCCGAGGAACCAGCTGCAAGGGGGTTCTAGGTCTTCGTACTCCGGAAGAGACTCCAATGGGATTGTTCGAACTCCCGGTCCTCGTCCTTGCCTTTCTCGACATATATCCAGGGCCTTAGAAACGCATCGTTATCCGGCCTGGGAGAAGGCACTGACGTTGATCTTAATACTTGGACGCCTTGATCGTTGGCGAGAAAAGCACGGGCGTCAGTTCCGAGCTGCCCCGGACAGCTTGAGGATTCTCTTCGCAACAGCCCGTAGTGGACTGCCAGTGTCCTAGTCGAAAGCAAGTAAAGCGGTCTTGGCTCTCTATATATATCGTCGCAAAAAGGTGACGTGAAGAGGTGAGGCAATTCATTTTGCCGGGCGTTGCAGGCCGACGGAGATATTCGAGAGGTGCGACGACGGGGAGCTGTATACTGATTGAAGTCGAGATATATAAGGGAATGATATGCTTCAGCTTTTCTTAGTGTGTTCGTCCTGTCAGAGCTATAGTCATGTAGTCTGTATGTCTGTTCGAAGATATCCATTTCTCCTTAAGGTGGGGGAGCGTCGCCCAGCTCCTCATCATCAACCCCAGCGCTCTTCTGTCTCGTCTTCGAGATGGTCTTGACCTTTTTGTTGGAATTCTATGCCTCTACCTCTGCCTCTGCTTGACGTTCGGCGGCCTTACGCTTGCGGTGGCGCGTGTTAGGCCCAGAAAGCACTTCCAAGTTGTCTCAAGTTCTTCGTTGTTGGGCGCCTAATATTATATAGAAGCAAACGCAAAACACGCACCAACATGGTTTGTTCTGCCATATTGACAACACAAGACAATTGTTGCTTTTGGCATTCTGGTTGATAGATCCATATTGTTGGTAAATGCCCCTATATAGTAGACTCACGACAGGCGAGTACCTTGCAATGCTTCTCTAGCAGGCTTTTCTCTCGGACAACATGGCCTTTGGCTGGAAGTATACTTTATTCTTGGTATGCATCACCTTCTTTTCGTGTTCGCAACGAATAGATTTCTCAAAACTCTTGTCGTCAGTTAGCCAAACGTGTCTTCCTTTTCGGGTCGAAAAGCTTGGTATGGGGTGTATAGAGCATGAAGAGCGAGGCGTCATTTCGCCCCTGCGTATGCTTTGATGCCTATAGCTGTTGAGTCACAGGAAGTAGCGTGGACGAAGAGCAGCAGGGCGCCCAACACCGGCACAAATCCTACCGTCGTTGAATCTTTGTTCATTCGCTGACCTAGTTCGACAATTTTGCAAGCTCGTGAATCCGTATATAATAATATTTTTCGACCGCGACCACAGCCAATTTTGCAATGTGTGCTTCAGAATGATGGCTTTCTCGAGCCGGGGTCGGTGGTGGTAGCTGTCGCGTCTATGAAAGACGGTTCCCCGGGGAATGTAGAGAACTGGTCTCAATCTGCAAAGGGTACCTGAGATAAGGGGAAGAAGAGATAGGTCAAGGATGTGGGATGCTGACCTCTTCTTCTTGCTCGCCCCTTTACGTTAGAGTAAAGATGCGTTCGTTGATCAAGTAGTAAATGAAACGATATCCGTGTGTACAAGCGATGCAGGTGAGGAGAAGAAGGCAAAGACAAATAGACAAGAGAAGAATATTTAAAATGTGACTAAGCCCCAAGGCGTAAAGCGAAGTTGTTTCGTCTCACGCTCGTCGAATATGCTTTTCTGTGGCATGGTGGATAGGCCTTGCCTTATAGTATAGGTTGGGTATATATAAGCTACCTGTTGCGCTTTGCAAGAAGCAAAGGTAGAAGTGAAAGCTAGGACAAGAAAGAAAGTTCCTTGTGGCCTGAGTCTGATGAGAAGAAATGATACAGCAATTTAACTCGAAGGCATTCCAATTCCTGAAATGCAGCGAGGAGTGTTCAATACGCGCCCGTTCATGAGCATGTGGCCGCCACTGAACTTAGCAACAACAGCGGCATTGTGCATCTAGCGTTTGGCGCTTCGAACCATCGGGGACTCAGAGGTGATCAGGAAGAATGCCTAATAAAGAGCTAGGAAATTCCGTGCGCTGGGTAGTCGCGCGTTCGTTCTCCGTTTATAGAGCGCGGAGGATTATATACTCTTTCGCTTGATGGTTAGTGATGTCGTGTCAAGTGGAGACCTTTCTTGATGGGATGAGATGCCAAATATATGATGTTGGTTTAGGATCCAATCGTATTCGAGGCGAGGTTTGGATCACTATATATACTTGTGCGAGGCGCGACGCATTTGTTGTGATGTGATGGAACGATACTGACCACCACATGACTAGGACCCCTCCCTTGTCCAACTTATACACTAGGCACTGGAGTAGAGCTGATGTGTTTCTTCATGTCTGCGATTGCAGGTGTCAGGTGTATCTTCGGAAGCTAATAGGACTGTCGTATAATATAATGTATATAGCGAGGTTCGTCAGTTCGAATGCTTCGGTTGCACTGGTGGTATCAGCGCCGGGCATACGGACGATGCACAACTCATTTTTGGCGGGCACAGATGAAGCCTCATATAGACCCGCCAAGTATGTTCAAAGCCAGCCGAGATGGGCTGGAACTGAATGTTCAAGAGCTCCAGGTGTTCGGCAGCCCAGAAGAGGGGAGCCTTAGAGACCCAGGGGTTCTTGACAATAAGATATCAAGTGACCTATACTCTTTCTAGTGCTCAGCCAGATCCCTGATGCACCTTTCGAGAGAAAACAGGGAAATATATAACGGGTTGTATGCTGCCAGCGACGTCAGTAGGACCCTGGACAGTT